ATACAGGTGATTCTAAGTCTATTAAAATTCCACCACGTAGATTACCTTATGCTCAGAGAGAAATTGTAGAGAAAGAGATTTCAAAGATGCTTGATAATGATGTTATAGAACCTAGTGATAGTCCTTGGTCAGCTCCCTTGTTGTTAGTTGCTAAGAAAGATGGTTCTTGGAGATTTTGTGTGGACTATAGGCAACTTAACTCAGTTACTAAGAAAGACGCTTATCCATTGCCTCGCATTGATGAGTCACTTGATTCTTTAGCTGGAGTTTCCTGGTTCAGTACACTAGACTTAGTTTCTGGGTATTGGAAGAAGGAAATGGAAGATAAGGATAAACCTAAAACAGCTTTCTCAACTCATATGGGCTTATTTCACTTTGAAGTAATGCCCTTTGGTATGTGTAATGCTCCTAGTTGTTATGAGAGGTTAATTGAGTTAGTTCTTAGAGGTCTCAGATGGGAGAAATGTTTGTGTTATTTAGACGACATTATTGTGTTTGGAAGTAGTTTTGACCAAGCTTTGAAAAACCTTAAGCTAGTGCTTGATAGACTTAGGTCAGCAAATTTGACCTTGAAACCCTCAAAGTGTGTACTTTTTCAGAGAGAATTGTCATTTTTAGGTCATGTGGTATCTGATAAAGGAATTCAGTGTGATCCTAGTAAAACTGACAAAGTTAAGAAATGGCCTGTTCCTAGTAATGTCACTGAGGTTAGAAGTTTCCTAGGTCTAGCTGGATTTTATAGGAGGTTTATTCCTAAGTTTTCCACCTTTGTAGCCCCTTTAACATATTTGACAAGAAAAGGGAAGAAATTTTGTTGGACTTCTGATTGTCAGAAATCATTTGAGAAACTTAAGGAACTCCTTTGTTCAGTCCTGTGTTAGCCTATCCTGATAGTACCTCAGAGTTCGTCTTAGACACAGATGCTAGTTTGACAGGATTAGGTGCTGTTCTATCTCAAGTACAAGATGGTGAGGAGAAGGTCATTGCTTATGCTAGTAAGACTTTGAATAAATCCCAAGTCAGATATTGTACCACTTATAAGGAGTTGTTGGCAGTCGTTACGTTCATTCGCCTGTATAGACATTTCCTTTGGAGTAGACATTTCATGATTAGAACGGATCATGCTTCCCTTGTTTGGTTGAAGAACTTTAAGAGTCCAGAAGGAATTTTGGCTAGATGGCTTTCAGTTTTGGAGACTTATGATTTTTCCATTCAACATAGGCCAGGGAAATTCCATTGTAATGCAGATAGTCTGTCAAGAAGACCTTCCAGTTATTGTAAGCGTGGGGATTGTCCTGATTGTCATTTGGGGGATTGTGTGGATTCTGATGGTCGAACAGGTGTGTCTAGGCAATTGGACAGCATATTATTGTCCTCCGCTAAGGTTGTTCCTGTGAGAACCGACCAAGTTCAACTCGGCGGAGTCAGGGTCCCACAATTCTGTTGATGACAATGGTGATGATAGTTGTGATGTTGTACCTAACTGGTTGGATACTTGGTCAGTTGATCAGTTGAGAATTTGGAAGAAGAACCTGCTATTAGGCAAATAATTAGATTAAAGGAAAATTGCATTGTTAAAATCCCTAGGCATGTTGTTTTGGATGCTTGACTTGAAAACATATTGGGGATTATGGGAATCTCTAGAAGTCAAAGAAAACATGTTGTATTACAAGTGGAAGTCATTAGTTAATAAGGAGACTTTGTTGTTGATTGCTCCTAGACATATTAGATCTCAGATATTTCATGAACTTCATGAGAATAAAACTGCTGGTCACTTAGGAGGTAGAGAACGTACCATTAAATCCATTAAGCGTAGGGTATATTGGCCTGGTATGTCTTCAGACATTAAACATTGGTGTAGAGAGTGTGATGTTTGTGCCAGAGCAAAAGCTGGTCCAGGTTTTGGGAAGTCATCTCTTCATCAATCAGTTATAGGTGCTCCTTTAGATAGGTTAGGAGTTGATATTTTAGGCCCTTTGCCCAGATGGTAATGGTAATGGTAATGAGTACCGGGTATATCATAGTTCTCTGTGATTAATTTTCTAAGTGGGCTGAAGCTTATGCAGTACCTAGATGCAGTACCACAGCTTTGACAGTAGCAGATAAGTTAGTTAATGAATTTATCTGTAGATTGGGTGTCCCTAATCAGATTCACTCAGACCAAGGTCGCGAGTTCGAGTCGGAACTATTTTCTATCTTATGTGAGAAGTTAGGCATTGAAAAGACACGCACCACTCCATATAGGCCACAGTTAGATGGTTAAGTTGAGAGGATGAATAGGACACTTTTACAAATGTTATCAACTTATGTAAATAAAAATAGGGATAATTGGGATGACAATATACTCTTTGTCCTTATGGCATATAGGTCAACCATTCAAGAAAGCACAGGTTGCTCACCAAATTTAATCATGTTTGGCCATGAAATTATGAGCCCAGTTGATCTTATGTTAGGGAATCCTCCTTCTTCACCTATTTCCACTTGCCCTGTAGATTATGTAGAGTGGTTAAGAATAGTTTTATCTGATTCATACAATTTTGTGTCTGAAAATCTTAGACAGGCAGCTTCAAAACAGAAGAAATACTATGATAGGGGATTAAAACCTAGAGAATTTTCAGAAAATGACTTTGTCTGCAGGTGGTATCCACCCTCAGCTCGTGTTAAGTTAGGATTAGGATGGATAGGGCCATACAAAGTTATTAAGAAGATCACAGATGTGACTTACCAAGTTCAAAAAGACCCTAAGAGCCCTCTCATTGTGGTACATGTAGATCAATTAAAACCCTATGAGGGCATTTTACCTCCTAGAAACTGGACACCAGTAGTTACTTCCCTTGACGAGTCATTTGAACCCCCAGTAGATAATACTCCTGTAGAGTTTAATGATCAAGAGGAAGTTGAGGAGACTGTTCCTCCTGTTTTTAATTTACTTAGTCCTGAACCCCTTAGACAGTCAAGGTGGGGTAGAACAATCAAACCCCCTGTTGTCTACTCTCCTTGAGACCAGGCATCTAAGCATTTTATTATTATTTTTTTTAATGCCTATGTAAATAGTTATTTTTATTTTTGAATTCTATATATATTATATGATATGTAAAAAGTTTGAGTTGACCTTTTGTAGTGATAACAAATGATATTTAATTTTTGAAATATCTCAGTCTAGTTAAAGTAAATCTTAATTGCTTTTTGATGATTTAGTTTATGGTAGTCATTTTTTTAGAATAACATTCAAGTTAGCACTGTATTTGACTTTAGTGGATACAAGGTCAATGATAGATGTTTTATTTATTTAATAAGACACAGTAGTTGGCAATGAGTTATATTATCTAGAAGTCAAAACAGTGCATTTCAGATCTTTCGGTTTATTCAGTTACTGTAATAATAGATATGAATCATTGAGAGCTTGGTATTCTTAGTTTAATACTGACCGTAGATGATCTTTAAATTATTTCCCTTGTACTGTGCTGAAATCAACACTTAAGTTTTTCATATAGTTATTCTATGGGTGGTGATGCATAGTCATCTAATATTCTTGAGGAGGAGACGATCCGGAAGAGACCGTGCAGAAGAGCCGCAGTACTATTTACACACCAGGACCATGTGTTTTGCTGAGCCATCCGGTTATTGCGAGACAGGGACTAGACCGCAGCAGTTGTGTGATCTTTGGATCCTGTATTACCGTTCTTAGAACCTCCAGAGGACTTTGAATAGTGACAATGACATTAACATTTGTCTTGTGTTGAAAACAAAAATTTATTGTAAATTTTGTTTATTTAAGGGGGGAGGAATGTAGTGGTTTAGATTTTTATTTCTTAGCCCTCATTTCGTAAATTATATTTTGCAAGTATTTGCTGGTATTTCAGTCTGATAACTCTATTTACCTTATGTTTTCAGTTGTTACTTACGTAAAACCCCTTTATTATTTGTCTTTTATAAGTTAGGACATATGTTGATATTCCACATGTTTTACTTGTTAAACAAGAAGTGTCATCGATGTTGGAAGTCTTTCCATAGTACTTTTGAAAGCTGTGTTCTGATTGGTTAAGTTAGCTATAGGATCTTTGATGTTTATTGGCTTTTATTTTTGGGCCTATAGCTAGGGTATTTAAAGCCATTTTCGTGTAGTTTTCTTCACTTGAGTTGGGGAACACAACCTCATGGTTAGTTCCTCTTTACTGTGCTAAGAAAACCTCATGGTTTATGAGCACTATTTGATTAGTACCTTAGAGTGCTAAGAAAACCTCATGGTTTAACAGTACTCTAGGTCTTAGCTAGCTCTTAGTTTCAAGTTTTTCACAAGTTCTAGGTTTTTGTTAGGAAACAGTTAGGATGTAGGTTTTATAGAGTTAATTTAGTTTTCCCCTTTCCAAGTCCAGCCTGGTCTAGGGATTTGTAGATAACAGGTCTAATTCCTAGAACCACTATTTACTATATATTATTTATTTTTGGTGTTTTTTTTTATTTTCTGGGTTAGATATTTCTAGAGTCCAGATTTAGCATTATTATTTTAAGTTCAACTCTAGATTGTTGATTAGTAGAGTTCATATTGGGTGATGTAGCTCATTTCCCTTACATTTTTCCAACTCATTGACATTTATAGCAGTTCTTATAGGATTGTTGACCTTTTTCATAAGTCTGGAAGCTCAGTAGGGACATAAATTATTTTCATAGGTTTTCCACATTCCTCCCATTTTCTATTAAATTTTTCATAAACTTCTTATTTATTTATTGAGATTATTGTTATTCACTTACCGAATTAAATTATATTTTTGATAAAACTTTATTTATTTCTGTGAATTTTTTTAAAGACTTTATTATTGGTCAAATTTTGACTATTATTTATTATTTGTTATCATTTACAAAGGTTAATTCTCACTTTATTAAATTTATAAACTTTACAACTGTGTTTTCATTTAGCGTTGATCACAGTTCAGATATCCCCTTACCTGGGTTGACAGACATAACTGGAGATAGTTTACTGCTTTAAGCCAAGTTGGATAGTAACTTTGTTAATTTATTCATTAAAGAGTTCTACTTCCGGTTACACAAAGAAGAAATATGTCTGATATCTATATAACATATAAATTCAATTCCCATGCGTCTCCGTGAAATAGTTATAATTACTCAGAAAAAATTGACCCGTCTTGTAAACATCATAGCAAATAAAGCAGGTCTTCACAACAGTATCAATAATATATAAACAATATTGTATCAGGTTGCTCATTTTTGCATTTTTTTAATCTAAAAACAACACAACAGAGTAAGTTCAAAGTATGAACTTGTCGTTGAATAGAATCCTGCACATCAATACAGTTTCCATCCCGAGAAAGAGGAGAATCCTTCCCTCGCATACGCTCCAAGATATCCTGATGCAATGTTCACTCGATCCCCTTCTTCCAAGGAAACCACGATAGAGTTTGAACCACTGCTCCAGATTTGTTGTGACGAACCTTTCTGATTAAAAGCTGTCTTGCCCTTGTACACACCATTAACTCGCAGATAGGGATGCGCTGCGTTTCCTGGGTTTGTAAGTGTTGCCCACGAAAATACATAGGCACCAGCAGACGGCGATGTGAATGTTCCACTTACACTGTTGAAGTGATTGCCTTCATTGACCAAAACAGAATCAAAAATCCATGTCTGATCCTGTCCGTAGGTTTTTGCTGAACTCATGTATGCCGAAAATGCGACCCCATGATCTATAAAAGCAAGTAATAATGAGAATCAATTCTGCATAAAACTAACAAGAGAAAAGAATTAGTTAGAGGCACATAGACCACATCGCTCACCTGAGTTACCCTGGCCCTGCTGTTCTTCCTCATCAGATTTTTAAAAAGATGGTTTCCCCCTTTGTTAACATGAAAAATTTTGACCCCATGATTGGGCCCCTCCTTACCCTGAAGATTTCAGGATATTCCAAACTTGAACACACGCCTCATGGGAATACTTCAGTATCAATATGACTAACATGACTTTGCTGTTATTGAGAAGAATTTGTTTGCTGAATAAATGCAATATGTAAAATTTCACCCCACCCCTAATTTTAGCCCAACGCTAAACCCCAACCTCTGGTTCCATAATTAATAAAAAATGATTTCATACAACTTGGGAATATTGCAAATTAATAAGTCTAGTGCATATTATAAGCAGATTTTAAAAAGATTTTTTCCATTGTTTATTCCCATGAAAATCTGTGATTCCCAATTGTGCCCCCATTCTATCTCCAGGTGGAATTATTTGCACAATGCAAAATCTACAATATTTCAGAAAGCACATACGTAAGTTTTATCCTTTTTTGCCTCGTGGTTCTTGAGAAGAATTTTTCCCTATTTATTCCTGAATGACTTTGATCCCCTATTGTGGTCCCATCCTAACGCCGGGGCCATGATTTGAACAATTAAGAATTTACAATATACCTGCTATATCAGGAAATTTACACCCTTTCATCTTCCCTGGCCCAATGATTCTTGAGAGCTTTTAAGATTTTTTCCCTATATTTTCCCATCTGAATATTTGATTCCATATCGTAGTTCCACCCTATCCGAAGGGGGTAAACATTTGCTTATTGGAGCTTGTCTTCCGGATTGTGAAATGTAAAATAAATTAATAAAATTTTGAATCTAATTTAAATACACTTAAAAAGTTGTTATAATAAAGATTATGACACTTTCAGACAAGAAATACCATGTTTTAAAAAAACGTACCACGCCTATATACTTCAACTTACAAGGGACGAAAGCACTCGTCTTGGAAAAAATACCCCAACCCACTTCAGCACCTATTTCTGGACTATTTAGCATTAATTTATTTCGTTGTCATGGTTCTATCCCATACAATGATGATTTTCCTCGTTGATGTGTCTGTCAGTCGTCAGCATGCCTCCAATCAATAGAAAAACGGATACAATTTCTTCGATTTGGAAGTGTTTTTCCCAAGATGAGAGCTTTCGTCCCCTGTTGAGTTTATGTATATAGGTGTGGTACTTTTTTTTAAAAACGTGGTATTTCTTGGTATTTAACAATCCGGAGGACAAGCCCCTATGGGACTGCTTTATGAAAACGTTCATGTTTATAAAAGCACTAGTATCAGTTCATTACGTCTGTTGATTATCATACAATGATATAAATGGTAAACAACTATCCTACCGATTCCATTACAAACATGATATATAAGTCATAAATTTCCAGAGAGAATGCTTCTGAATCAGTCACTGGTCACAAAATATAACAAAATTGATGTAGGGAATTTAATGGTTAACATGGCAGAAAAATCACTGGGATGGCTTCTGGACACTCCCTTACCCTCATTATGAATGTTATGAATTTGAGGTATTTCTACTTATACATGTAAATATGTCATTCACTTAGATGAAAATGGAGATAACGAACAGTATTCAAGCTCAAAGGCCATTTAAACAATACAAATCAAGAGCAGAGCAAACACGGACCTCCAAAAACATCAGAGGTGGGATCAGGTGCCATGGAAGAGTGGGCATCCCCTGCCAATCGGTCACATCCGCCGTCTGCTCCTTGTCATAATCGGGGAAAACGGAAAAATTCGTAGAAATTTCAGTGTGTAAATAATGGTCTAACAACTAGTATGAAAAACGTCAGTCAGCATTTGACTTAATGATAGATTGTATTTGCTGATAAAGTCATTGTGTTCGACCATAGAACTTGCGAAATGATGACTTTAAACGAGCCTGTAAATATAAGTATGCGTAGAAATATACATTTTTCGGTTAAGAAAAACATGGGGCAAGGACTACTATACCTTAAAAATACACTTTTATGCCACAAGGTTTGTATCTTTCTTAGAAGTATTTGAAATGCGTTTAATCAAAGTTCCTATCACAAACAAATTCCACAATTTTTTACGAGTTGTGTAGTGTAGTAGTAAATGTGTAAGTCTCCAAAACCTGACATTAAAGATAAATACACAGTTCACAAAATGCTATAGACATTTCGCACACCTTGTTAAACAGCCAAATGGTGGATCAACTCTGTTATGATATCCTTTTATCATGTATACATGTACATACACATATCCTTATACATGTACATACACAATCAAACAAAACTTTTTTCTCTATTGTATCCATAGTAAAAAAAAAAATCTTGCAGTAAAATTTCCTCGTAAAAATACTTTCTGGGTGGTCATTTACCTTCATTAAAAAGCTTCAATCTCACTCCAGCTTAAAAGAGTTTGAAAATCAAATTCTAAAATCATACATCTGAACTTTGTAAAAATTATCATCTTAATGTAGTATGAAAAACTTCAGTCAGCATATGACTTACAGATAGGTTGTATTTGCTGACAAGGTCAATGTATCGACCATAAAACTTGCGAAATGATGACTTCTACCGAGACTGTTGATATCCTTGTTTCATCAACTTGTTTTTAGTAGCTTGTCTTTTTATAAATTGTTCACACGTAGATCATGCTCACGTATCGAATCAACTGAGAGACCCAATATACAGGTGATACGGGTACATGTATATTGCTACATAAGTAAGGGATTGATAAAAATGAGGATTGAAAAATTGAAGTCATCGCGTTTATCATAAAGTTTTCTTTATTAGGTTACCATAAAAGTCTTTTTCTAGTAAAATATCTAAATATAAAACAGATGTGTCAGACTCTGTGATATCTTTTATTTCAAACTCACTGGGATATATCGAGTCGACAAATCGAAGTAACTATTGTCAATTGATAATACGTCGTCGATGTATCTAAATGTCGAGTTAAAGGCCACAGCAAGTGTTTTCTTCTTCTCATGTAGAAGTTTTTGGATAAATTCTGCCTTATATGAATACAACAAATAGGTTTGCTAATAAGGGACCCATTCCAGCAGATACAGCAGAAAGGTTTTTGAAACTATGCTGCATCTTTTAATCGATTTATTCTTGGTCGTCGTTAACAATACTAGTGCAGTATAAAACAATAGTAATATAAATGTGCGATTCCTGTATATAAGCTAATTAAAATTGAAAGTTTAAAGAGATACATATATATTACTCAGTACTTTTACTACTTACATTCCTTCAGGATGGATAAGGACTTTGTAATATTTCGCTGGTGTTCTCTTGAAGATGTAATATCTTCATGTACAGACCTCAATGTGCTATTTATTTTCCCAGCTAATTCACGGTGATTTTGCTCGACCACACTTATTTGCTCTAGGATACTTTGTTGTCCTTTCTCAAATTTTTCCAAAGAAAAACGGTCCAGATTAACAATCTTGCTTAAGTTCGTTACTTTCTGGTCCAGGTCAGAGTTCTTTTCGATTATCTTTTGGTTTTCTCTCCGAAGGTCTTCAACTTCCTTTTTCAATGTATCGTAGTTGGTTTTGCATGTCAACACGTCCATCATTAGAGCTTGAAGACTTTGTACCATAGACATCCGCACAAGGCTTTCTTGGTTCAGAATTTTTCGTAAAATATCGGCTTCTCTTGATGATGAAGTATTTCCAAGAGTTTCAATACTACTGGAGTCATTTCCTGTCAGAAGCGAAAACGAATTCGCTTGAAATATGAAAGAAAGATAGAAAAAGTTTGCAGCATATATCAGACTTGATTTCCTCAATTCTACAATCATGACGGGGTTCTTCATCTCTCCTTACTCTGCACACTGATATTAAAGTTTAAAATTTATGCATCAGCCGGATGTTATGGCACGCCGATTGCTTCAAAATTATTTTCTGCACGACCTTAAACAAAAATTACACGAGTAAGTAAAAACTTACACAAAGTGAGGAAAATATACACAAAGTTATTGAAATTTACATAAACTATAGAAAAACTGCACAATCAACAAAATATTTACACGATATAGTGAGGAAATTACACAAACGTAAAAACGAAAACTGCACGAGTGAGAATACAATATCGACATAAAATGCTACGCATCATCATTGCGCACATGTCATTAATATTCATTCAAAAACAGCTCAATGTGGTTTGGATGCTTGAAACATATTATAAATACAAAAGGAGGAGTAACGTGTTAGTAATCTTTTAAAAAAAAGATTCTTTTAAAATTCCGCTAGACCATGTAGACTCTCAAGAATATGTACAACGTATATTATGAAGATAAATTGACTGGCACACAATCTTAAACTTGTGGTATATGAACACCCTCGAATAAAAAAAACATTCTATACACAGAATACATGTATAGATAACGTAAAAAAAGGGGATGCATATTACCAGTTGTGTGTTTAATTGTTGGATTTTTTAAAGTATGTCATTCCTCTGTATAGCAATTTCTTTTGAAAGTTTAAAACAATGACATATAGGCCTAAATAAAAATAAATAAAAACAACATGTGATATAATACAGGAGAGTTAACAACAAATCAAACTCTTCTCTCCTCCACCACCCACTGAGTGTACTTTTGGTAATAATCAAGGATGTACATGCGTGACCTTTTCACACAGAGATCCCTCCCTGCTGGTTCTGGAACGAAAGACACCTGTACACTAATCGATTTATAGCTATTTGACACACCAATAATACCTTTTGATTAAAGGTAAAGAAAATCGAGCAAATAATTGTGCAACTTAAATTTTAATATTGAAATGCATATCTCACTTTTTGATATATGTATGTAATAAAGTACATGTGGTACATGTAGTCTTAACTTCTGAGCAACGTGTGGTGATTTCATAAAACTCCACGAAAATGTAGAAAAATTATACAGTCGTTTTACTTATGTGAATTAAAGCTTAATTTATGTTGTTTTTAATGTACCGGCGGTAGTCTATTTTGAATAGTTCAAAATGCATATAAAGGAGTTAAGAAAATTTAAAATTATAAAATACAGGCACGTAGTATCGTTTTTGAAAGTGGTGGGGGGCAGCCAGAATATTGTTTTGACAACCTACCTGCCAAACTCAAAAATCCTTTTTCCCATTTTCTCTCGATTACATCCAGCATTCATGAAGAGATAAAGCGTACAGAAAACCAAGAACATGATGAATATTCTATGTGCATAATGATATGCGCAGCTGTATGCGCAGTAAAATTGTTTGTGTAATTTTTAGTTTCCTCTGCTCGTGCAGTTTTGATTTACATTTGTGCATTTTATACCCCTTAATCGTGTAAAAAAAAAATTCGGATTCGTGTATTTTTCGTTAAGTTTGTGTAAAAATCTTTAAAACTATATGCAATTTTTACCGATACGTGCATTTTTATTTTACTCGTGTATATTTTTCATCAAGCTCGTGTATAAAATCATGATCGTTGTGCAGAAAATAATTTTGACGCAATCGGCGTACCATAGGATGTCTTTATGTAAATCTGATTAGAGACAGGCTGCTTGCTTGATTTCTCTGACATTTTGTTTGGAGAAAATTCTTTGCACTTAATTTTTTTTCCCCCAATTTGTTTACATTATTGTAGGAGTTCGCCTTATAGATTGTCCTGAAACTTACGTGTTTATAAATTATTCAAACACAGTTTCCTTGATTTACAGTAAAGTGCACTTGCTTATTATACGAACCCTTTTCTTAAATTTATTCCACAAATCCTTTAATAAGACACAGAAATTGAATATTTGTAATTTATGTATATGTACACTGTATCTCTCCCTGAGCCACTCAGTTTCCTTCTTGTCGTATGTAGTTTTTTTTTCAATTCTTTCGTAGTTTTAAACTGACTTTTGCATTCATGCAATCACAATGTTGGAATGCAATTACTTATAAATTAAGTGAATACATACTTTTTTGAACATATGGAGGAATGGTGTATATTTCTCTTATTTGCATATCATTATCGATATAACTGTCAAGGGTCATTTACTCATCAATAAAGTGTAATTATTATTTATCCATACTATAAAATATTAGAGGTCGACCATTTGATTCTGAATGGCGTGTCTGATTAATTATTTATTTTCATGCCAGTAAGGGATAAATTATCAGGGATAGATTGTTTATGTTCTTCAATTTTAAAAAAAAGTTTGTCAACTAAAACATAAAACTGCCAAAAAAAACAAAATTCTATTTAAAAATCTGCCAAAAACCAAAACTCTATTTCGAGAGGAAGCAAAAGAGAGGGGATAGTATCACCAGACAAGGACAGATTATTTTGTTTCAATAGTTGAGGACAGAATATTCATTTTTTTTTTCCCGAGGACTTATATATTTACTAGTAGTTATTTCCATAATCAGTCAGCCCTCCACTCCACCCCACCCCCTCAGAATCAAAATTATGTTGTTTCTTTTACATTTCTCCCTCACCCATTTAACCTCCTTGCTTTTTTTGAAGTTTTCATTTCACCTTGTTGTATAGAATATATATATATTCTATACTATAATATCTCTTTCTTAGAAAACTTTTAAGTTAAAAAGTTTTTTCTAACTTCATACATTTCAATGGTTTGGAGGGGGTGTTACTCTCAGGCTACAACAATCAGAAGCATCAACAAATTTTGACCACTAGAACGTACGGTTTCTACAAACAAAATTATTGTCTTTAGTGGAACCTTAAATTACATGTAATTAGGTCTTTCCTTACATTTATTTTATGTTCTCATTAGACCTGGTATAATTTGACTGTATTAATTAATATAATTTAAAATATTGTACGAGGGTATCAAATGACAATTCAGAACTATATGTATGATATTTTTAAAGTATGAAGTAAGGAAAAAATTGGCAATACATGTATTACTATGTAATAGTTTCATGATTTGCTCCTCGTAACGTTTGACAGCCATAAGAATTACGTGGCAGTAGCTGACCATACAAACAGATTTACCAATTTCACTATGGATTTCAATACAAGCTTTCTAATGTGCAAATCTCACGAAAAGAACTTAATGCCGATATATTGTGAGGACTGTGAGTGTCCAGTCTGCATGAAGTGTATAACAACATCTCATTTACAACATAAAATATTCGAGGCGTCTGTTTATGTTCAGAAACGACATGGGGATCTGATGGCATCTTTGCATGGAGAAAACTCATTGATGGAAAAATTGAAAAATGATTTGATTTGTAAGAGTAAAACCTTAGAGGAAAGGAAAATTAAACTCGTCGACGAAATTAGCAGCAGGGAGGAAGCGATTGTTGCAGAAGTGAGAGACATTGGGAAACACCTCAAGAAAACTGTATATGATGCTGTTTCTAAATGGGAAGAAAAAATTCAGAAAAGCGAGAAAGAAATAGAAAACTTTTCAGAAATTCCCGATTTTGACACAGAAACGGAAACAAACTGTATTAAAATATTGCAATGTCATAGCGAACTACGACGGCTTGAAATAGAAATGAAACTTCACGACCCAGTGAACGTTACATTCGAAACTGATATAAGTCTCAGTAGAAAACAAGTAGAGGAGCTGTTTGGAAACGTGGTCGTACAACATGATTTATGTCTGTCTTCTGATCAAGACCGGCAAATTGAGAGGAAACCCCCCTTTCATGACAAAAACGGAAGCAAGTTGTTTTCTTGCAATAAGAAAATTAAAGACCAAGAAAACCGAATTGTTTTTTTCCAGTTTAAACCCAATGATGAAACAACTAAAAAGTTCAGAGAAATTTTATTTGCTGGAGGGAAAATGTACATGCATGTAAATGACAAGCTCTTTGTAGCGACTGATGATAATTCTGTGCCTGAAGTGCTTCAAGGCGTGGACAGCTGTGTTGGACATTCGTCAGGACGTGGAATCCTTTGTATTAGGAACAATAGATTAGCACTGAGTCTTTACTTCCATAATGGAAAATATATGTCCTTGTTTTCAGTCCCAAATCCAAGTAATGAGGAAATACTGGCAGTTGAAGAAAGTGAAAAATTAGGTTTATCTTTGCTTACGGAACAAAAAAAATACTTCAGCTACAATTACCCATATTACAAATTATCAATATACCGAGTGAAAGGAAATGCTCAAACAGATGTCATTTCAAATGAAAAGCATTGTAATTTATCAACTTATCGTAATGATTCACAAGTTGCAAAGCTCTGCGCCCTGCAAGACACCAAATCACAGATCGCTATTGTTTCTAGATCTAATTCGCTTCAAGTGTACGATCAACAATTATCAGTTCTGTTTACCTACAAGGGGAGTATTGAAAACAGTATATCATTATGTTCGTCATTTTCAGTGGCGTCTGCATGTCTTGATCAAGACGATAACATTTTAGTTGCAAACAGATTTGATAATTCCATTCACATGTTAGATATTAGCGGCCAGTTTTTAAGAATTGTTGTTTGGCCGGAGGACGGTTTATCAAATTTGATGTCTGTCTCAGTTGACGGAGAAGGGTGGTTGTGGTGCGTAGGTCGGAATAATGAGGGAAGTTACCTCCGTCTCTTTGATTATGATTATTTCAAGGCCACTGAACGAACCAAGAGGGCATTGACTGAAACTGAAGAAAACTTCTGAGTTACATGTAAGAGACTCAAAAATACAAATACATGTATATGTACATAATGTATGTAATTAAAGTGCGTTATAAACTGGAAAATGTGTTTTGTTAAATATTATTATTTTGCAAACTAACTTTCAATGAACATTTCCAATAGTAAATCGTTACGTCGGAAGGAGGGAGGGGGGTTAGGTTCCAACTTCTTTCAGTACCAAAGAGCTAAATCCACGAAGGGGCTAAATCGGCCCAGTAATCAAAATAAATGAAACTTTCTCACATAAAACTTTAAGATTTGTATGTTGTAAAACAATTTATTTTTTAACAATATCTTTTCTGGTTTTCTTTTTACATTCGTTTAAATTTGGTATTGTTTTCCTCATTAATACTATCACGTCATTACGTTGACGTTACATACTTTAACGTCGTGACGTTGACATTTTGTATAAGAAAGTAACATATGTACATATGGAATAAAAATAACCAATATAGGCTCTTCTTTAAAATTTTGGGAAAATTTTACTATGAATTTTTCAAGAAGTTCTAGAAACTTTTTTTTAATTAAAGCTATTTGCACTCTAAAGAAATGCCAAATATTTGTTATATACAACGGTTGTCTGGTATTATCGTTGATATATGTAACACGTTTTAAATGATAATAAGAGACACGTTAAACTGAAAACAACAAAAAGTACACATTAATAACAAAAACGTAAAATTAAAATGAAAAGTTGCATTAAAAATGAATACGTTTGAAGTTACCATCTATTTTATTGTAATTTTGATAATTTCGTTGCACTTCCGTAATTGATGGCATTTCCCGGACATTTGAAATGAAATTGTAGTTCATACCTGTAATACACGTACAATAGTGATGTTTGACGGTAATCCTGCGCACCACAGATTATCAGGAAAGAAGCCACTACAGATTCTAAACAAGAGTGATGCAGGGCATCAAATCGGCCGCAAAAAAATTAAGAGTCCAACCAAAACACAAGATTTCCGAAATATTTGAATTTCAAAACGGAACCTGAAGTTAAAAAAAAAACAAGATAAACGGAAATGGCAGTATACCACTTTACTCAATGTAAATTATTTAATCGAAATAAAGTTCACTAATTATGAAAAATATGTTATATCATCAAAGAGAAACGTTTTTATATACCCACAATAGGTAAGAAGATTTCAGATGACAAAAACGATCGAATTAATTATTGCTAACTAATCGTTTTCTTATCATATTATCATATCTTACACACTCCAATTTTGGGGAGTACCTATTATAAACCCTTTTAATAAAATCATAAAGTAATGGTCATCTGGTGAGAAGTGAAAATTAAATTGAAACATAACAACATCTAAGACTTTCATATAGTTCAAAACCAGTTTTAACATTTTACTCATAATTTTCAAATATTTAAAATAACATTTCGTTTCTCCGTGTGCAATTTCTAACACAACTACAAATAGATAGGCGATAATGAGTACAGAAGACGATAAAATAATCATAATATCGTATACATATTGCATATATGAGATTTTTAACTCGGATGTTTTTGGATCGTTACTCTTTGTAATTAAACAAAAATATACGAAAAACAGCTACTGGCAGTAGTAAATGGCAATCATTACAGACCGTCTAAAAAAAAAAATATAGGCCAAATGTCGAGCGATTACCATACCCCCCCCCCCCCAAAAAAAATATCATGTTCAAATGCCCGATCTATGAAGTTATATTCTATAAAGACATCCTTTAAAAAAAACAAATAGATAGACAAGCAAAATTTGCAATTATATCTGCTAATAATAATAATAATACATTCAGGATACATGGCCGTAGGAAACGGGGGGTGGCCATGCCCCTCCCCCCCCCCCCCAATAATTTTGCCGATATATAGTATACTATATAAAACAAAGCCACTATATGCTTGTGCCCCGTCAGTAAAAACGTCTGATCCCCCCCGCCCTTTTTTTATTTTGCTTGTCAAGGTATTTTGGTAGTTGATAGTGCCCCCAACTGAAAATGTATGGCTGTGCCCCCCTCCCTCCAAACTGAAATTGCTACCTACGGGCCAGGGATCTATAATAAATTTATGCAATGACCGAGTCACGAAAAATCAATCGTTTTTAAATTAAATTTTTATCAAGGAGATTGAAAAAAAAATTCTTTTTTTTTTTTTGTAAATGTAATAGGTTATTTTTTTTTTGCTTCTTATTTTATATCAATGCTCTAATCTCCCCTTCATGAATTTACACTACTACATTACAAACATGCTTGCTGATCTTGGTTGCCCTCTCTCCCTTGGGTCTGTTACATTTAAGCGGAGTAACTCAAAATAGAAGAGATAGCGAGTAGCCTCCCTTTGACATTTTTTTTTTCATGTGTTGGCTAGGTCATGTAGCATGCATGCGATATTGAAATTACTTAAAACCATAAAGAGTTGTCACTGCCTTGGTAGTAAGTTATTCGTTTAAACAATATAGGGCATTTTTCTTATAGAGGCCTATCACAAAAATTACATGCGATCTGTAAAATCAATCTATTGTTTATTTGATCTGTCAACTCGAATTTTCTAGGTTCAATACTTCGTAACATAATTTATGTTAAGAAGTCTCGGATCAGTAAAGGTTTTCACTAATAAATATTAATTAATCTTTTGTCTTAAAATGCCACTAGCGATTTCTGAAACGCATGTTGGGTATGGGTTATATTTATAATACATGTATAACGTTAGTTATAACAGACTCTATTGCGTAACGTTAACCATTTGTAAGCTGTCGATGCAGACTTCACGACATACACAATTTATGTTTTGTAAGGTGGCAAAACAATCATTATAAATATGTCTTGGTAGTTGCATCCGATGTAAATTGTTTGATATTCTACGCTATTCCGACTCTGCCACTCAGGAGAAAATAAAGATGTTGCCTACATGTTTCTCGGGTGATCTCCCTTTGATTACATAGTGACCATGGTGACGAGGAGCCGGGAGTTGGAAAACAAATTCAAAGCATAAATTAATAGGCTGTCAGAGGAAAAGAAAACACATTATTACTATTTAAAAAAAAAACATTTCAGCATAATGATGAGTTATAGATCAACTTCTTGAAGGAAAAGTCTTGGGTCAGGACTGAGGCACGTAGTACACAAAATGTCCAACATGCAGTCAAGCTTAGCGAGAATTTTTCATACTTTTTTGCACCACAACACAAAATAACTTATAAAAAATATAACATTCGCATTTCGAAACTTTTTAATATTTACAAAAACAATATAGAAACTTTTTCTTTTCTATTAATGTAGGGTAATCCACGCTATTTTCACAGTGTGAGTCGGTGCTAAGGTATTTGAAGCGAACGAAAAGTATTAATTTCGATGTGGCCACACCCCTCGAACAAAATAAAAATATACTTTATTTATTCATATTTTAATCCTCTTTTCAATGGTATATATTTTATTTTGTTCGAAGGGTGTGGCCACAGCAAAAATTTGAACCAAAGACGAAAAAAATGCTTTATTTTGATAAAAACTAGCAAAGTGCGCATGTTTAGACATTTTCTGTACAAATATGACGTCATCAAATAAAAAAATTGGCACAAACTTTTTGAGTTTTATACCCAAGGATAATATTTCTATTGTTAATTTTCTTCTTCCCCTCAGTTTAATTTTCCTGAAAAAATAGGCCGTTTTAGCCCCTTCGTGGATTTAGCTCTTTATTCACTCACTACTCGAAACTCTTATTTGACTCTACTGCAACAAAAAATAGTGAGGGGGGCACAGAAATTACATTAAAGAGTATGATGATTGAAATATCACAATACATATCATGATGCAGTCCCAGAATATCATGATATATCACGATACACTTTAGCCGTGTATCGTTACATCCCTACTATACATGTAGTTAAATATTTGTTCAAAACATTTTATATATGCATGTGTGTTTACTTCAGTAACACATAAATTCAATTAAGAGAGGGAAAGAAAGAAAAAAGAAATTACATCTATGCATTGCATGCGTCATTAGCAACTTAAAGCGTCTTTTGGCAACGAAAACAAAATTCAAATACTTGGCAGTTCTCTAACATTCCAAAACCTCCTGCCTGTTGACGAAAGGAGATAACAATTGCAGACTTTCTGCTGTTACAATAAAAAAGACTGGTTATTTATGGCTTGGATGGACGATGCACAAATGCCATTATAAAACAGACAGGCCTAGGCCGATGTCAATGTGTACATGTATAAGAAATACGTGTTCCATGTGTTTCCAGGTCTCTTGGATTACTTTTCAGTTCTACTTCTCGAATAAGATCAGAATTTAACTGATATATAACAAAATAAAATTATTATTGTCTATGGTAAATAAATAACGAATACATGATTGTTCAATTAAGAATTTAGCACAAAGTCCTTTTAATTATTTAAATATGTGTAATTGATTCCTAATGTTTAACCAACATCACAACATTCTGATATTTCACGAAAGGCAGACTCTCAGATGAACTATTGTATTTAGTTTGATCATTTCTATCTTTAATCTAATACTCACAAAATTTTGTACAGTTTAAATGTTGATTTACTTCATTTCTAGACTGATATGAACAATTTCTAAAACGAGGTAAGTTATTGACAAACAAGTTGATGAAACAAAAATATAAGCAGTCTCGTTTAAAGTCGTCATTTCATAAGTTTTCGGTCAATACAATGACCTTGTCAGTAAATACAATTTATCATTAAGTCAAATGCTGACTGGCGTTTTTCATACATGCATGTACTTATTGTTAGGCCATTAATTACACACTGAATTGTAGACGTATTTTTCCGTTATTTCCCGATCATGATAAGGAGCACACTTCAGGTGTGACCGGTCGGTAGTGGATGCTCACTCCTCCATGGCACCTGATCCCACCTCTGACGTTTTTGGAGGACCGTGTTTGCTCTGCTCCTATTTTGTATCGTTTAATGGACTTTTGAGCTTGAATATTGTTCGTTAACTCCATACATTTCATGCAATGAATTGGCATTACACCCACCCACATTAAAAATAAATGACAACTTAAACTGTCTAAAAATTGTTGATTTGATATGATGTGATAGATTATGAATGTGCTTTTAATGTGAAACATGAACAGGCATATTGACTTATTGTTTCCTTTATCCTTGATCTTGCCGCTATCGTAAAAATAACACGTTATTACCTCAACAGCACCAAAAAAAGATACACATTATTTCATAATTTACTGAAATAAATAATAAAACGTGCACATTTAAAGGAAATAATAGGTAGGTTCTCTCTACAAAATTTTAGTTTTTGACTTTTTGGTGACTTTGAAATTAAAACAAAGTCAATTCCTTAATCTATTATATCTTGCTGCATGATCATTATGACCACAGAGACACGTCAATTTAAGTAGTGCATAATTAATAATAATTTCACTAATATACAATTGTCTGAAAGGTACCTGACTACATGTACCACGACAGTCATCTGAGTTGCATTTGCTCTTCGGAAGATGATTTAAAAAAAAAAAAGAAGAAGAAGATTTTTCCCTCTTTATTCCCAGGAAAAAATTCACCCCATTTTCTGGTCCCACTTAGACCTAAGGATTCATGACATAATATTGGTAGACATCATTCAGTGTCCTACTGTTCTTTAGTAAATGTTTAGTATAAATTCAAAGACTTTTTTCCCCATTGAAATACATAAAATGGTACAAATTGTAAAACTTTGATCCCCTGTAGTTGGCGTACCCTACATTTGCAATTGGGGGTATTTGATCTGAACTTAATTTGAATCTGCACTACCTAAGAATGTTGAATTTTATTATGACTGATAATGGTCCTGCTGTTCTCGAGAAGATTTTAAAAGATATTTTTCTCATATATTCCCATGTAAAACTGGTCTCTATTGCGGCCAAACCTGTCCCCCAGGGCAAGAATTTAATCCATCAAAAACTATATTATGTCAGGAAATTTTCACATTACGTGTAATTTAATCTTTCCTTTTTTTCTTATTTTTTTTTTTTTATTTTTGAGAAAAAGCTTTTTAAGATACCATTAAATTTCTCTATTTTTTTTTAATTATCTCCCCTTGAAAAAAAGGCTTGGCTCTTTAATTTTTGTCATTGAATCCATTTCATCTCAGTTGAAATTTTCTCAGGGCAAAAATAGAAGAAGTTCAAAATTTGAAAAATTTCCTGACTACACACAACAAAAACTTTTTAAGATCCCACCAAATTTTCCTTAACTCTTTCTTATCTCCCCTTGAAAAAAAAGTTTGTCACATTGAATCCATTTCACCCAAGAATGCAAGTTTTGTTGAAATTTGTCCTGTGGCATAAAAGACAAAGTTTAAAATATGAAAGTTTCCTGACGACACACAACAAATGGACAGACGGTCGCCAGACACTTTTCAATCAGAAAAGCCTCATTTGAGCATTTGGCTCAGGTGCGCTAAATACACCCTACGACATAAAAATGTAAGTGTATTTCAAATATTGATTTTTGCGTGCAGAGCAGATCTGAACAAATATAATTGATCACTAAATGTAAAATTATTAAAGGGAAGTATAAAGGGTGCAAGTGGGCATTCAATCTAGACTAGGTCGAGAAAAATGGCCGACATGCAGATACCAGTTAGCGGTGAACTATTAAAACCAAGATGTGATATACACTGTAGAGACTTGCTTCCCCTTTACTGTAAGTCCTGTGATACTCCTCTTTGTAGTGATTGTGTAACTCTCGGTCAACACAATGGACATCAACTGTGTGAAATCTCCAAAGTGGTTGAACTTCATCAGCGTGAATTACAGGAAGTTTTAAGGTTTTACCAAAGGTCAAGATGTCCAAAAATTTATTTTTACAATATCTCCCAAACTATATGAGGTATAAAGTTTAAACTTTTACAGTTTATAAATATATCATTGATTAACAGATAGAAAGTATCACTGAAAAATAAATATTTAAAAAATATATTTTTTGAGAGAAAAAAAAATTCAAAAAATTTGCATATTTTTAAAAAAATGCACCTGCTTAATTCTGTACTTTTAGTGAAAACCATCATTGCAGAAATAATATATGTTTATCAATGAAGGGCAAGTTGGACGTGAATGGTCTCTGAAAGGCTGTTATTGAAAGCATGACATGTATAAAGACAAGACCCCTATAAAATCCGCCATTTGCAATGTACTTTCGGTTTCAGATCTTAACATTTGGACAAAATAAACAGGGAAAACAACTTTCCAGAGGCTATCGAAGTCCAACTTGCCCTTCAATGATAAACATATATTGTTTCTGCAAAGATGGCTTTTACTAAAAGTACAGAATTAATTAGATGTATTTTTTAAAAATATATGCATTTTTTAAAAAAGAATTTTTCTCGATAAATACTTTCTTTAAGTATTTGTTATCAAGTGATACTTTCTATCTGTTAATAAATGATATATTTATAAACTGTAAAAGTTTTAAATTTATAAACCACATAGTTTTAGAGCTATTGTAAAAATAAATTTTTGGACATCTTGACCTTTGGTAAAACCTTAAACACCGAAAAGACTACTCCGTTTCTGGGGAAAATCCTTATTGAAAACGAAGAAAAACAGAAGTGTCTTGCTGTTCACACAGAAAATCTCATTCGCAATATTATTAAAAGAGAGGAAGAAATTCGTGAAATGGTGAGGCAGTGGAGGGAGAAAACGGTGGGTAAAGTCATGACCTACACAAACGTTCGTGAGAATTTTTTGAGGAAAGAACAATCCTTAATTCATGCTTTACTGCACCTTAAAGAAAAAGGCTTCCAGCTCGATTCCGAAGAAATGAAATTGGAGATCATGTACTTGAATTGCGAAACAAGACGTCTTCTGACCAATAAAGCAAATTTATCAGATATCGGAGCTTCTTACGATTTTGAAAAAGGATCCCTAAATGATGATTCAAATGATATGTTCGGAAACATTTCAGAGGTTGAAACCTCATCAGATTCAATTTCATTCAGTCACAATGAAAAAAATGAACAGAAAGAATTTGTAGAAGACGAGGAAGAATTTCATGACTGTTTAGAATTACCAAGGACTTATCAAGCTGGTAAAGCATCTATACAAGGTATCATACCCATAGACAGTATCAACGTTGTTTTGCAAAGCTCGAATACGGTCTATCTTTGTAATTTCGAGGGAGAAAAATTTAGTATGTCTACGATTTTGGAATGTGTTCATCAGATTGCCCATATACCTGCAACTGGAGATATACTTGCGATAATGGAAGACCAAAAGCAGATCAGACGAATTACATTTAATAGGAATGTGATAACAAAGTTCATTTATACCGACCAAACAAATGATTATTTCTGTTGTTTGACGTCAGGAGGGAAAGAAGCTTATGCTTGTGTAGTTATATATTCAACAACATCAGCAAGATATTCAAATTCTAGTCATATAAATTTATTAAATGATTACGGTGTGATTTTGAAGAAGATCCAAAAGTCTTCCTATTACTATACGAGAGCATTGTACTGGGAAGGATATTTTCTTCTCATTTCATCCGGTTCTTTCTATCAGATTGAAAGGACTGATTTAATAAAACAATGTCCAATGGGACACTTTTATAAACAATATCGTGGATCAGTTGGAAGCTACCCGGAATCACGATTTTGCCCGACAGACTTGACAATAGACAGTGAAGACAATGTATTAGTGGCTGTCTATAACGACAATGCTATACATCTACTAGACAAATCCTTGACTTTCCAGAAACTTCTGATGACAGAGGAGGATGGATTATGTCATCCTACTGCTGTTACTATAGATACCAGTGGTTACTTGTGGGTGGGATGTGAAAATGAACAAATATACAGGGTTAATTATCAGTATCTCTTTAGTACAAGTAGACAAGATAGACTGAAGTTAATGCATGTACCAGTCAATGAAAAAAAGAAATATGAATCTACTGGTCTTTTTTCATACTTTTCACGCATACTTCAACAACTACGATGGAAATTTAAATAATAAATATCATTAAATAAACTAAGGTGCATTTTCTTTGTACAAGTAGAATGTACAAATGCAAGGATGTTAAAAATTTCATTCATTTGCACATCACAGCTGTATTAGTAAAACCAATACACTGACATGTACTTTTATTAACTTTTCTTTCAAATCAAGTTAACTAAGTCATCTACTTGATTGACTCCTCAACTGTCTACAAGTCTAGAAATTTGTATCATATAGGCCTATAGCTACTGTAGTATTATTTCTGATGAAATGATTGGGTTCATTCAAAATTATTGTTCATACAGAAAAAGGATGAAACAGCACTTGTGGAAATTTTAAAATATACAATGTACTAATGCATCACCTATCATTGTATTTATGGTCAGAACTATTTAGATAATCTGCACAATATTCTTCTAAAATATACATGTATTCAACAACTAAATATGGTTGTTTTTAGCTATATATTTATTACATGTCTAACGACAACAAAGTTTTATAATTCTCTCTTTGTAATAAATGTTAATCATTATCAATATCAGAATCACAGGATTACATGTATCTCTTACAATGGACTCTGTTATTAGTCAGAGTCATAAGGCATCAACACAATGAATATCTGTCTGCAACACTTGCACCAAATACCAACATACGACACAATCAAGATTAACAGCTACAAATGGTAATTTTCAAAAATTGCTGACACTCATTACAAAACATCATAACAATGCAGTCCAGCACATTGGAATAAGCTGAGAGTCTGGAGCGGCCTCTACTTGGTGATTCCAATTACTCCGCAGGCCAGACGCCCACCAGCATTACCGGTCGTCTTGCTGAGTTCATGACCTCCTCTCCCTAAGTCATCAACGTCAGCATGGATCTGTGGAAGAAAAAAAAACATTACATACTTACAACTTCTGTGAGCACATCAATGATTTTCAGTAGAATGGAAAAGATAAAAGCTGCTACAATAGCTTTTGCTTAAAGAAAATTTCTAATAGGAATTTTCTACAGTGTACACCTCTGTGAATTTTCAAGATTCTATTACTAAAAACTTTAAAGGAACTTCATATTTGCATTTCCACTTTTATCTGAGTTGAAAAATGATTTGACCTGTGAAAAAAGCCCAAGCATATATTTCATAATAAATATGCACTATATTCATGATATTTTAGCACATTGTGTAATCTGATATATTCTGTAATTCAATTCTCTTACCAATTTAAGTTAGGATAAGAGTCCTTGACAAAATTATATGGAAGTTAAAGGAAGATAACTCTAGATAGAGATTGCCATGGTGCACCGATATGTATTTAATCTTAAACCTTGCTCCATCCAACAAGACAAACATGTATTTACTCATGCACTGTAAAATATCATCAAAATTATCTTCAACATTACCAAATCTATACTTCTATACAATAGAACTTGACACAATGGTGGAATGAGGACCAGCTGAATCAGTATAGGGCATTCAAGATTGTAGCAGCTAATCTAGGTGTTAGGTTAGATATCTTGGTCATACTGAACTCACTGTGTGTATTGAGGCTTGTTATCGCTAGGCTAGCATATTGTTCAAAATCATAAGGGGCTACATAGAGCTACGTAGCCACTGCAATCTTGAATACAACTCTAAGCTTAACAACCTAGTTTGCCCAATGAGGGACTGAGGACCAGCTAAATGAATATACCAGAACTTACCACCATTGTTCTTCCAATGATGGACTGGGGACCAGCTAAATCAATCACTTTATCAGAGATGTTAATCTTGGCGACCCCGTCCTCGCCAGCGGTGACATTTCCCAGATCTCCTACATGTCTGTCTGCATCATCTGGGCCAGCATGGTCTTTGTTGAAAGGGTTAAAGTGTGCTCCAGCACTGGTACAGCCTGCAAGGAAAACACAAAATACTGTAATTCATCTCTAAGGGCAACTTGATCAATGAAAAGATTAATTTGAATCTTCTATAAAGAAGTATAGACACAATTTTGAGATTTATATTCTTCAATATTTTTGGTAGAATTTCATGACTTTCATGTTGCCAGAACATTTCAAGTCAATTTATTATAAAAGTCTAGTTAGAAACTTGTTTTATCTGAAAATTTTCAGAACTATAAATTTCAGGCAAAACTGATTGCCTAATATTCTTGCACATTCCCATACTAAAATTTATCCTTAATCTTTAAACCTTCAGAGGTTTTTTACCTGGTACATAAATTTCTATTTTTAGTAAAATAGCAGCTAGCCACTTTGTTGAAATGAAAATTTATGTTTCTTAGTGTAGTCTTCTTTTGTAGTAAGTTTTATTAAAATCAGATCAAAACTGTAAGAGGAATGGTGCTTTGAAAGAATTTCGCAGAAATTTCTACGTAAAGTAGTAATACAATGTATGTAATATCACTTATTCCCTATTCGGCACATGAAACTTACCATGATAAAATGCTTAAGAAGAAAATTACCATTTGTGTTGTCTCCAAATTGATGAACATGAAATCCATGTTGTCCTGGTGTCAAACCACTGATTTCACCAGAAACAGTCACGGGAGATCCTGGTGCCTAAAGAAGAGTTATTACCAGTTGTATCATTACATGGAGTAATTACCAGTTATACCACAACATAGAGTAATAACCTGTTATATCATAACACAGAGTAAATACTAGGCATACCACAAGAGAGCAATGTCTTGTTATATCATAAAACAGAGTAATTACCAGTTACACCACAACACAGAGTGATTACCAGTTATATCACAACACAGAGTGATTACCAGTTATATCACAACATAAAGTAATTACCAGTTATATCACAACACAGAGTAATTACCAGTTATATCTTGGGGTATAACAATATACTGGTATTTACTGGTATGATGGTGTTGTCGAATAAAATAATAATTGATTAATCAACGTGTAAACTGCACTTAGAAGTGTTCACAAAAATAAATATTATAACAGGAAATTCAGAGGGACAGTCTGATGCATTTCACAGGACAGACTGAATTTTTGGCTGACTGAATATTTTTGTCAACAATAACAATTCAAACTTCCAATCCAATCCCTATCAACTCGGATTATTAAGTCAATCAAATAACAGTTACTTGAGTATATATAAAGCCAGTCTCTTAATATTTTAAAGGCAGCATCTACTTGTAAATTATGGTATCTTATCATATCTGTTCTCTGGTCTTGTTGTAGTCAGAATAATCTAACTGTGTCTCAGGACAGGCCCTTAAACCGGGTCCGTAGGACATTATTATTTTAACGATAGAACATTCTATCTAGTCTTGTTGGTATGGTATCTCTTAGTCTTTTTTAAAGATGTCAAAGACACATATAAAATCTGATGCTTCATTTGTTTGTTATGTGAGAATTAACGGTTGGAACTATTGTAGAAAAAATTACAAAACCTGCATAATAAAGGCTGGACATCATTTCAATCTGCATACACTTACATCACTTAAAATGATATGGGTAAATAAAAATCAAATGTTCTAAATTTAAGAAAAGGCAATCTGATCTAATTCAATTTCATGTTCAATATCAATTTATGAAACAACGGTGAGTTGAATTGTCACACCATTATAGCGAGCGCAGCGAGCGGCGCGAAGCGCCGCTCGTCACTGCGAGCTCTAACGACAACGCCTGGGCGAAGAGAAAATTCGGACTACTGCACATTCATTCAACAGAATTTTTTTCCGCAGTAATTCTGACCCACAATGCATCGCTTCTTGTTCTCGCTGCTAACTTCGTTCACGCGGTGACAACAACTAAAAATTCACACAAAATAAACTCACCTTAATTTAATGGATATTGCCTGCAGATAGTAGATTAAACGTTCTTTTTTAAAATATTTGCACTTTTTAAACTTTGTTTATGGAAATGCAGCTAACATACGACGTCATGTGACGTCACAGTCTAGACGTTCCAAATGTCTCGTGCGGTTTGAAGAGACGGATCATAATAAAGAAGTGAACACTGCGCTCGCCCCAACGGTCGCACCGTCAACATATTAATGGCAGTTTATAAGCAGAATTATTATTTTTTTTATGATCTCAAAGACATGATCTTGATCTTTGCATAGATTTTATATGTTTTCATTCACGAGTAACTTTCAGTGACCTGGAGTTTTACTGTATTTTGAAGAAGGAGAAAGTCGTATGTGTGGCTGTATGCGGTGATTCAGAGGAAATCCTGATTGTATTTCGTGTGCAAATTCGAGACGTTCTAAATATTTAACTTCATACAAAGTATCAAATTAAATTCACCTCTTGGTTAAAATGCACTGTTCCTGTGACATTACTATCACCTTTCAGAACACACACGGCCTTTAAAGGAGCTGACATGGCTTTATTTCTATGAAACACGCCGACAAGGCAATTCTAATGAATAACTTTTTCTTGGCGACGACTGTCAGTGTCGTGTGCAAAACAGTGATATTTTGGGAACAACGATCCCGGGGTTAAAAACTGTGGGTCTACAAATTTTTAATTTTTGTATCTGTCTTCAAGTTCTATTAAGTACTATTAAGTTCTGACTCTCGTATATCCGTTTAGAGAAGTGGACAAGCTTTCGCCTTCATCCACGGATGTAGGCGAAAGTCTGTCCAGTTCTCTAAAGAGAATATTGAGTCTCGCTGTTCAAATGCTTTAAATGGATACACATGTAGAAATAATTCTATATAAATTAATATTTTTTGACATTTTTAGGGCCGTCTCCAGATGGTATCTGAAAACGGGTGCGGGACCGGGAGAGTCCCGGAGGCTTTCGCAGCTGTTTCGGCGCTTCCACTATTATGGGTATTGTTTTAACAGTTTAATGGCTTGTGGACCACTCTTCGGATCATTTTTCCCCCAAAAGTACATGTAAATGAACAAAATGTAACAGCATTATACAACTACATATGACGTCATATTCTATAACCATCTATGTGTTGTATAATTCCCGATATAATGAATTTATTTTGTTTCGAAATTGATTTTTGTTTATTTTTTAAAAACAGAAAAAAGGGGTGCGATCGCACCCCCCTTCCCTTACTCCGTTTTGGCCTTGAATTTTCAATATCACATTTTATTTACACCTACATGTATATTCTATATAACCATCTCTATTCTATGACCATGTCAAATTTACTGACATTGACAATGTATGTATTTAATTGATATAAAAAAGAGCCATTGATTGTTAATGTTTACTTAAAAAAATATATTTTATTGAATATGAACACAAGTTATTCTAATTTCGATTGTCCTTTCAGGGACTTATATACTGTACTAAGTATGGACTTATATACTGTACTAAGTATGGACTTATATACTGTACTAAGTATATACTTCCCTGGTCCTCTCAAACTCACAGAAAACAATAAACACATAACGTGAACTGATGTACAGATAAAAGAAATATGAATGATATTAAATATGAAATTATTATTACAAGTGCAATGATGTAGGGGTGCACATGTTGTTGGGGGGGGGGGGGGCAAAAGAAAAAAAAAGAGAGAGAAGGGGGAAGTTTTGAAGATTTACAACGATTCATCGGAGTCGCATTTCAAATTTTTATATGGACTATTAATGAATAGCTTTTAATAACACATCAACATAAATGTTACAATACCTTGGTTCCCCAGTACATACGGAATTGCTTCAAGATTCGTGTGAATGCATTATAATTTTCTCGATGGGGATCCGCTACTAAATATGAATTATGGGAGACGGATTAATATAACTGAGTACTTAAATGTTTCGAAATCTACTATCATTGTCTGTGTTGATGAATTTATGAAACTGATGTATAAAGGCAGGCGCGGATCCAAAAATTTCATGACAAGCAAAAAAAAAAAAAAAAAAACTAAATTCCAATTCCCAAACGTGAAAAACACCTATTTCATGGTGGTGATGGTGGGGTCCCCGTTTTCGGGGGAGGGGGGTTCAACGTCATTTTTTATTTGTTCCAGTATATACATTTAATAACTCTGCAAATTCCAGGGGGGTCCTGACCCACCCCCACCATGTAAAGTAGAGACACGCACCCCCTCTTCCTTCTCCGCTTACGCTTTTGAGATTTTGATCAATTAAATTGTGTTAATCAGCTAAAAATTTGATACAACTTCTCTAAATCCTGGTTTTAAAATGTGGGGAGGCGTTTAATAAACTTTTTTGGAAAAAAAAGTGCTCAAGAGTGTACCATCTCAAAAATTGCGGCATCTTTGGATAAATACTCACTTTTAACAACGAGATTAGAATTACATGTAATTTGAATATCCGTGTATATTAACGGCTACTTTCTTCACTTCAAAAGCCTAAGAAAATCAAAATAAAAGAATTTACGAGGAAGCGTTGCTTTTAATAAACGGGAAACTTTAAAACAAAAACAAAAATTATCACCATATCAAAAGTATTACTTTAAAATTAGTAATTATAGCTAAAATTGCAGTTTCAGTAAGAATGAACGCGAAAATCAACGTAACAGAGGGCGAAAAGAGTGACGCGTATTACGGAAACAATGAAATGACGTCACAGAATCGTTACTCGCAAAATGGCTGTTGCTAAATCTTTAGTTACAAAACGTATCAGTGAGAAACTTGCTCCGTCTAAAGCATTGCAAGACGCAAAAGAGAAGCTAGGTCCTGTTTATTTTGATGCCAAACTCGTGGAATGTCCCCAGAATGCTGTGGAATTGGCGAAACTCCTAAATAATTTAGATGAACTTGATAAACAACGTATGAAGATTCTAGACGAAGCAAAGAAAAACCAAAGAATTCTACTCCAAACACTGCAGTCTAGATATACTTTTTCAAAATCTTCTCCAACGCTTTCAGCCAATCAAAGCATTCGTGACATCAAACTTCCACCCCCTGGATTTCGTTATCATGCCAACGGAGATCCTAAACTGTCATTACTGGAATCTCGTGGAGAAAGTCCATACCCTCAGGAAACAAGTTTTCAAAATATCACTGAACACGATGACGTGTTGCTAAAGCAGACGTTCATTGCATCGGATAGTAACTTACATCAACTACAGAAAGCGCGGAATGCTGACGAAGAATCGACTGATCTTGAAGAAGAAATAAAGGAAGTCGAGAATCTGATAAGAGAAATTGAAAAAGATTTGAAGCGGAGCAAGATAAGTGTGCATGATATTGGTTCAGCTCGAGAGAAAGCCATGTCTTTTCTAAGAGCGCATTCTCACGGAGCAGATGCTTTGGCAAAAAGTATCTCCGAACCCCTGTCCTTCTCTAAACCAAACGATAGGTTTCCTTTTCAGCCAGGGACATCTACATTTGCATCCAAGAAAAGTTCTCCAACATTAAAAGAGAGGCCAAAATCTACATCCCATTCCAGTTGTATTGCATGTCAGTATAAACTTAAACACTCTAGCGAAGACTTTAAGCGGTTAACAGACAATATTAATGGATTAAAATTCAAAAAATGGAATATTGCTCCAAGTGGCACTTTGGTCAAATCCCCATCTTTGAAGATACCCGTTAAATCTTCGATCTTACAGTCTAGCAGTTCCTCCAAATCCAAAATTTCACCTACTAATCGAGTGACTTTCAACCTGGACAAAGGTACCAAAAGCGAAGCACTGATGAAAACTAGACCAAAGTCCTCGATCGATTCCAAAGTCCCTACAGAACAAGCTTGTGGTACTAGGTTGACGCAGAGTGCTTTGTCCTACAGAGGCAGATCAGGGTCCGCTTTGTTTGACCATCGCTCTGTCATTGAGGCATGGAAAGAGATTACGGTAAGGATGAATTAGCGACGAATTTGTTTAACTTAAAGAAATATCATTTAAGCTCATTTAATTAATTTAAATTATGTTAGGATAACCAAAAAGTATCTTTTCAGGAGGAAGAAACTCAGCATTGTAACGAGAAAGTTAAAAGGTTCCTTGAATCTTTGCAGAAACATCCATCATGAACGAAAATTAATGGGCTTCTTTATACAGCTAGGATTAAACTAAATAAAAAAAAATGAAAAAAAGATATATACCAATACTTTTTTCAATGCATACATGTACTTTTGCACTATTGCACACACCTATAATATGTTCTTTATGATAATTTTATCTATTATCATGAAGTCAAGAGGCGCTGTACAATAAATACCATGAAAAATTTATCCAATGAGTGATAACCGCTGGATGAAGATGGTAAACATATGATAAATGTTGTATTATGCTTTCAATACATGTGACAGCTTATTTTCATTCAGACAGTGCCTTGCCAAATCTAAATCCGTTTTTCATTGACTGCCACTTAATGAAAAGGACGAGTACGTGACAATTTTATTCATGTGTAGTGTTTTCCTTAATTTTGTAACTCATGACTAACCTAGTCATGGGATGTTTAGGAAGGTTTTAGAATGCAAGACATGAATTTCAAATTTATGGAAATGTCTTTCAAGGGCACTAAACGAAGATATTTGTGTCTTAATCAGTTAGATATTAGTATTTAAACAAAAGATATACGTCATAATGAAGGGGAAACACAACACGGGGTCTAATGAATGCAGGTAATTTGTTCATATAAAATGGCAAGGTATCACATTATAAACTTACGTAAACAAGATAATTAAACAACATTAAAATTTTGCAATTATCAAGGCTTTCAAATAATTATTTCAATTTTCTTGAACTTGTTTGTTGTTGTTGTTGTTGTTGTTGATTGTTTGTATGTTTGCATGTTTTTTTAATTCAGTACTTTCTTATTTTCAGCCTTCCACCGATTTCACTTTTGTCTGTCTGACTGTTAATTCAAGTTTCCTTCAAAGGTGTTTAGGATTAATTATACTGTCAAATACTCAAATAGCTATGAAGCTAGATTCAAACCTCTGACAAAAAAGTTGCTTACTTGATGTAGGAAATTATAGACCTGTCAGTATTTTGAGTATAGTTTTTAAGGTTTTAGAGAAGGCTGTTCATACACAACTTGTTAATTTTTGAGATCAACTCAAAATCTTGTACGAAATTCAATCTGGTTTTAAGAGTACCGCAAGGCAGTATTTTAGACCCTCTATTTTTTAAAATATTATATATGTCAATGATATGGCTTCCAGTATTGATCCTGACTGCAAACTTATTTTATTTGCTGATGATAGTACATGTAGACTTACTTTCTCATAAAAATGCGAATTTCATTTCAGAAAAAAACTTAATACTAAAACAATGTTCAAATTGGCTAGTAAATAATAAGTTATCCCTACAGCTGGAAAAGACTGAATATATTTAATTTGGATCAAGAAAGAAGCTTACAAGTGATCAAGACTTTCACAATGAGTGTAATGGACATATCAGTCATTCTACACAAAAAAGTGCTAGAAATTTTATTGATCATTTTTTAAGTGGAGAATTTATCATTGAGTCCATTATACAAAAAGTCAATTTTTACAGCTGCAGAACTGCAGCTCTCCGAAAAAAAAAAATTTGACAGACCGGAGAGCTACAGTGTCATCCATTGAGAAAACTGTTCAACCATCTCTTTCATGTTTCCCAAATATGCCTTTCAAAAGATTATGTGTATTTTCTGTATGATGACTTGATACCAAATAAATGATGATGATGACGATGAAAGAGGAACAGATTAAGTTTGAATTTTGTGGGATTCCAACTGTTCATATGGAAAATAATAGAATCTATTCCCAAAAAATTGTTGAACGTATTGTTCTCCGGAAATTATTTTGGATTGAAATGGTATTACATGTGCACAAAAGAGTTCCACATCAAGGCTGTATTTTAAAATTTTATTTGTAACTTTTTTTTATCGGCGTTCACACCTAATTACATGTAGTTGTACGAAAAGTCATTTAGTTAATGATAAACTGACGTTCTTGTGTTTGTGGGCACTGCATCATTCACTCAGCCACCAGTACTGAAACACAAAAGTACATATTTTAAACATGATTAAATACATGTACATTAATTAATCGTGTTTTTTGATGAGCACTAATTAAAAGATTCTTGTGTAATTATATTCTTATTTATTTTAAAAATATACACCTTGGACAGTGTTTATTAGGTGAAATATAACTATATATCATTTATTTAAGGAAATGAGGTCTAATTATACTTTGTAATGTCAAATCATAATGAAATCTTTTTAATTTAATACACTAAAAGAACTATACGTAAAAACAGCTGTTTTAATGTCTCGCAATCTTTCTGTCAATCCAGCCCGCTGGCATTTGACATCTGAGCAGTTACCGGGGGGGGGGGGTAGCTCTCTCTCTCTCTCTCTTTGGAAATCTGTTATATACATGTATTACAAAATATTCTTTTAGGACACGTATGTACAGTCAGGGATCTAGATAAATACAGATGAAAAGGGGGAGATTTTTTATTTTTAGATGTACGTGTGTACTGGTCATTTTAATAATACCTGATTTTCAACAAAAGAGTGTTGTTTTTTTTCTCTCTCTACAGGAAACGTCACCACAGCTTAGACTTTATTTCAGTAAAAATATGTACAAGATCTGTAAGACTACCTAAACTCTTTTGAATCATCTACATATAATAACCAACATCATTTTTTTGGACAATTTACACGAGGACGATAAAAAGTGGAGGGGAGAGTTCTAACGAAGGAATGTTAATTATTCAAAATATACTTTTGTTCATTATGAAATGGTTATTAATCAAACTACAAGGTGTTTCATAATATACATTGCATGTTACATTTTCAAATCTAGATATTTTTCTTTCATATTTTTAATACTAATCATATATACTATTTTAAACATCAAATCCCACATTTTTATTCCATATGAAAATGTCAAAGAAATCATGGTGTTATAATTATGTTTACTTGTGACATAACGCCTATGTCATGCATGTAATTTGAATATTTTTCGAATGGCTATAACTTATCAAGGTATTGCTGAATTGTAAAGCTCTTTTATCAATACAAATCACTAAAATTCATTCAGATAGTTGATGAAGGAAATTATTCCAAAAGAAAAGAAGCTTTCTAGGATGTTTTTCTGAATAGATGTACTTTACGAGATTCAAGTTTGAAAGGACAGGGATGGACAATATACTATATTTACATTCCACATGTATTTTGCTTATAAAGTGTGAAGAAAGCTACGGCATTCAACACATACATATATATGCAATAAATGACACGCGATAATCCAGGAAGATTAAGGACTTCAAGGACCGAAGATTTTTGTGAGACTCTATAAGAAAGTTTAGCAAACTCTTCAGAAAAGTGTCAGATAGATGTTTTCAGAAATTGATGTTTGCAATATCAACATTTCCAGTGTATATTGAACTTTGAAATATGATATGAAGTTATCAACGTACAAATTCTCAATAATGCAACAACCTCAGGAAATAAATTTGTCCTGCATTCGCCAGATCTCGATCTTTCGGACTTTTTTTCTGTGGGGGTTCCTTTAGGACAGGGTCTACAATCCTGATTGCAGATACTGAATGAGCTCAAAAAGAACAAAAAATTTCAATGAGGAGTGTGTCAGCAAAAATGTGTGACTACATTTATAACAATTTCAGAAGCAACTTTTCCGTTTAGTTGAAATCACAGGCACCTTACGTTACTGTCTTTCTGACATACTTTCTATTTATCAATAAAAATATGCATTATGACTACTTTAAGTAGTCATAATGCATATTTTTATTGATAAATAGAAAGTATGTCAGAAAGACAGTAACGTAAGGTGCCTGTGAGACATTACTTATTTTTCTTTTACTAAAAAAAAATATATCCCTACCTAATAATTAGGTAGAGGGTATATTTTTTTATTTAAAAAAAATAATGTCAGGTGCCTGTGGTTGAAATAGACGAAGATCATTTAGAACATGTGAGCTTTTGACATTGTCAAATTCAGCGCAACAAAAATGACACAATTTAAAAATTTCGCTAATTTTCATTAATGGTTGACATTTCATCCAGTGTTTAATATTTTGGTTGGTAAGTGTATATGTATATAATGAATCTAATGGATAATGCATCAAAATTGATGCAAACATTTGTCTGTATTTTTTTCTTGTGTTTGTTAATTTGTAGATTCAAAATGTAACATATATAATGAAACATCCACGCTGTATGTTATAGATCTGTGAAGGGTGTTGAATAGATAGAAAATATTTTTATTTTGCTTTAAAGTAGCATTAACAAAAATATAGTCAAAATAAATGTATGCAATGCACGGATCCAGAATTTTTTCCAAAGGGAAGCCCAAGCCCCCCCCCCCCCCCCCAAAAAAAAAAAAAAATCAGTCATATTCTTGACCAAGAAAACGACAACAAACAAACAAAACACACACACAAAACGTAACCTGGAAAACCTAGTGTGTGTGTGTGGGCGGGGGGACTTCTTAAGCGTCATATGTATGGCTCTTCCTACCAACTTAGCAGGAACCACGTTTTCTTATGGGGAGGGGGTTCAAGGTGTACTTTACTATGTATATTTAATAACTACGCAAATTCGAAAGGGGGGTTCTGACCACCACCACCCCTGCCCTAGCTCTATATCCGCGCATGTATACATTATACATATAATTAATGAAAAATTACATGTACATGTGACGCACTGTCGCATCAAGTAGATGTTTTTTCTCCCCCGAGCAGAAGGTGGACTCGCTGAGAAACATTTCTTAAGACCAGTATCCAGTATTACATTAAAAGTTTAAATCTTAATTTAATCTTATCTATAACTAAGAAATATTACAAACAAGATAAATCAGAATTTAACCTAGTACAGAGCACAGATGTGTAATCTATGGTTATCAATGAAACCTGACATTGTAACTACATGTTATTGAGATGAAGAAAATATTAACATTACATGTAGAAACAATATTACCATTTTAGTCTCTGACGTCACCAGTTCTTGGATTGTCCACTTCATTGTGCTTAATTTTCTTTTTAAAAATGATATTCCTATAACCTAAGACTTTTCCGTAAGCCTTGTCATATTAGGTCTGAAACGGTTCTAGATCAATGTATTCATTAGCTAAATATTGCCAATTCTTTCTCTTTATGACATACAGCGTTTTTTCTTGCGTTTAAATGTTAATTAACTTTTTCTTTAAATAGATTTATTTTATTCAAATGAGTCGTAAAGAAGAAAACGTAATGACCAAGAAGTCAAAAGTGGTCTATCTATCATCGTCCGACTGTGAAGCGACGGTCCGAAGTCCGCATGAAGCTCTCTCCTTCCCGCCAGAATGGGAACGATTCGTACATATTGGCCGTGGTTTGCGACATATCTAGATAGTGAACGAAAATTGCAGGCCCGTAGAACATAGGGGCGCACTTTTTTCTGAGTGCTTGTATAGTATTTTGCTAGAGTAAATTTTCCTTTAGATGCTGGTTGCCCCCCCCCCCCCCCACTTTTTGATGTTGTAAGGTCGAGCACTGGCAAATTCCTGGATTTTTTGCTTGTCAGATAATTTTGGGAAGTCCCCCCCCCCCCCCACTTTTGGTCATTTTTTTTTTGTTGGTTGCTTGTAAGATTTTTTTTTGGTCAGTTTAATTTTTTTTTTAAATTTTTGCTTGTCAGATTTCTTTTGGGAAGTGCCCCCCTCCCTTCCCACTTTTGAAACCGTTGCTACGGGCCTGAATTCTTAAACCCGTAAAATGTGCGGACATAAAAAAAACCTCACCTGTTTGTCTAGAACACAAGCCACTAGCATGTTTCACAAGAAAAGTTGAAAAAATTGGTACAGGGTTATATCTGTAAAAATAAGATTTTTGCAATGTGTATTTGCAATGGTATTGCTTCACGTGTTTCAGCGATATATGTTATTTAGAAAACTTTTTTGGAACTGATTAATTACAAGTAAAGCTTAATTTTTGATATTTGATAAATAATTGTAGTATAATTGATTCATACATGTAAGGTTAAATATCAGTCAATTGGCGCGTATATTCTTATTTATTTAAATGATCTTTGTTATCTTTGTGTAAAAAAAGGTTAATTAATTTATTATCAAAGTCACAATTTTACATGTAAAATTTGATTATTTACCCCTGGTAAAATATAAACATGACGCGTATGGATAACAATTTCATCAGTTGAAACTGAAAACTTAATTTTTAAATAAAAAGTTGCACACGCCAAAGCAAGTAAAATGAATCAAAAACGTGCAATTACATGTACATGTACAATGTTAAGCCCAACTCGTATCCTGAATTTACAATGAAATATTACCATAGTATATAAAAAACTGTTACTGTTCTTAAGATTATGGTTTAGGGAAATATACACAAAGAAATATACATGTACCGAAAGAGAAAGAGGATGAGTCTATATTATCATTTTGTGACAAAATATTCCTTATAAAAAATGTTGCTTTGTTTGATTCTGTCCATAATATATTTTACAATTCAAGATGTTTAAATATAATGAATCAAATACACTTAATTAAACTTAATTGTATATCCCATTTTTCTTTTCTTTTTCTTTTTTTTCCTCTCATTTTCCCCCATAAAACCGGTAATATGTCAAACTTTTCATCCCTCTGCTTAATTATCAAACTCCATTGTGTTATTCACTAAATACAACTCGTATCTCATATGTACATGTAATATATATATATATATATATATATATATATATATATATATATATATATATATATATATATATATATATATATATATATATATATATATATATATATATATATATATATGTATGTATGTATGTATGTATGTATGTATAACAAATATACTTTGAATGTAAACATTAATTTGTACTGATCGATGCACCTTGTTCCTTATGGAGAAGGCTTACATAGGCAATGCCTGCTGCCTAAACATTATAAAATGTTCAAATTAAATGAGAGAGAGAGAGAGAGATGGCTTGTGTAAATAGCCTTGATCCCAGATCGATAAAACAACATCATGCTTGGGCACCGCTCTGCGATCTGCGATAATAATGATCATCCAAAATTCTCAGGTGTGTATTGAAAAAGACCAACTGTTTATATTTATAGTTTAAAATATGTGACGCACTTAGAATCGAATCGTGCGTATCGCTTTTCTGGCGAGTCTAGAAATATTCTAACGAGTCACGATTTTGGCCGAAGGGCTTAAAGCGAAGAGCGGCGCGTGTAGAATATTTCTTAAGCCTAGTTATGCCGCGAGGCTTTAGTTAAAGGTAATTCTGCGCTGAGGTGATAACTTCTTTCAGCGCTAATTATATCAGGACATTGCACTTCAATACATTTAATAATCAATTGGCTAAACAGCCTAGTAAGATTGCTCTCCAAACTTTTCTGAAAGTTTATCATTTAACTTTGGAATATAGTTAAAGTGATGTGCCAAAAACGTTCTACAAGTGGATTTTTTATTTAAACAACTGGGATTAGCATGGATACAAATTGTGGTGAGTAGATTTTTTTTTATCTGAAAAAAGATTATTTGCGACCCCCCCCCCCTTTTACACAATAAATGATATCAATTTTATTTAATATGTATATATAGGTATTTTTTCTGTGCACATTGTTATAAAGGGGAGGGGGGTTGTTGTAAAATGTCAAATTCTGAATGTTGTTAATTTATATAAGTGTTCAATTAGGCAATTAAGAGAAAAGAGGGCATGCTATTGCTGTTGAATAAGTATAAATATATATATGAGGAACATCGTTAAAAAGAGAAATAGGGAAACTGTCTTTAATTTTGAGGGCCTTGGGAACAAGTTCTAGCTGCAGATCCGTAGCTCGCTGGTCTTAAAATTGGGATGGTCGTCCATCTCTATTTTTTTCAAACCAGCGAGCTACATATCTGCAGCTACATGTATACAAGCTTTCATTTTTTTTCGGTTAACATTTTGAGTGCTTGGTAGATTTTTTTTTTTAATTAAGGTCTCTCATGAGTAAGTGAGGGGGTTGTTTGTCGGATTATGAATATCTTTAAAGTAATTTTATCAAAAGAAAAAAAAAATAAATAAATAAACAAATAAATAAAAATAATTAGTAATAATAAAAGTATACAATTCATGTATTATCAAATCATGGGAGCGTCACGACAAATCAACCACAAATAATAATAGTTTTGTGAATGAGCACTAATGGAGCGTAATGATAAATTATCAAGTAGTTTTCCGCACGCTCATCATTGACAGGTGTACTTTGCATCCCATTTGCTGACCATAGGACTGCATGTGTAAAGCATAAATACCATATGATAACGAAGGGGACCAGTCTCGTATATAGATGAACGCGTGTTCTCAAGTAATATCAGGTCACGATCTGGAATTAGCAATTATTATTTTTTTTATCGTGATTTGATAATTATTTCTTGTAATGTATAACAAATATCACTATAATAGATCATTTGCTTACTTAATTATTTCTTAAAAAAAAAAAAAAAAAAAAAAAAAAAAAAAAACAAAAACAAAAACAAAAACAAAAAAAAAAAAAAAAACAGAACAACACCCGGCTGCATGAATCTTGATTTTTTTTTTCTTCAAAGAGCTTCATTATTGATATTTAAAAGTATACTTTAGTTATGTGTACTTCATATGTACATTTTTTTATGTTTAGAAACTTAACATACATGTATACTTTGGAAATATTAACCAGGCTCACATTAAGCATATTGAAAGAAACTGTTAATCCGTTCAGACTATCATTATACGAGGAACCTACAACAAACTGACAAATCCATAGCCGACATGGTTCTATATGTAATATACAAGTCCCTGCTATTCAGCTAATACTAATGAAATAAAACAAGAATTATAGTGTTTAATTTTATGTTGTATTGAAGAGGTATGCAGAGAGCACGTGTCTCTGTTTATATTTACAGTTAACTTGGCCTATATAAAGGTCATTTCCGGTACACAGCGCCACCTGTTGAACGTTAAAGATGTCACGATTTTAGAGATTTACCACTACCTGATTCGGAAAATGAAAGGATTTTTTGGAAATTGCTTAGTCTATGATGACTATAGATGATTTTTATGTCGATAAGGCAAAGGAATCGTTGATTGAGGCGTATAAAGAGAGGATCTATCAAGCCTTTCATGTAAACATCACTTTCTGTCATGACGGAGATAAGCTGTCTACGAAAATATGCATGTCATCCTCGGACGAAAATGGCACATCGAAAAACGTTAAAAAGGCGAAAGTAAGTTGGACCTCACGCGTATATAAAATACTCTTATGATTATAATAATTGCTCTATAAATGCGGGGTCTGTCTTTGCTTGACGGATTGTCGCTCAGCCCTGATCTCACCTTATTGACCCAGTTGCAGGTGCAACTGCAGTGCAGTTCCTACTCATTGAAGCATCGCTGACGTACTATGAAGTATTATATTAGGCTGTCCATTTTAAAATATTTAGGGGATATTGAAATTCCTTAGGATATTCACTCAGTGCTAGCTTGTTCCTCTACATGCATTGTAATTGTACAAAGTCAGAATACCATATATTTGTCTTTAATTTGTATAGAATGATAAATATTATGTACAGGGGTTTTTTTGTCTTTGGGTAATCTGAGTTAATACATCGCCTCAAATAATATGACTGTCTTCACTGTCATCTCAAAAGTTAATTATGTCAGATCATTTGTGTCATAGAGAAACAAAGTGGTGGCTGAGATTTTGCTGGCCTAGCTTTTTAATCTGTGTCTGACAAACTAGAGAATATTATAATGTGGTGTTTACATTTGTTATACAAACAGAGTTTCCAAAAAAACAAATATATTTCTATCAGTCATTCAGACTGATGAATCAATGTGTTCTACCAGTCCAAAGCAAATTCTATCAGTCTGAATAAATTCTCGTATAATTATTCAAGATGTAATTCAAAAGAATATAACATTGGTTGGGACTGGTCATGTTGTTTCACCTGAAAGTAAACATCAAATTGCTGTAGAACATCAATGCCAACCTAACAGGATCTTAAAAGTACTCAGATTGAGTGTGTAAATGTTTCTGCTGATCGTTACAACACTGATTTTGAGCATGTTGAGACATTGTAATAGATCAGAGTACAACAAACTCTTAGAAGAAAATTAGAAAGTTTACTCACTAAAGCCTTTTTGAGATTATGACAAACTTTACGGGTACAACGAAAAACGAATCGGTCATGCGGACCAGTATTAAATATGTATAGCAAATTCCATGGGACATTTCCATTTTCTATCGGTTTTGTTGGTAAGAACAATAGTTTTCGGAAACTCTATACAAGTTGAATGTTTACATTTTTCAACCATCCTTACTAATGTGATATGCAAATGATCAAATCTGTTTGAAGTATTGAATAGTAAACTACTATATTGACAAATATTTATTACTCTTTAACTTATATATTGCAATCACAAATCCACTGGGTCAGGCCACAGGCCGGCTCACTGTCTGCTGTCGTTAGCCTGGCAAGCTCATAGAACATGTCTATAGTCTCTTCTACATCTCGGCAGGAAAAGAGGCCCTTGCGACTATCCTGCTGTCTGACATAATCTCATCAGAAAGCCGTACTGGGAGATAGCTGCACAGATACTACAATAGTTTTCCAATCTTGTTTATAATATAGGCCCTACTAGTATTTGATTACACTTTCTGAATCATTTTTGTGAAAAACTGTAGTGTCTAAGAGGATTTTATTCTAACCATGGGAATTATGGTACCTATACCAATTCATTTGGGGAAAATAGCATCAAAGTAGAACAAATTTTGGAATTTTCTATCATATCAACAAATGACATTTATTCTACATATTCTTACATCATTAATTTTTAAAGAATAAGTAGCATGTATTTATGGTTTTACACATGACTGTCTCTTGTTTATTTTCAAGATGTCAATGTCACATATTCTGCTGTCTTGAACACATGCGGCAATGCCTCATCATATTAGATACAACTGATCTCTACTTTTGATTTAATTAAGATGTTTCATACTAAAAAAAATATGACGTCATATAGCTGTCTGTTCCTCAGTAGGAGAATTGGGAATTTTTAGTCTCCAAATTGGGAATAACCAACCATTTATTGGTACCAGTTATATAAGGAAAAAAAAAACCCACTGGGTCTGTATTTGGTAAAAAATGGCTTAGTTTATCATAAATGAAAACACATACCGGTACATTAATCATCAAAATGAATGATGAAAGAAATATTATAATTTTTCAAAATTTGAATGAAGTTAGTAATATGTTGCATATAAAATAACTGAGTACAGAGTATCATGCAGATCAATTAATAACATGCATTGCGGTCCTATAGCCTATCAAAGCAAGGTCGTCATATATAACTGGATTAACTTGAGCCAAAGAGCCACAACACGTACACACATTGAGTTGACAGGCGCTGATCATAGATCAATCAAGACGCTTCCTCATGTTCCTTGTCTAAGTTGATCGGGCTGGTGATCCATGCCTAGCTGTTCATGTTAATCCCTTCTTTGGATTGTAGTGGTGATGATTATATCATATTTATAGTTTTTAACAATCACCCAGGTGAATATATATATAGTGTAATCTATAAAAGTTTAAAAAAAAACAAGCAAACAAAAAGAAAACAAAAGGAGATTTCAGAACTGTTGTTGCAGCTGACCTGTTTGTATAAGTCTAATAAGAAATTAGTTATTCATCATACTCTCAGCCAAGTTACATATACTGCATGACTTCACAGCTAACAAGTTGGACATGTATTACAAGTTATGTTAATGTATCTCACTGTTTGCCGAACACAATTCATTTTGAAAATAGTGCTCCTGTTAATTTACAGTATCTAACATTGTCTCATTCCCTTTGATAATCTGGTGCTAAATGTAGACTAATTACTCAAGTCCTTATGTTCATGATGTTTAAATTTTGTTCTTGAACAGAGGAAGTATATAAATTTTGGCAAATGCATGAAACATAGAAATAAGAGTACCCCCCCCCCCCCTTTTCCACACTTTGTTTCATTTTTGGAAAACTCAAAAGATGATTTCCTGCACACACAACTGTGCATGCATTCAATGGATTGACTAAGCTTTTAAGATAAAACATTTCCATGTTAATAACATTGTTAAGTGACAATCCATTTATAAGGAATTTATTAATAAATGCAAAATTCCTTGGATTCATGACAGTAATGCTTAAAATTGGACAACATATAAAGGATTTGATAGCAATTAAAAAAACCTACTGAAAATTTTATGATATAGCAGTTTTAATTTGACTTTTGGTATTTTGAAACTACATGTATATATTCAATCTAATTAAAATCAGACTTCTTAGTTCCGCGCCGTATACACTCTGCATAAGAGTGTATACGGTGCGGATCTAAGAAGTCTGATTTTAATTAGATTGCATGTATATTAAAAAACCCAGTATGTTCAAGTCAAATGAAAGGCAAAAATATCAATTATGTAAATAACTTGAATAACAGAATATTATGGTGTGAGTTACCCATTCTCAAGGAAAATGTTCAATATTTTAAGTTTTAGAAATTTTCATGTCTCTGCTTATGCAAATTTCTCAACATTAAAAATAATAATAATAATGAAACCTCCACAGGGTTAAGCTGATGAGGTATATTAAATTCAAGGAAGTAGTTTTCTATTGGCATTTGGTACTATCCAATTAGGGAAGATTTCAGAAATTGAAAAAAAATGTGAATGCATTCTTAGTTGTGGGAAATTGGATGGAATGAATGAAGTTAGTATATTTTTCGAAAACATTTGAAGCACTCTTTCATGTTGTTTACATGGTTTTTGGCCATATGTTTGTACATGTATGTTGAATGTCATCATATTGGGTTTTTGAACAAAAAATCCGATGTATATTAAATAGATTTTTACCATAGAACTTGGCCTTTTGTGTATGAAGGCCTAGCTAATTCTCAATCTCTATATTATTTTTTTGAAAGAAATGATGCACATTTGCTAATGAACAAACTGACAAGTATAGTTATTTCGTAAGGAATACATCTTATGGTAAATGGAAGTGTTAACCAAAATGAAGCCAAACCACTCAGTATTAACATTATAACTTGCACTCCATCACATTAAATTCCTCTTATTATAATAGGATTATGTGCACATATAACAAACCAAGGGTTAAGTAAGACTGGTTACTAGGCAATCGACTATATACCAGTATTTATAGTAAGGAGTAAGCATGTGCCGCAAATATTACAAATAATGTTGAAAGTACATTTAATTTATACTTTACATGTATTTATGGAAGAATTAATTTGAAATGTCTATTTTAGTTCTTTGTATTGTGAAGGTATGAACATAGTGTTTATTTATACGTATCTTTTATATGTAGCCGTATTATAGTAATCTGTAAATACACAATCAGCTTGGTACATGATCCAGTAGTTCGAGGTGTGGTCAGTTTGATGTCACTAACTATGTACAACAGAAATCCAAGTGTTAACTGGTTAAGCTAAAAAACAGAAAAAATGTATATTAAATTATAGTTGCTCTGTTGGAACTTCGTTTCATCATGTTTATAAGACAGAAGCTCATGTTCATCTCATCTAAGCCAGTGACTCAAGTGAGGTTTTTTTATTTTTAAAGTAAGTCAAGCATCTATTGCCTTGCATCCATTGGTGATTTATAATTGTCATATTTTTGACTGTTTGAAACATCACAATTTCAACTGGCATTGAATGCATCATTGGATGATAAAGATTCAAGACTTTAGAGCCAATTTCACTTCTTGCAAAATTCTTAAATTAAATTCAAAGAGCAGAGAATGCATGAAATTAGCTAGGTCATTTAAGAAACTCTTTCTTTTGAAACACAGCATCGTCGCAAACCATGGCCAAAATGTACCATCCTCTCCCATTCTGGCCGTGGTTTAATGAGAAGAGAATATTTCACAGTTTTTTAAAATGTTGACCAATGCAATTAAAGCATAGTCTGATAATGAGCTTTTATGTGACCTTTCAATACCCAATCACAGTATACGAAACATTTCTTGTTTACTGTTGATGTCAGTTATTGATTTCAATTGCGATGGAAACAAATAGTGTCATTGGCTGAACATGACGTCACAACATAGAGACATAAATATTCAAGAATACGACACTTTTTGTGATCAAGCAGCCATGGGTAGGAGAGAGCTAATTATGCGGACTCCGTGCCGTGGCATGAGACGATGGAAACACAGGAACACAAATGGCTAAAACTTCACGGTCAAAAATGAAAAGTTGTATGATTACAGTGATGATATCCCTCTGATCAATATTCTGTTTAAATCAGGATCTATGGTACCAAAGGACAGCAATAGGGTTCAAAAGTGTTGCATAACCCTCCTCCCCCTTTTGGTTGGCGCCATTGAGGCACAGTAGAGGTTTTATATACTGTAGAAGTAAATAAGAAACATCTTTTGGAGAACTGCAAAATACATTATTTTATTATGTATTATCTGTTTTCATAAATGTATATGCAGGTTTCTTTATTCATGCATATTTTATCAAGTTACAAGCAAGCATATACATATGCTATAGATTAAAATATATACCAGGTATTAGGTGTAAAAGATTGCTGGGACAGTCCTCAATAACTTTTGTTTATATAAAGCATTGAGTGTGATGTTCAAGATTATAATGCAGATTGAAAGTATGTTAGTATTTGTCACCCATATTTAAAAAGAAAAAAACTTTTTTCATGCATTTTTGGAAGTTTTTTTCATTGAAATTTTAAAAACAATTGGGAAATTATAGTTAATTTTGGGAGAAATTACCATTTTCTTGAGGGAAACTGCTTTTATTTGGCTGTGATTTAGGATAATAAAAAACACTGATGCAGTGTATTACTAATGTTATATGATAAAAAGCATAATCATGACAATACATAGATATTTCCTCTCTTTATATAGGCGATAGTAGGTGGTACTTAATGGGTATTAGTAAATAGATTCCTGTGACGCGCTGTCTATGATGTAAGCAGTGTCAGTTCTTAGATAGGTGTTAAGGTGACAGAATTATGCTCAGAGTCGGAGGCAAAAAATTAATCTCTACTGCAATATAGACACAAGCAATCTGTCAGCTTACACAAATGTCTGTTAAGAATTGGAATGAGATGACGTAGTTGGAATATATTACCTGTCAGATCAACAGAATTAAGCTGCGATTTTCGTACATGAAAGATCATGGTTTGAATGTAAAATGAAGTGCATGATTAATGAGAATTTATAAAAGAAAAATAACTATATTTAGGCTTTGCATCACCTTTTAACTTGTCAGTTGTATTTTAAGTTCATGTTTACAAAGATGTATTTACGTATTTATGTATGTAGTAAGTACTTCTGTCTGGAACTAGTAAATGTTAAACAGACTCATTCTTCTCATTGGATACACAGTATGATTAAGGTTTGGAAAAAAAATTCAGAATAGTTATTATATTTTGCAATTATTTGTCTTTTTTTGTAAGGATTGGGGTCTATTTTCTTTCTTTTTCATTCTTGTAACATCAAAACTGTACACACCAGGAACTTTAAAGTTTGACAATATTTAATAAATGAAGTTATTACAGTACCTACTTGTATCTTTTCAGACCTATTTGGAATCACTAACTGCTGATGGGGAGACATTGAGCCGCTGTATTCAGACCCTTCCAACATCTTATTTCACCATGGTCCAGGAATTACAATCAACCATTGAACGCGACTCCCAAGCAGTGGTAGACCTTTCAAAGGAAAACTCCCATGTCTGTATCTTCGGTAAGAAAGAAAATGTCAGCATCGCCCAGGCTCTGATAGATCAACTAGTGAAGAAACAGGGCAGTATAGAACCTTACATTGATATTCACTCTCATGCGAGAGATAAGGGCCAAGATGGGAGAAAGTTTCAAAAAGGGTCTGAATTAATATCCACAAATGATGACAAAAGTAATGTGGATTCTATGAATGAAAATGGAAATGTACTTTGTGAAGAGGATAGGGAAACTAGTGATGTGTCTCATTTAAAACTACAAAGTTCAGAAAGTATTAGCAGAGTTTCAACTGTAACTGGTCCAACGGAAAAGAGACAACTTCGGACACATTTAGCCTTGAAAAGGACTGTGTCCGTGGGAATGAGTCCATTACCATCGGAACTCACAGCTCCCAGCAAGTGTCTTCTGACAAAAACTATGTCATATGGTCATAATGTAAAGTTAACTGAAAACTCTCTTTCAAATTTAAAGCTAAAGCATCAATCGTCCACATCTTCAGAAGAGGATACTACAGATGAAGAGGAATACAACACAAAAATTGAATTTGCATTAAAGTTGGGATACTCTGAACTCCAGCTGGCTTCAGTGCTGAAAAAGCTGGGCAACAAAGCTGGGCAAAATGAAATTCTGTCAGAACTGATCAAACTTAGTACCTCCACTGATAAAGAGCCCAGAAGCTGTGAAGAGGAGAACCCCAACCTGTGTGCATTGGAGGGTTCCTCTGAAAACCTCCTGGCTTTTACCTCAGAGAATTGTTTTGACCTTTCGGATTCTAACTTTCGTCCTATTGTCATAGATGGCAGTAATGTTGCAATGAGGTAAATATTTATGCATATAAACATATTTCTTTTTAAGTATTTTACAATGTACATTGATCCAAGACACTATACTTGCATGTCTTTACTTCAGAAGTTAATTCTTTTGCACATAGTTTATATGAACATGAATTAAAAAAATGATCTGATTTGTTGTCAAATGTGCATATACATGTATATTTGATGTGCATTGAGTGCTATTAGCCCTAGGCATCACAGAAATTTGTGACGCATGTCTTTTAAACCTCTACCGTTCTTTTAGTCATGGTAACAAGGAAATTTTCTCCTGTCGTGGAATACAACTGGCTGTTGATTGGTTCAAAGATCGTGGTCATAAGGCAATCACAGTGTTTGTACCTCAGTGGAGGAAAGAAACATCACGAGTTGATGCCAAAATTACAGGTACATTACCTTTTAATTAAAGCAGGCTTACGGAGGAAGGCATGTTTAAGTATATTACCAAGATATCTGGGTAGTTTGTGGCATTAAGGTTTTGTGCTAACTAAACCAGAAAAAAAAAATCAATTTATAAGAAACTTTATAAAGAGCACACTTTGGTTGTAGATGCTCCAAAGAGGAAGTCAGATTTAAAAGCCAAGCATTAAAAGTTGAATTTAAATACAGGAAAAATCAGCATTCATTTGATATTTTATGGTTGACATTTTCCATAAATGGGGTTTACAAATTTTACTTAGTGGAACTAATTCTGCAAATCATGCTCAAGGAACAGCAACAAAGTCCCAATTAAACGTCTTGTGATCGCCTAACTATAATCATCTCTAACATGCTAGTGTAGCATGAACAAGAGATATTCCTTGTTTACAACATTTTTGGTCGTTCAGGAAGTCACGTCAACAAGAAAACGTGGCCATGATGAAAGGTCGTCAGGTTTTTCTCTGCTGATTAGATTTTCATGTAGTCATGAAACAAGCTGTAGAAATATGCTCCCTTCTTGTCAAAGGGAAAAGAAAAATCTACACAAATATTATGTGACATCACTGATTATAATGAGTCATTGATTAACAACGAAGATTAAAAATTGTAACATTACTTTAGAATTTCACTAGTAGTCAGTATTTGTAGACCTGAGTCTACAGACCATTATACATGTATCATAAAGGATCAGAGGACTAATGGGAAATGTCTTTCTTATTGTGTATATTAATTATGCTAAACATATAGGATTTGTTTTGAAACTTAATTTCAAAGGTTAATCCAGTGGTTTTTTCATACAGCTGTTCAGGAGAATTGGTAATGCATGTATAACAGAGTCATTATTTATTAGCCCACCTATAAAAAGGTTTTTAGTGAAATGGCCAATTTGGATTTAATTTTCCTAAATTAGGCCAAGCTAAAAAAAATTCTTTGTTTGCAGTTGCTGACCTGTAATTTATAAAGTGGGTAGGTAGGTAGGAATGCTTTTTTTAAAATAAAAAAAAAAATAGATTTTAGTTTTTAGATTATTGTTGGATAACAAATAATAGGGATTTTCATGGGTTTATAGAAGTAAAAAAGCTCCACTTACTTTAAGACACAAAATGATAAAAACAAAAATAAAAACTAGAAAATGAAACAGTTTCTATATCCTGAAAACTTGAAACTCCTCCTCCCCCCCCCCCCCCCCTCCAAAAAAAAAAAATGGCTGAAATTTTTTTTTAGGTCGGTTGCATTTTAAGTAGGACAGTAGGCAACTGCAAGCAAACAATTTTTTTTTATATTGGGCCTTAATTTTCCCTGCAATACAAATTTTAGATGAACTCAATACCAAAAGCCTAAAATGGGATAAATGTGTTTATTTTGTCCAGAATTTGTTTCTGATGTTCTTTTGAAAATTTTAAACTGACAACAGTATGCAAAAACGGAAACTGGTAAACAGTGGGAAAGGTGAGGGCTTGATTGATATTAGAATGAGGTCAAATGGAAGATGCTGGAAAATCGAATAAGAATTTGCTACTGCTTTTGGTAAGGATTGAGTTGCACCTACATGTGTTCATTTGGATATGATTAAAACCATTCATGTAAATAAATGAATAAAAACTGCAGTGATACCACTTTACAAGAGGAACTTAATTAAAAATATATATTATTATCATTATTATTTATTCCTAAAGTACTGGGATTTTGATGTGAAAAATGAAGTGGAAAAACCAAGGTTTTCCTATTGCATGTATTGCTTACTTGATTGATTTTTCATATGCATGTATAGTAGATTTAGTACCAGAGGGGAAAAACCAGGGTTGAAATTAGAGATTTTTCACAAACTTCATCTTCTGCAGTTCTGAGAAACTAAAAGATCAACAACTATTTATAACTCTATATTAAATTGAAATGAGTATTTTCAGAGAAAGTAAACACTTTTAATTAGTGTAGTTTTGATTTGTAATCTGATACATGATTGTATGAAAATATATGTCATTATGTGCAGAAAACTGCTTTTTAAATCAAATACCTAGTCATTTTTAAAAATCCTGAAATACAAAATATATTGATTAGAGAAGATTCTTTGATCATCAGGTATGAATTCAGTGCCATTTCTTTATTTGAAAAATCTTCAAATTTCTTTTTTCTTAATTATTTTCTTAATTGTTGCTTTGTTCCAGATCAAGATATTCTGTTTCAACTTGAAAAAGAGAAGATATTGGTGTTCACGCCGGCACGTCGCATAGGGGGAAAACGAGTGGTGTGTTATGATGATCGCTACATCTTAAACTTAGCCGTTGACAGTGGGGGAGTTGTGGTGTCCAATGACAACTATAGAGATCTTGTGACCGAAAAATCGGAGTATCGCAAAGTTGTGGAAGAGAGATTACTCATGTATTCTTTTGTGAATGACAGGTATTAATCTATATAAGCAATTTGAATTTTCATTATGTTAGGTTATGTAACATTTTTAGATTTTGAATCAGTCAAATTCACATGCTTGATGCAGATGTAGAAAAAACAATTGCAAAATTAAAAGTTAAAATATTTGTATTATTGAACAAAAAAATTGAAGATTGTATGATAAGGAAAGTTTGATTTGGTTGCAATAATAACCCCCCTCCCACACACATACCCACTCACCCACCCACCCACTCGCACACAAATGGTGTATCAAAAGTAGATATTGTCAGAGTACATTTATAAGAAGTAAAGCATGTGCTAAATAAGTCATGAGTAATCAACGATAGAAGTTTTCTTTATTTGGACAAATTTGTTATTCCTGTTTATACACTCAGAATGCTTTGGACACCCAATCTGAAGCTGATGTTCCACATGCAATTTCACACTACATGTAGTACATAATGACATACCGTCACTTTTGCTTATCTGTGATTAGCTCCTTATAAACTCATTCAGTGAAATATCGTATACTGTTTGCTCTAAAGTGTTACATGTATTTAAAAAAAGCCAGAGTCTCATTTCCTGATAGGAAGAAAAATGTACCATAAATAAAATAACTACTTCCCAGGTACTCTAACGTAACACTTCTTAATGGAGCTTTAAATCAAGTTCATATTGAAATAAATTATCATGATATGTAGAAAAAATAAAATCCTTATGGGAAATTGTTTTTTTACTTGTCTGTAAATATACTTGAAGAATTATGGAAAACACGTGACTCTATTCTAGCCTGGATCTGTGTCTGTTTATGAAACATCATGGTACAAATTGTTCATCTTCAGCATGTTCAACATTGGAAATAATAAACTAAAAATAGCTGGTAGACATGGTAAATGGGAAATTATTGAGTGAAAATTACTTAGATTTTTGAAAAATGTAAGGAAACATTAATTTTAACATTTTTAGATATAGATTGATAAAAATATTTTTAGATATAGATTGATAAGAATATTTTCACATTTGTATGATTTGTTTGAATTAGAGCATGTGAAAGCCAAGATCAAACCAAACCTAATAATGGTGTATAACAGGCATGAATGTTTACATTGAATTTGTTTACTTTAAAAAGTGTGTATTTTTGTTCATCACATTTCGTCTGTAGTAGTTTTTCTGAGATACACAATATTAATGCTCCAAAAAAACTTCATTGTGATCTTTATGTTCTTCGGGATGCCATAATAGAGTTTTGAATATGGGTACTATATATCGCCATACATGGTTTATTCATTTTCCAGATTTATGCCACCAGATGATCCACTTGGCAGACATGGCCCCAGTTTGGACAACTTCCTGTCTAAAGAGCCAAGACAGCCGGAGCCCCTCCCCCCAGTTTGTCCTTACGGCAGTAAAAAATGCACATATGGCAACAAATGCAAGTTTTATCACCCAGAGCGAGGAAACATGCCTCACAAAATGGTGACGGAAAAGCTAGCAGAGCAAGCCAAACAGAAAATCCAGGAGGTGCGGGAAAATCGGAAGACTCAGGAAGGTAAACAATGTTGTTATTTTGAAATCAGCATCAGAGGTTAAAAATAAGTACATGTACTTATAGGTTTTGGTCCCTTTCATTTGTAAACAATAATCCATGGTGCATATTTTATGTTTCATGAAAGAAAGGTCGAGATTAAGATTATTGTCTTGGATGTAAACCCCCCCCCCCCCCCCCCCCAAAGTGGACTGAAACTGACACAGCCTGCAGATTGATAGAACTGTCATAAACATAATAAACATAATTGAATTTCTGAGGCAGTATTCCCCACAGATGAAAGCTAATATTTAAAGGAAAGGTAGCTAGGTTAATGCATGTACAATTATTTGATAAATAGGTACATGTATTTTACATTTCATACCATTAGTACAAAATAATTACTTCCAATACCATCAAGTTAAAATTTTACTTTTTTAAAAACAAGTAAAGGGGTTTTATTTTGAAAAATCTAAGTACATGTACTCTGTTACATATTTATATTTTATATGTGAATGGACTTTAAAATTGAGGAAGTTGTACATCGTTTTCAATTGATTCATATGAGTACTGCAATTTTTCTGTGTGTCAAGGTTATCAAAAGTAAACATTCCAAAATTCATCCCAGTTTCTGTTTCATTCAGGAAATCATATTTTGGTTATTTTGTTTTGGTTAATCAAAGAGTGTCAGGGATGTCCCTAACAAATTAATATAGAGAGATGGTGTAATTTTGCATAATGGGGTTTTTCATTTGAACATGTTGACTTGTAGTTTCAGTGAAGTACCAAAAAAAAAAATAGATTAGTAATTTCTGAGCAGAGAAATCAATTCATTGTTTTGTTTAAGGAAGTTTGTTTAAAAAACAACAGTTGATTTGGAAGGAGATACTGTATACCACTTATATGATTTACATACACAATTTTGGTTCAGTTTTATCCAGGTAGATGAATTACAGATAAAAATTCTTTCTTATCAGTAGATACATATGCTAACTGTGCTTATTATGCTTTATTGCTCAGAAATGGAGAAACATGTAAAACCCATATTTTTCAAAAAGACAGTTTCATGAAATGTAGAATATTCTAAACATCCCCGTCTTCCCCCAAAGGGTTTTTCAGGTTATCGGCTAAAGTGTACCCGTAAATTCTGAAAATACCCTGCAATAAACAGAATATTAGATCCCCAAATACTATTTTCTGTTAATGGATGTTTCTGTTTTTATTTTCAGGTTCAAAAGCAAAACAACCTTTGTGTAAGAAATCCTCTCGGGGTAAAGCGGCATTAACAAGGACCCAATCCCTCACTCCCAAACCTCTCCCAGACAGCTTGGTGGCAGACACGCCCACGAAGCGACTTAGTGGAGACTTTGGTGAGGCAGCCATGGAAGTGCTTCCCAGAAATGTGGAATACAGAGATGTGGAGAGTGAAGAAAAATGGAGGAGTTATAATGACAAACTTTCTGAGCATCGAAAACAAGTGGAGCAGGCAGATAAAGAGCAACAGAGGCAGAGATCTGAAACCATGGAATCTCAATTTAATGTTAAGATGCAGAGTGTGGAACCATTTAACATGGCGAGTAAAATGGAGCAATGTGGATCTCGGTCATCTTCTCCCAGGCAGAGGTCAACTCCCTCCCCACAGCTGATGCCCCCACAGCCACAGGAGATGTTCCTTAGTGGTCATCTGATGCTAGCTAAGAAGTTATCTGATGAAGCAGGGGAGACGAAGACTCATAAGTCAGAGGAAAGGTTGTTTAACACAAGCCCTCCCAGTAATTACGCTTGTCCAAGCCCACTGTCTACACCTGTTAAGCAGAACAAGCCTTTGACACAACATCCCTCCCTCATGTTAAACCAGCAGTTACCTCCTCACCATCAACCTCTCTCCCAGCAGTTTTCCCATCCTGTCCCCATGCAGCACCAGCATCAGAGATTAAGTAGACAATATTCTCTACAAGGATCACAAGATCCACGCTTACGACAGGAGTGCATGTCATCTGCTCATCCCTCTAGGAGACCTTTACCACAGGATAATTTCGGGGTTTTTGGAATTCCTCATAACACTTTCGCTGGAGAAAATTTCGCTAATCTGCCTCCACAATTTAGTGGTAGGCCAGATCATCGCTATATAGGTGAGGAGTCTGAACATGCAGCTTTGGCCAGAATGCAGAGTGCTCCAGAGACAATGTTCACAAGACATGACAATAATTCACATAAGAGATTTGGAAGAATGGTCCGTCAGAATAGTTCTTCAGACACACAGATCCACATGATTGGAGATACCGATCTAGGACCAAGTGAATACAGTCTGTTCCCTTCAGAATGTGTTGATTTTAACAGAGGAAACCCACAAAATTCCCAGTATTCCTCAGGGATGACCCCTCAGCGCATGGATCCTCGGCACTTAAGAAGTAGAGCAGTCGGCAGCTATCCAAAACCACAAGAGTATCGTTCACAGCATGGTAATGGTGAAACGAGGTGGACTTTCGAGCCTGTTTTAGGACTTGGACTCCCTGGATATGGGAGTCATTATCCAGCAAATCAAGGCATTGATGCTTTTGAATCTGATTATCCATCAGTTCCAACTTGGCAAAGTCAGGAAAATGTTAAATATTCTGTTGAAGAACGGTACAGATATCAGCAACCATCATATGATCCATTCCATGAGAGCAGTGGACTACCATTTTCACAGCATAGACCTGCAGAAAGGTGCCACTCGGGGGGATTTTCTTTTCAGAATCAGACTCCATCAAACATGTGTGCTATGTCCAATTTCTGTGAAAATCAACATTCCATGTTACAAAACCCTTCTGGCAAACAAAGTGTAGGAATCATTGGAGAAGAGCATAAACAAAGCTTATCAAGAACATCATCTGCAAATTTAAGTGGCCACCCCTCGTGTCCACAAAGTTTTGGTGCAACCATGAACCCCATAGGAACATCAATGATGGAGGGGGCTGGAAACAGACCCAAATTCTCCGAGTTTGCTCCTATTGAACCCACGGACAAGAGATATAATTTGTACTATCATTTGTGTGGACTCTTCCCAGAGCCCAAAGTTAGGAAAGTGATGACTGATCATCCAGAAGAAACCAGTCCACAGGAGCTCTGTGCTCTTATCATTAACATGAAATAATAATTATGAAAACCAGTATAAATATTATTTGAGATATTGGACATGGTTCAGATCTTGTATGTACACATATTAAGCTTTTGTAAAGCTTACTTGTGATTATCAACTGTATATCATAATTTGTCTGTGTTTTTCCTCATACAAGTGATACAGATGTATTTGTTGAAGGAAAACATACGAATTCATATCACAAAGATTTCAAATTTTTGGTGCAAGTGGTTAATGGAATTTTCTTGTTTTGTTATGTTTTTGTTGATTCTTTTTTTTGAGTCTTGGACAAATATAATGTACTAGGTGTACTTGTAAATAAGTATGATCTGATCTTTATGATCTGACCAAATGTGTGCTTCTTGTCATTATCTTTGGCTTCTTGCTTCTTGTAATTTTGAACTTTATATATGAGCTGAAAACTTGACTGAGCTTCTATTTCCAACATTGGTTTTTCATCTGATATATGTCATCTCTGGCACATTTTTAACCTCTTCTGTAGAATCAATGGGCCAAGATCATCAATGAAATAAACTTGACACAAGGTATCTTTAGGTGAAGGGAAATCAAAATTGTTCAAATGGAGGGCCATTCTCCCGATGAAGGGGAGGACAACTAATTAAACAAAGAGCAAAAGGGTTTGTTGTTTTACTCAAAAGCCATATGGCCAGAAAATATAAACTTAATCAAAAATCCTTTTTAGAGGTTAGTTTCAAATTTTGTTTAAATTATGCCTTTTTTTAAAAAAAGAAAGTACTGTAGATCACTAAATTGTAGCAAAACCTTGTTTTCACGAAAAAGTTATTTGGCTTTTATAAGTAAGACAAAATTTTCACAATTTCTGGTTATTGTTGTACATACTGAGTAATTTTCAATAATAAAAATATACATGAGAAATAAATTTGGGCAAGCAGACAGTCTTGTGTAGTTACGTGAAAATAAAGTATTCATGAATAAAAAGTGATTAACAGTAGTTGATCCATTAATAGGAGTCCTGAGTATCTACATAGTGGAGATATTTGTGGGCGAAATGTAAAAGAACCTGCAATATGCCATCCGGCTAAGAAAAGGAATAGTTTGTTGACTTGTGCAATATGGTTCATTATTGAATGATTTTGAAAAAAACTTTCAGTAAGAAAATGTGATTTTGTTACATGTACATAATTCATAGACACATTCATTAATGAAATGTATTAATTTGCTAATTTTCTCAGATTTCAGAGGAAATATGTGATTTTTTTAGGATCATATTTTAATACATCCTACTTTTTCAGTTGTTATAATAACCAGTGCTTTTGGTGTATATGAATGAAAAGTTGTGCATAGGTAATTAAGCTGTTGTTTTTTCTGCAGTTTATTTTCAGTGGGATTAGAAATGCACCAAAACAAAAAATTATCCTGAAATCTCACACCATCACATTCTGTCCTACACAGTACATCATGTAAATAACAAAGATAGTGAAAAGCTGCCTTCCCCCAAATAATCGTACTTTTGATATAACAACAGTGTTATGGGAAGGCTGGAAGGGTATTTTTGGACAGCTATGTTTATACAAACTTCACTGTCTGAACCACAGAATGGGGCAGATACTACATGTATGTATTTTATATTTACTGCTTGTATATAATTTAAAGAACATATTCTGATATTTATTTGCTTTCTTAGCAATATATTCTTGGGGACGCATCGTAAGTTTTTGCTTTGCCTGTAGATAATACATGTATTTAATTCCAAGTTTGTAATAATCATTGACACCAATAGTTCTATAGAACTTTTAATGATGTAAATCATTATTTTTCACTTTGAATTTGTTATCAGCAAGTTTTTGTATTTTGTTTCTTAATTTGGGATTGTATTTTTAATTTTAATACCTTTATCACGACCTCAGTAAAACACCATTAGATTTTTGCATTTATCACACGTTTTAGAGGATGTGAAGTTACATTCCTTGGGTACCCGTTTTTTTCCTTTTCCAGCCAAATTTTCCCTGGCTTCATATCAAATGTGAACACAGCTGTACCATGTGTTTTTATGGAAATCACCAGTTAGGTGACATGAATGCGTAACCTCGATGTTCGAGGAATATCCTATTTTTAAAAGTGTGTTCTATATTGTTTCAAGTGAAAAAAAAAAATACGCACATAAAAAAAAACACCATTAAGTGGTTATAACTGTACAGGTATATGTATATATAATTGTTACTAGATAATAGATGTATGTGGTTCAGCTGGCTCTGGTATGGAAGCATTGTCTTGTAATCAACATGCAAATTATATTTCAAATGTGTGAAAAGGAAAAATGAAAGTAAATATTCAAAGTTTTTGGTAATAATGTATTGTTTTAGGAGTCTCAACTTCTTTTACTATTTGGAAATTTTAATATTTTAAGATAAGTACATGTGTACTGATATTCTATAACATGCAGTACTGAAAAAAAGGAACTTAATGAAAGTCAGAAGATATAGGACTTAGTAATGACATTGTCTTCCTACCAGACAGCTAGTGTCCATATAATGTATAGAATATTAAATGTGAATATGTATATAGCAGGATGGTTGTATGTATCTAGGGTGATGATTGTAAACTGTTATGTATATCTGTGATCCCATGTTATAGATAAATTAACTGTATATTAAAATCTAGTCAGGAACTTTGTGTCAATTATCATTAATAATATATCTGTACATGTATGGTATAATGATAATCCATCAGGATCAGACAAGTTTCAAGCTTCTACATAAGAAAGTTTTTAGTGGACCCCCAGGACAAGCATATAAATGTATAGCTAGAGGGCAGCAGTTTGCTGACAAGATGTACTGGGGTGGGTGGGGGAGGAACGTAATATATTTACTCATGACACCCGCATTGCCTGTGTATTTGTAACCATTCTGTCGATTTAGACCTCTCAGTTTTAATTAAATGAATTAAATGTTTTTAAATGAATTCAAAATACTTATCAGTTTTGACCAGGCTAATTTTGATTCTGGTGAAGAATGTTGCCATGGATACTAGACTGGAATGATCCAGTGAACTATTCCCTAACTGAAGTTTGTTACAGTTTAGCTCACTTGAGCAGAAAGCTCAATCGAGCTTTTATGATCAAATGGTACATGTATCTGGATTGGTATCTGTTATCTTTAGACTTTTCACATCCTCTAATTCTTCTCCAGAACCACTGGGCCAAATTCAACCAACTTGCCACAAAACATCATTGTGTGAAGGGGAATCTCTCATTTGTCCATGTCCTCTTTTAAGGGGATATAATTAAGAAATTGTGAAAATGTAAAGAACCACTGGGCCAAAAAGGACGAAACTTAGTTGAAAGCTTCCTGGCATTGTTTAGATTCAAGTTTCTTCAAATTATAGCCCCCTTCGCCTCCCCCTCCTCCTTCCAGGTGGGGTGGGGTAGGACAGACTGCAATATTATAAATCAAAGTTTATATGGAAATATACAGTAAAATGAAATAATGTTTAAAAATCACAGATCCATGATTAGTGATGTCAAGCATCATCAGATAGTGTAGATTCAAGGTTTTCTCATATCATGCCCCCACACCCAGTAGTAGGATGGGGCTACAACTGAGAGTCATAGAATATGGGAAAATGTTTAAAAATCTTCTTGAGAACAGCAAAGCCATGGTTAGTCGTATCAATATGCAAGCAATTGTAGGCTATGCAGATTCTGATTTTTGTTTCAAAATCATTTGAAAAAACAGTAAAGATGAGCGTTGTGGCCCTTGGACATCTAGCTTGTTCATTTTAGTACGTAGAAACCCCCATAAAAAGTTAAAAATATATAAATCTATACTTTTTGTGAACTGAAAAAAAAAAATAAAAACATCAATATGGATAATATGAAATTTTGATAATGTTGTCATGGTACCTAAAGATGAAGTAGTCTCTTAAATTTATTTCAGAATGTTACTCCGGCTACGGTTTAAAAGTTTTGGTGATGAAAACATCAAAATACTCTGGACTACATATTTTTTTTCTCCCAATCATATCTCAATGATGGTTGCTGCATTATCACGAAAAACAGAATGTAGAATTATTTCAAAATGTTTGATCTACCTTTTTTTACTGGTTAGAATAAACTCTGGTGCGATGAAGTATCTACTATTCAAAAACTTTAACGTATTTCATAATACCTTTGAGAAAGTTTCAATAAGATACAGAAGCTGCTCTTTGTGTGCATAAAAGTAAAAAAATGTTATTTTCTAGAGAAAATACGTGAAACGCAAAATAAATTCAAAAAGGAAGAAGGAAATGTTATGCACTTTTCTTCCAGCTATCAGTGGAGCTACTTTCTCGTCAGAGTCTTCTGGTTACTTCACGTGAACGAAACGCTTCAGTGGACTTTACTAAATGCAGTTTTGTCTCTCGTATTTTGAGTGTGCTTACTGTACTCACTTTCTATTTCTCCTGAACCATGGTCCTATTTCGATCAGAAATGGCAGAATGACAGAAAACACAGGGACACAGGTTGGGATCCCCCCGATAATATACGAGTACTGCAGCGTCCCTTTCATTAAAAGCAACAACAATTTATTATTTATTAAACAGCTTTTGCAAATAAAATTAATACAGGCTCATACAAAACTGCACCATTCAGTTCATTAACCGACCGAAAGTTTTATTAAAGCTGCTTGAATGACATACATGTATCATGTAACCATTGAAGAAACGGGGGGGGGGGGTAACAGTGATAACGTCTCATGCTCCCCTTTTTGTTTGTTAATATTACCTATATATCTATATTTTGTTCAAATATTTACTGTGCTCTCCACTATTGTTATCAAACATCCATATGGGCGACGGAAAGGGAAATTGTTTGTTTTCTTTTATATATGGTATATTTTTTGCACTTTTGGCAGCCCATAGTTTTGCAATATCAAAAAAGATAAAAGAGAAACACTTTAATAAAAACATTAGAGACTTGACCGAGTCTAGGATCCTAGCACCCCACCCCCTCTCTACAGAAAAAAAATGAAGCAAATTCGCGCGTGCTTGTGTCACTATCGGTACATCTGTAAAAGTTAAATTTTCGTATGAATACTCAAATATACATGCTAATTTATCTTACTGCAAGTAGGGTAATTTATTTCACTGCAGGTGGGTTTAAATAGTGTTAATAAATGCTTTATAATGTAACTAAAAATTCAATGCTGAATTATACAGTCACTCATATTTATCACCGATTCAAACATGAAGTAGAAGTTTGTTTTGGAGCATATTGTTAATAAATACCAATTGATCAGATTACTATCTACTATTGTGCACATATAATTTTGCAACCAAAAGAAGGGGGGGTGGTGGTCTCTCCTTCCTTGAAATCCTCTGATGAAATGCTTTAAGCCGAAATGAAACATGTTTGCTGTGACTAACTGAACACATGTAATTAAAAACTTTTATTAATTGTACAAATAAACAATTATATAATTGAACAAAACATGCAAAATGAGGAGGAAAAATAATCTGTAGCAACAACATTGACTAGTTTGGTCGAACGCAACGTGAATAATGAATTTTATTCTTTAGTTTTATTCGAGGATTTTTCAGGAATCGTGAACCAAAACTTCAATAATTTACGGGGAATAATTTAATCTGAGCTGGTGATTGTATAAAGCTGCAGAGGAAATAATCACGATCTAGACGACTTCCTTATCGCAATATCACGTAAACTACAAGATCTGAATTTCATAACACATTTTGTATTGACATTGATATTCAAAGTTCAGTACTAGTTTATTTTTCATATTACAACAGTACTGTAATAGAACACACCCCTATTTTTACCCGTCACTCTGCGAGTTCATGTATAGCTACTGCATGATCTCCCTCATACAACATCTTTGTTTCCTTAATATTAATAAAACTGTGTCCAAAAGTACCATGAATATAATTTTGTGTAATCTGAAATTAATATCCAAAGATCTGTTTTGTCTAAAAGGTTAAACTGACTAACTGAAAAGTGTATTGAACAATTTCTTAAATATAGAAACCTGTCAATAAGATTCACACAGGAAATATTCATTCTAGTTTTTAAATGGTTGTTTGTTTAAATCTTTAATTAAAAGTATTTTAAGCATCAAAATAGGTCTTAACTGAGTTAGTGTTGCAATCTTCCGCGTTCAGTTCAAATTCATGGCATCGATCGCGATTAACTTTTCTTTTCATTATCAATATTAATTAATAGTTTAACAGACACGATTTTAATAACGTGAGGCGAAGATCACGATTGAAGCCACCACATGTCTGGCGAAAGTCACGAATGTATTCTCCTCGGATTCGTTCAAATTCCCGTACTAATCACGATTTTCTTATTCATCAAAGACTCCGGATACTTAAATACAACTAATCTTCAATATATAACAGCCAAAACAGTAATCATGACCACACATCAGTCAAATCATATGGCAAACTTGCTCACGCGGTGTTATTCTACAGCATGCAGAAGATACTGATATACGTTTTTAAGAGAGAGAGAGAGAGAGAGAGAGAAAAAGAGAGAGAGAGAGAGAGAGAATTTTTGTTTCATTCTATATGTTGCCCGATCTTCTTGGCCTGTAGGAACGCGGAAAGATACAATTTTATGTAGGAATATTAAATATTAAAAATTCATTCGAAATAAATTCATTTTCCAGTAATGACTGTGGCCACTTGCAACAAATATTTTCAAAAAATGTCGTTTAAAATTAATTTTCAATCTGAACTTGAAAATGATTTTCATTTCATTTTTTTTTTTTTCATTTTCAACTTCAAATTGAAAATTAATAAGCGACAAAAAAAAAAAATAATATGAAAATAGATTCTAAATCTACATTATTATCATCATTCATAAATGAACAAGTTTAGCCACACAAATTATTTTTTTCTTCTTCAATTTCTAAATAATCTCTTACAAAGTGGTAAAAATCTATTGTGTTTAAATAAGGGGATCTGCAAAAGGGAAGAATTTTGAATTTCATAAAAAAATCACGATTTCTCAATATTTGAGGAATTGAATTTTACATTTGTATCATTTACAACCAAAATAAGCTCCAAAATATATACTAGTCCACGTACGGATTCATTTTTTTTTTTGTCTGTAGCAAGTATCCTAAGTAAATTTAATATAATACTAGAATTGAAATAGATATCCGTTTTGAATACGAAGTTTATAAAGAGGCAAGTCGACACATGGGACAGGCGTCAATATGATATGTATATTCGATTAGGGATGAAAATATGGGTAGTACTGGTCACTGGCTACGAGGGGGATTAGGTGTACGTCCATGCAGTAATCAATGCCCAAGTAAGTTTAACACTCAATATTTTATTTGACCAAATTTTAACAAAGTCACTTAGACCTTTACCGCTAAAAATTTGAGAAATAAACAGTTTTAATTCTAATAAAAGTCTTTAAAAATAACCATCTTGTTATAAAAAAAAATGGAAAAAAAATGAAAAAAAAAAAAAAAAAACAACCCACTGTCACCATTCTTATAAAACTTCCAAAAAAGCATCCATCAAATGTGATGTAAGCTACATGCATGTATCCAATAAATTTGGACTGATATCAGGACACAGCTGGTGCAATATAAAACTTTTGGACCCCTCCCCTAAACATTGCATTTTTTAATTTCTTACTTGTAGCATCATTATTTATAGGAAATAAAAATTACAATCATACTTTTAATTTGATGTGCAATTGCATCTGTAGATATTTACCGATTACCTGGAGACAAGAAATTACTGACGTCAAAATCGGATTATTCTTGACACACCAGTAGGTCCAGATATAGATGACAGTCCCCTCCTGTATTGTAGTGCAGGTTTGATTCCTGAGAAATACTTGTGTTAATGCTTGACGTACAGTCTCATGACTTAGGTAGTATACAAGAGGCCCAAGGGCCTTAACGATCACCTGAGTATAATGTAACGATCCATATGATTTTAAAAAACAAAATAAGCTGATAAATGAAGCTTCTGTAAATCACTTATTTTCGTGGTTTGAGGAAAAATTACTGGTTCAAGGGTATTTAATTTCGTGGTTAAAGGAGAGACATTATAAAGCAGTATGTAATTGTCACATTTCGTGGGGGATATGAATTTGTGGGTCTCTCTATACCACGAAAACAATTAAAATTACCCCCCCCCCCCCCCCAAATAGGACGATCAGGGATCAGCGAAATATTAATTTAGTACTCAGTAACAAATCTTTAAGTTGATCTATTTATTTGCCTGTGCTTTCTTCCATCTGTCACTATCCCCATGTGGAATAATCAAAACAATAGTTCTAGTGCACTGTAAGTTAACACTTATCATTCCCTCTCACATTTGCCTCTCTTAGTCTTTGAAGATTATTTAATGTACAAAGATACAGTATTTTTGTTCCATTTTCATGTCTCAAGTCTACCTGACCATTAAAAACCATTATAGCACTTTTTGTATTAAAATATTATAAAAATTCTTATATAATTCCGTTATTCAATCGACCTTTTCAGTTACATTATTTACAGTGATTAGCTATCATAGGTGAATAGCGAAGGGGAATAACTTCTTTCGGTAGAAATAAATAAATTGACCTAAGGGTATAAAATTTCAAAATCTGGAAAAACACCCCTGCTCATTACTTTACATATTCTGTTTGCCTCTTAGATGCCCAAGAGCAGAGAAATAATCCATTTTCACTATAGATTCAATATATCCCTACCCTAATACCAGAGCCCCTGACCCAGGGACCAAGATATTCACAATTTTGGAAGAGGCACACTTGCTCATCATAACCATGCACTTAATATGTTTCCTTAATAACAATGGTCAGAGAAGAAGATTTTCAAAGAAATAATGCATTTCTACTATATATTCAGAAGATCCTCACCCTAACACCAAACCCCCTGAATCTGGGGTTATGAATTTCAAACATTTTGAAAAGACATCCTTGCTCATCATAACCGTGCAATTACTTTTTCTCTATTAAATACCCAAGAGCAGAGAAGATCCCCCCCCCAAAAATGCATTACCACCATATATTCAATAGACCCCCCCCCCCATGAACTCCGGACGCTTGGGCCAAAATTTTCACCATTTTGGAAGATGCGTCTTTGCTCATGATAAATCTGCTTAATACCTAGTCGCAGAGAAGAAGATTTTCAAAGAATTTATGCACTTTCTTTATATAATCAATAAAGCCCCCCTCCCACAGAACTTCACAATTTGACTCCATGAATTTCACAATTTTGGTAGAAGCCTCAATGCTTATTACAATCATGCCAACAGTGTGACTGCTTGATGTCCTGGAGTAAAGAAGATTTTTAAAAATGACACTCATTTTGATGGTTTTGACCCCAACCCTTAGGCCCCACGGGGGCTGGGACCATGAAATTCATAATTTTTGTCCCCTTCACTCACAGACGCTCTATGCCAAAATTGGTTGAAGTTGGTTCAGCAGATGCAGAGAAGAAGCTAAAAATGTTCAAATGTTTATGCACATGACGACGGTGAAAACAGATAGCAATAGTTCACCTGAGTGACTCAGGTGTCTTAATTAAAGCTTGTTCCTGGTTTAGGGGGAGTGAAATTCATATAAATTGTAAGCAGATTGCCTTGAACACAATGACTATGTTGTTGAATGGGAGATAAGGTAAAGAAAACACCACACTCAACCTCACAGAAAAATTTCAGAGTAAACAAAATGTGTTTGGTTTGTTAAGTAAGGAATACATGCACACGGGCAAGTAGTTTGTGTACTAAAATAAGAAGATACCCCTCTATAGTGGACCTTTAACATGTGACAAACAAAAGCTATTTGATAGCTATAGACTGATCAAACATAACCAGAATTATATGCATTATGATAAACAAATTTAAATACATACATGTTTGTTACTTGTGTACAGCTATTATCTAAAATAAACTTTAAGTTTTAAACCCTTTGTTTTTTCCATGTAAATTCCAAGTTGTATTTTTTTGAGGGGGGAGCAATATCCCTCAACACATTTTTACAGTTTTGTATGATACTGGGTAAGTTATCTTTTCTTTCAAATTATATATGGATAGATGCCATCTACTACTTTAAAGAATCTCAGATTATATGCACTAAAATAAACTTAGAAATCTAAAAGCAAAGAGGAAAAAAGCTAACAGAGCCAGGAAGGGACAAAAAATGATAAAAAAAATTAGAATTAAGTCTCTAACAACATAGCTTTAATATCTAAATAAAATTGTGTAAGAAAATGTCCAAACCAATTCAGCTCATATAAACAAACATAATATGGCCTGGAGAATGAAGTTGAACAGACCCTCTGCTTACAGGCAGGCATTAAATAATTATACTTTGGCATCATTGGAATGAAATTCAGAAAAATTAACATTTAACAATTTACATTTCTGAATTTGAAAAATTCTAAATCAGGTCTATTGTGTGTTTTATTATGTTGATTCTAAATCAGGTCCATTGTGTGTTTTATAATGTTGATTCTAAATCAGGTCCATTGTCTGCTTTATTATGTTGATTTCTTCATCTGTCCATAATATCTTGGTTTTATTTTGAAGACCATTCTTTTCATCGTTTGATGTTTCAATGTGCTGCCTGCTGAAATGTACAAAAAACATTTAAATTGAAACAACTTGCATGAAATCAACTGAATTGGAGATAAAGAAATTATAAAGAAGCTTTCCATGATTTTTTCATAAACATCATTGAGTGTTTAACATCACACTGAAGGCGTAATCCTGTATTATAATAGATTTATATACATTTAATAATAAACAACCAGTTGTCCTCAAATAGAATACCCATAAACCTGAATGACTCTACACTTGACAGACCATGTAAAATCATGTACTCATTACATTCATGTCACAAAAATGACCTTTTATCTGAAATACTGTATTAACTTACAATTTCACACCATATGGATCAGAACCGAGTTCGTCCTCATATAGAAAATCTTCCTCATCTGGATTCTCATCAAGAGATTCATCACATGAGATAGGAGTTATCTGCCCTTGGAACATATCTAGAGAACCCAGGGGAATACGCTCCCAGTTCAGGATATCTACAACAAATAGATTGGTTAATGTATACAGATTGAACTGCCTTATAGTATTTTTGTGATTTCAAGATCAAACTTTAACTTTTTACCCTGACGGCCATTCACATTCCATTGTCTAAGCATTCAGATAATACCTTGATCTCTTGTCCATGGGGACTGATTAAACTGCTGAGCCTGATGCTGAATATCTCCGACCTGGGGTAAGCTTTCCTCACTCTCGGAGCCTATCACAGACTTATCAACATCTAATATAAAATAATGGTCACATGAAATAAACTAAGAATGCATGATAAATATATTAATTATATATACAATTTACATGAAAATAGTCCTTGTATCTTCTTCATACCATAAAAATTTGTTGTATTAGAGGTAAATACAAGCAGGCCTTTCACAACCTGCTGGTACCCGGTACTTTAACCTGGCTGAAATCATGATTGTACCAGCATATATTTAAAGGAGAAAAATTTTATAATATATTTAATCAAAATTGCTTCTACAAGGTACCTCCCATTTTTGTAAAAGTACTGCCTGTTTCTAATCTTTTTGAACACCCTGCACATGTAGATCTAATAATACTCAATATGAAATTATTCTCAAAGTTTCTATATATTCATTTCAGCAAGTATAACATACACATATGTTGTTTCACTATGAATCTACCTAAAATGGAATGAATTGGTGTATCATTTTCACTTGAATCACTCTGTGTAGATTTTCCACAAACAACATCCAGAAGTTTGTGTATTTTCTTCTTAGTTGCCGGGGTAACAGCTGGAGTTTGTAGGGGGAGCAATCTGAAACAATAGTAAAATTTTAAATTAAAACAAAATGTAGATCCTAAGCCCTACAAGTGAGAGTCAAGAGCTTTCCTTGCGGCGGCTTGAGTAAGGCAAATATCACTGGACCATGAAGAGATTTGAACTGACAATATTTCAAGTGCTAGACTTCAGTATCAGACAACTGAAACACAAGTATGACTCGCACCTGTCACTCTGGGGACACTGCAGGAAGTAAGTGTAAAATGTCCTTAATATGAACTTTTCACAGTGTTCAAGGGCATGTTTAAGACCATTGTGAGTATGCAGGTACAAGGTACATGTAGATCTTGAATTGTGTGCATGCCTGAAGCCCCTACACAAAGAAAGCCACATGTAGCTTAGAGTATTAGATGCTAAGAACCAAATCCAAGAATGAAACCTCAGTTATCACTTCATATCACACCTGACATTTACATCATCTGATGTTGTTTTGTTACTTCTGTTCTGAAAATGTATCTGTATCAAAAACCTGACATCTATCAGACAGTAGAGCTGTCTGACAGAATGAGCTAGATACGTGTATTTAGGACCTAGTGGGAAGCTTAGAGCTGCATACTTGAATATACCCCTGTTCTGCAAATCCATGGTCTGTGAAAGTTATTTCAAAAGTGCCATGTATTTCATACTGAGAGAGAGAGAGAGAGAGAGAGAGAGAGAGAGAGAGAAGGGAGGGAGGGGATGGGAGAGAGACCCCTAATGTCTCACTGTCTTACACAAGTAAGGAAAATTTGTTCCTCTCTAACATACAGCACAATCTTATACAAATGGTCTAAATTCAAATTAAATTTTGCTGCAGATTATTCACATGAGTCTTGTAGATGACTAACAATGTGACATGATCAACTTATAGTTTGATGATGACCTGTGTGTAGATACTGGGGTGTTGACTTACAGTGTGATGATGACCTGTGTGTAGATACTGGGGTGTTGACTTGCAGTTTGATGATGACCTGTGTGTAGATACTGGGGTGTTGACATACAATTTGATGATGACCTGTGTGTAGATACTGGAGTGTTGATTTAAAGTTTGATGATGACCTGTGTGTAGATACTGGGGTGTTGACTTAGTTTGATGATGACCTTTGTGTAGATACTAGGGTGTTGACTTACAGATAGATGATGAACTGTGTGTAGATACTAGGGTGTTGACTTACAGTATGATGATGACCTGTGTGTAGATACTGGGTGTTGATATGACTTACAGTTTGACGATGACCTGTAAGTAGATACTGGGGTGTTGACTTACAGTTTGATGATGACCTGTGTGTAGATACTGGGATGTTGGCATGACTTACAGTTTGATGATGACCTGTGTGTAGATATTGGGGTGTTGACTTGCAGTGTGATGATGACCTGTGTGTAGATACTGGGGTGTTGACTTACACTTTGATGATGACCTGTGTGTAGATACTGGGGTGTTAACTTATAGTTTGATGATGACCTGTGTGCAGATACTGGGGTGTTGACATGACTTACAGTTTGATGATGACCTGTGTGTAGATACTGGGATGTTGACATGACTTACAGTTTGATGATGACCTGTGTGTAGATACTGGGGTGTTGAATTACAGTGTGATGATGACCTGTGTGTAGATACTGGGATGTTGACATGACTTACAGTTTGATGATGACCTGTGTGTAAATTCTGGGGTGTTGACTTACAGTTTGATGATGACCTGTGTGTAGATACTGGGGTGTTGACTTACAGTTTGATGATGACCTGTGTGTAGATACTGGGGTGTTGACTTACAGACTGATGATGACCTGTGTGTAGATACTGGGGTGTTGACATGACTTACAGTTTGATGATGACCTGTGTGTAGATACTGGGGTGTTGACTTACAGTTTGATGATGACCTGTGTAGATACTGGGATGTTGACTTACAGTTTGATGATGACCTGTGTGTAGATACTGGGTAGTTGACTTACAGTTTGATGATGACCTGTGTGTAGATACTGGGGTGTTGACATACAATTTGATGATGACCTGTGTGTAGATACTGGGGTGTTGACATACAATTTGATGATGACCTGTGTGTAGATACTGGGTAGTTGACTTACAGTTTGATGATGACCTGTGTGTAGATACTGGGATGTCTCAGTAATTTCTCCAGAATAAGTCTGTAAGGAATGTGTCGTCTGTATTTATATAGCTTCCTTTTGCTTGCTTTCAGATTTCCTGAAATCACCAAAACAGTGTAATATTTAGTGTTTGTACTTATTTTTATACAAGGAAAACTCATTTTTACAAAATATGAGGGCTATGTGCAAAATTTAGTGCTTTTACTTATATATATATATTGTATATTGTATATAAGAAAAAAAACTATTTTAACAATTATGAGGGCTATTTGCAAAGTACTGTGAAATTCTTTTCATTTGCCTTTCTAATCCATGTTTTTTCAGTTTTTATGAAAATTGTTATATTCAATTAACAATTTTTCCTCTAAGTTGTATATTAAGTTTCAATGATAAAAATACCTAACACAGTCATGAAATCACATATTGAAAATCTGTAATTACATGTACATGTACCATGTACTTAGTCCTGGTGGACCCAGATTAAGTTGGAGAATTATTTAGATCATATATCATTTTTTGATTTTATTTTGAATTCATTTTGTGCTACATGTAGTTTTAGAATTTCTACTAGAAATATGGATATCATAAAATATTTCCTTCAGGCTATACATGTAAAGCCCAGTTTTAAATAGTTTATCATTGGTCGGAATGTTTCTTCTGACAAATTATTCATCAAGAGTTAAATCAACAAAGCTGGACAACCATCAGTTATTACGGACTAATGCCAAAATCGATTCAGAATGAGGCTCATCAGGGACACGTTTTACAAAAGAACTTACGACTACAACCAAAAACTTAAGTAGATTGTAAAATTTTGCAGAATAAATGATTCTGTTTAAAATTGCTATTGTGTAAAATATCTTTCTACATTCCTTTTAAACAGATTAAAACCATTTTAAATTGAAACTTATTTAGAAAGTTATAAGCAGAATTAAAGTTTGGTCTTAGTTGTAAGTTCTTTTGTAAAACAGGCCCCAGATTGTAAGAGACATTCTATGGCAATCTGACACTGGGATAGCAAAAACATCCGAGCTTTTAACAGAAACTTTAAGAATGGAGAGAATTTTTGCTCACTTTGTTTTTATACAAAGTTAACATGTGATGAGAGAAAAGAAGAGTTAACATTTCCCAATCATTTCAATGTGAGAAAAAATCTAATGCTGTATGCCGTTAAAATGATGTAACTATGATAATCTTAAGGGGCTTGTTTTACAAAAGAACTTATGACAAAATAAATGATTCTGTTAAAAATTGCATACATATAAAATATTTCTTTATAAATTCTTTTTTTAAAGATTAAAACCATTTTCAAATTAATGTAGGAAAGAAATTTATTCCAAAAATTTTGATCTTAGTCATAAGTTCTTATGTAAAACTGGGTCCAGGTCAATAGACATATATGCAAGTTTATAATGTTACCAGGGGCTAATCAACTAATGAGGTTCCTTACAAAATTTTGGTAAATTTTTATAAATTAACCTTCTTCCCTGGAGCTAGGGTAAATGTCTTGTTAATTTCTGAATAGCCCTCATAAAGTGAATTAATTTTTAGCAATTTCATATAGATTAATTCATTACATTAAATTAGAATTTTCAGCTACTAAGAAGTCTGAGCAGTTTGAGTTTCTTTTTATTTCCCTGAAACTATGACCACGCTCCTATTACCATGAAAATTCTATTATATCTCTTGTTTGTTTTTATTTTGTCTCAGAGCAAGATTTAATTAGCTTAATATGTATTGAAAAAATTTAATGAAAATTAAAAATATGCATTTCGATTATGAATGAATCAATATTTCTCTCACGTTCTTCATAATTTCCACTCATGGAGTTAGAACTGATGATTCTATGTAACCAGCTACATAAAAAGAAATTCTGGAAATTCTCTTTGTCTGTTACCATGGTAACCATCAACTGTACCAGGGCAGAGGTCAATTTCATTCTGTGTAAGATGTTCAATAATGGCCCCCACAGTTTACCCAAGATATCAGGTATCCTTAAATGTTGTGAACTCATTAACTCTGAAATTAGAATAAGTACTGTCTTTAAATTGTAACAACTTTTTTCCACAGTTCTGATTACAATACAAATATTGTGAACATTGCAAAATGATTTTTTTTTTTTGGGTCAATTACAAAACAGTACTAAAACTTGCCCCTTGCGCTGATGTTTAGCTCTCTTAACTGTACAGGAGTTGGTATGAAGTGTCCCTTCTTGAATATGCAGCACAGCATTCTGGACCTGAAAAATTAATAAAATTACAATATCCATGGAGATTAAACAACATATTATTTCAAAATAGTTCATTCCTAATTTAAGCTACAAGTATACACATTCACATCAAGTTAGCTCAATTTTAAACATTCAGGGGCAATTGTTTGGATGTAAAACTTTACATTTTGCTCAAAAAAGCAAAGAGAACATGAACAATTTCAACTCATTTACTGTTGAACTGAAGATGGATCTTCTAATATAATATTACAGAAGGATCTGAATTTCACTCCCAGGCAGACTTACTTATGTCGCTCCAGTAACCTGAGTAAATCACTGTAACAATTGACACTTTTCTCTCCTGTTCTGATGGCCTGTAAAAAGGGAATATTTTGTTCATATTCTGTGCTTTTGTTTTTACTCATACTGTGACATGGGAATATACATTATATACTGCATACAATATACATATCTGCAGACCTAAGTACAATGTACTATGAAATTATCTACAGGCAGTTCCTCTATTTTTTTGATTCACTAACATTTCATTGATTATAATGGACAGGCAGATCACAACTACCCAGGCATCCCGCGAAAGTAAGCGGGTCACCGTGGGGGCGACCTGTGCCCTTGCACAAATTACTCAGAGACTAAAACTCTGGAACCTGGCGCTACCCAGGCTCATTATTTTCCTTACTCATTAGTTTAAGGCATAAACATGTAACAGGTCCCTTAAAACTTTTGTAAATTACAGACTTTAAAAAACATGTAAGTTGAAGTATTAAAATGTTGATATTAATTTACTTTATCTACAATAATTTTTTCGGTGTTTTGAAACTCAGAAAAAAAATTAAATTTATTTATTTACTAATTTTAATCTTGTAAACTTTGCTTGGTAAACTACATGTATTTTACCTCAGCAATGAGACTTTAATATTATTATACAATACATCTAATCAAAGGGATGCAAATCTGTTTAATGTCTGCATAACATTGTATGAGTTTAAATTAAGAGTTACCTCTCCTGAAAAACGCACTTACTTTTAGAGTATCTGCCATGTATTTTTCGATGATTTTGTCCACAAATTCCCTATCTTCTTCCAAATCAAATGATTTTTTAGGTTTGATACTCTCCATGATTTTTAACTGTGCATCCCAGAAGTCCTCCTGTAGGAGAAATTGAAATAAAAAATGATGTATACAAAAAAAAAAAAAAAAAAACTCTAAACAAGATCTAGCAATCAATAGATTGTAAAATGTTTATAAATACAATGATATAATTGATGCTCTATGTATGATTTTTTATAAAAAATTTTATTACATAATGATCAAATATAAACAAAAGCACTGCAAAGTAGAGCATCCCTATGTATCATGATTTCATACAAAGAATATGACTCAACCTCACACATTTTAGAGTTATGGTGATCATATATTCAGATTATATATTATTCTTCTTTACCATTTGGCCTTAAAGTCAGTGGATTTGCACCTTTGTAGCAAGTATTGTATATCAAGTTCAATTTCAAATTTTTGGCAAATCATTAAAATTTAACCCCCCCCCCCCTTTAAAAAAATTGAAATGTTGGGTACATATATTATTTCAAAAGTGAGATTTTCATACAAACAGACAGCTGCCTATTTGTGACTGAAAGATCAGATAGTACTCTAAATATCATGTCCACAACACTCTTAGGGATGCAAGCAAAAAGTGCCATTACTGTAGGAAAATTGTACATTTAAAATGTTTACATCCAATAATCCTTCATACCTTGAGCCAGTCTAACACCCAGTCAGTTCCTGCAGTAAGCTCTGACAAGGAGGGCATAGATCTATGTGTGGCACTGTGTCTCATCTCAACTATCCAGTTGGGAATACCAAACTATAAAAGTTAAAGATACATGTAATGATTTTAAGCAAAGTGCATAAAAATATTCAGTGTTTAAAAAGACTGTAGTAAAATCTTGTGTTTCTGGGACAGTAAACTTGAAAGATAATGTAAATGTATCACTGTGTACCTGCAAGAGTAGGTCAATTCCACTTGAAACTTAGAAATGCTAATGTTAACTGCTTTCAAAAGACTATACTCAGATGTTTATATATTTTTATACGTACATTGCCAGCAATAGTGTGGACTGCCATTCTAACTCTTCCAGTCTGTCCTAGCTCTGTTATGTTGTTAACAAATCTAAAATAAAGAAACAAATTCAAAACAGTTAGTTTTCCCTGCAGGAGATAAGACATAGAAGTTTGACTCCAAGGAAATCATCACTGGATTGAGTTCGGGGTGAAATTATTTTTTTTACAAACTGAATTAATTATTAAAATTAATTATATACTGATAAAGAAAATAAAAGGAAATATTAATACATATAAATTGCTTCATACAAAAGTATACATAAATTTATTTCCTAAAAAATGATTATAAATTTTAACTCCATTAAAATATCCTTAAAATTCATGCATAAAATTATTTAATTATAAAATAACTGACCTAATAATACCCATGCTGTATTCATACACCAGCTTTAAGTGATTTTCATGGACTGTTCCTTCTTGTATGGCTAGCTGATGAGATATGCATGCTCTACACAATGCCATGGTACTTTCAATAGCAATTGGCAATTTATTAAGTGCCCTATAAAAAAATAAAAACAGTAGAGAAAAAGACTTAATATACAAAGTTGTGCAGTGAGAAGTTTAAGCATCCTCAATTCTTTCTGCTTGATTTGTGTGGTATGCCATTGTACATGTAAAATTTGTTCCATATTGATCTCTGTAATTCTCTCAATATCATAATCAACTAGATTTAACAAAGCATTCAATAGAATTTAAACCTTTGAACATATTCCTAATTCTGCCGAGAAAGGCTTTAAGCACAGTCACCACATTGGTAAAATAAGTTTTACAAAATGCAATTGCACAAAGCATATTAATTAGTAAATTGTTGCATGTAATTGCAAAAAGCATATTGAATTATCCTTTGATGCATTTTCATTTGCACATTTTACAGTTATACCTGCTTTGCCATGTAGTCATCTTTGCCAATGCTCTTTGTTTAGGCTCTAGATCCTCAGAAAATACCCCTGCATGCACTTGCCTAAATTCTTCTCTGAAAGAAACAAGTTGGCAACTGTTTGAAAGCTTTTCTTTTCCTATTGTGTATTTGTTAATATAAATTCGATACAAGCTTTATTTTTTTGGACATGTCCACCTACATGTACCTTTTAGGGAAAAAAATCTTTCGAAGTAAAGTTTCAAAATCATAACCTCAACATTAGAAAGAAGTAGAACTGTTAATTTTCTACTTCCATTTCCACTTGCCAATGATATTGCTTTAAATACTGTACGTAATAACGAATCAAAATTGTTTCGAATAAATCTTTTCTACAAATCGGGAGCAAGCTCCGTACATGTGTATTATTTGTATTCAAAAATGTAATTCACACCCATACAGTAACAAATAGTTATTATAGATAGACGTGGGGAAAACCAATTACTTGTCTCGCCATGGCACAACCATTATTTTAACTTTACTTTCACCCTTCCGTTTTGATTTTGCAGCTTTACCCATTTTTGACAGCAATAAAATCCACACGTGCTACACTAGGTAAGGGAAGCAATACAATATTTACATCCGGTGTGTATAAATGCGAAAGAAAACCTCATCCCCAGTTCCGGAAATATTGAGAGGTTGATCAGTGGCGGATCCAGGATTCTTTACAAGGGGGCCCAGGGGGCGAAGCTCCCAGATTCAAGTTTTTTATGACTTCTTTCAGCTATACTTAAAGTATATTAAAACAGTATCACGAAAAATAATAATTTATTTTTCTAGAATGTTCGGTCACAAAGGGGTGGGGGTGGGGGTGGGGGAAAGATGGCCTCACTTTAAACTATTAAAGATTTTGTTCGTCTTGACTTCTTGACATTGTTAGCATATCTACGCTGATATTTTTTTTCCAAAGTACAATTCAACGTATTAGCTATAAAGAAGAGAAAAAGAAAATTGTTGAATGATCAGATGTAGATACAACATGGTCCAGTTTTGCCAAACAATTTTGTATATTTTTTCTTGTTATTGTAATTAAAAATAATCACACTATAAAACATTCACATGGCCGATTAGAATGTCGTACAAAAAATGTACTTGTGGACAAACGTAGGATATTTATTTTATTTCTAATTAAAGAAACTTGATAGCTTATAGATGAAAAAGCAAAATCAGTTGTACATGTAAAACAGTAAAAAGGACGCCACAAAATGTCCTTTACAATGCATGTAATACCTTCTGTCAATTTTTAATAATCATTTGATAGTTTATTTTTTTAACTTACATTCATAGACATACATGTACATGTATGATATTTAAATTTTACTTTAGAATATAATTATATATCTTAATAAATTTGAATTTTTGTTCATATTAACCAATCTGGTCTATATTCAATAGATATAAAATAAACATGATATAAAGGGAAAATAGGATTCATTATCATAAAACATAATGCATAGATCTAGATCACTCTCTCTCTCTTTCTCGTACAAAATGCCGATGACATCACAGTGCAACTGACGTCACAAAGCTATTATCGTCATGATAAGATTTCAGCTGGAGGCATTGTTTGAGCACAGCAAAAGTTCAGGCTATATAGAATATTTTTGAAGAGATGGAAAAGAATTAAAGAACGAGAGATAGAATTTATCTTATCTTTATTTAATAATAATGTATGTTAATATGTTTATTACTCAGACATGCTTACCGAGATACACTTGCATCTCACTGAAAAGATAACTAGAAGAGAGGGAGTTTTTGTTTTAATCTATAAACTGTAAAGTATCTAGTCAAACTTGTTGAAAAACATGATATGCAATAAACTGCTTCGTAATTATGAGAGACTTGATCCCTAGTTTTACTAAATGGATAGGCCTCAATTTTTTCTTGCTGATATTACATTTCAGTATATGTTGAATATTTTGACCAATAGACCTAGATATTGAAACACAAATATTAAGTTTTTAATCGAATGACGTCACAATATCAATGACATCACTATATGAAGGTCGTCATAATGCAAGTTTTTTTTATACATGGTTCAAGCTGATCTGTTTAGAAGTATATTTTCCTTCGTTGTTTCATAAACTGACAAGTTCATTGGAGGTAGGTTGTGTGAAAAGTTGACGTGTATAACATTAAATTGTTAAATGTATCCGACATAATATTACATTTAATTCTGAAGTTTATACCAGTATATAAGATTAAAACTTTAAGAAGGAGATGCAATTTGATATATATTTTTTAAGCGAGTCTATCTAGGAGTTAAATTTCGGTTTTAGAACTCTGAGAAACTGAGAGAATGTCTCAAGAATGGCACATTGTCTCTGAGGGACCTTGACAACAAGGTACGTATACATAAAGAAGAAAAATAAAATTACATAGTTAAAATAAATAAATAAATAAGTAAATGAATAAATAAATAATTTTAAAAAACATATCATCTTCTTAACTTCCAAAGCAGAGGAGAGGATCCTCGAGAGGCAGAAGAAGACGCAACAAAGGCAAGAGTGGAAAAAATGTAACAACAGATGGTGCGACAAATACATAGGGGGTGGATAAACCACGAAGCTCCTCGGAGGCTTCCAAGACTAGCAGGCCAATGAAAACAGACAGCAGTTCGAAAAATGCTGAAAAAAGTCTTCAGTTGAAAACTCAAAACAAAGAATCAGAAATGGTAAGAATAATTACATTGAATCATATATTGTCATTTATATGACCTTTAAAATACAATAAAATACCTTTAAAATAATGATAATCATAAAATATTTGATATCGTTTTAGGTAGTGCGCAGCATCCTCGATGACGTATTTGATCAGGTTTCCAGATATTGTTCCGCTACTAAGTACAGGTTTGTTAAAAAATAAAGAGCCTAAAAGATTTTTTTTATTGATTTACTGGCGTCTTTTACAAATATTAAACCAATCAATTCTAACATAACATATCGAGTAGTTCCGGAGAAATAAGCTTCAAGTTAATTGTTTTTTTCCCTTTCAGCGTTGCCAAAGAACAGACTAACACCTGTATGACCCTCGCCCTGGTGGGAGCTTCCGACAAGAGAGTAGTGGCATCACGAAATTTCTATGCAGAACAAAGAAGAACAACACAAGAGGTATAATAAAAACGTATTAAAATATGACGTAAAATTTTCACGAAAGCTGATTATTGCTGTACATATATCCTTTGCTAATGAAAATGTATGCGAGTGTGAAATTTTCGCAAGCAGTCCATCTCCGTCGCTTTATTACGCGAAAATAAAGTTCTCGTAAATAGAGATTTACTTTATGCAATTCATGTCAGATCCATATCGTTAAAGATTTACATAATTGATAAAATTACACGATATAAAATTTAATAATTTTAATAAGGAATAACACATTTTACGCCTTGAAGTCTTTAATTGCTGAGGAGCACAAATAAACTCTATAGTTTTTTTTTGTCGACAGATGTTATACAAAGCAGCACGGGAGAATGTGAGGGACTTGATTTTGCGTGTTACTACATGTCGCCAGGATATTCCAAGGTAAAAACAATCTGGAAAGCAAACGTTCCTTTCTATACGAAAGTAATCTGTAGCCATGATGTTTTTGGAAAAGCCGCGCAGCATTAGAAGATTCAGTTAGCAAAATACGTCACATTTATGCAATATATAAAAAAGATCCCTTTCCATAACGTGAAAAAACCTATTTAGTGATGATGGGGTGGGTTCCACGTTTTCCGGGGGGGGGGGGGGCAAAGTCAATTTGGATTTGGTTCAGTATATACTTTAAATAACTCTGCAAATTCCAGGGGGATGGGGTCCGCCCCCCCCCCCGACCCTCTCTAGATTCTGCGCATTCTTTAGATCAAGGGATTTTCCTTTTTTGCCATTCTAAGCTGTATGACAACCTTATACCATTTGTACATATCAAGAGTAAAGGTTTAGAAGAAAAACAGGGTTATATATCATATATATTGTAATGTGGTATTATATGCAATATATATTGCAATACGCATTTTTTTAAGCCCAGACAAGGGACAATTAGCTACAACTGCCCCACTCCGATTTGCAAATTATGACGTACGACAGAGCGCATACCAACAATGGATTAACACTGAGAAACTGAAAATGCAAAAGGTATCTATTGAACATAGAAATATTTATTTCAAATGCCTACATATTTCATATTGTATTTCGTATATTATACATACAACTCTGAATATTGTGTTTACTGATAATTATAATTATTTTGTATTAAATTTCTTTAGATTATGTACATGGCAGCCTCCGAAATTGTACAGTACTTCCTCACATTTCCAGCCACTCGTGCAAAGTTTGCAGAAGTAAGAATCATGGCGACACGAAAGTCTTATGAAGACCAGAGAAAAATAACTCAAAAGGTATAAAAATTATTTATGATCTTACATGTATTCTTTTTAGGGATGTCAACGAGTACCCGGTTAACCGGGTACTCGATCGAACGTCCGAGTATCGAATACTAAAAATGGTACTCGGTTACTCGGATGTGTATTTTTTCTTATTTCAAAGTACATATTTTTTATCAAAAACTTATAAGAAAATAACTTAAATAAGCATACGGGTAATTAGCGTGTCGTCATCTACACATGTAAACACCCGTTATCGCTCATGGTGGTGTATACACAGTAATTACCGTATATACTCGCCTATAAGTCGTTTTTTTGGGAGTTTAACTTTGGTCCAAAACTCTTTATCCGACTTATACGCGAGTTATAAAAAGACTGGTATTTTAGTGGGTCAATCCTTCTAATTTAAGCTTAAAAATACAACCGACTGATAGACGGACCGACTTATAGGTGAGTATATACGGTAGTGACCTGTCACATGGTACGCAGCTGTTCTCACCTATTGTGGTCCTTAATTTTTTGATGTCTTCAATGATTGTTTTTTCAGTGAAAATCGTGGTCTATTATCTTCACATCATTTTAAAATTATTTACTTATAATATACGGCAGCGAAATTGGACATGCATAGAAATGCCGTTACCCATTTAAAAATAAGTAAAGATTAAAAAAAAAATGTTTAAAGTCAGTTTCCATAGTATAAGTTTAGTGTATACGGGGGTAAAAAATCAACATATGAAAAAATATTAAACTAACGATCCAAACAACGTCCGTTCCTTCTCTTTCGCTAGTCTAATCATCACAAACTTGCGTAACAGATTGTCCTCCTTTTGCGTTGATGAAATAGATCCTAAACAAGAACTGTAGACCATTTGTAATTTTTGATGTATTAATTGTGTCTTTTGTACATGTATTTATTTAGAACAAAACTCATTTCCGTTAGACTCCATGTTTATATACATTTATAAAGCGTGATAAAAACAGCTATTGGATTTAACAAATTAACAATTAAAAATTAACAAACTTGTATTTACATTTTTAACGAGTACCCGGGTACTCGATCGGAAAAACGTCCGAGTAACCGATTATCAAAAATCGACCGATTTGACACCCATAATTCTTTTAGAATTTATATTCTCATACACTACCTGTAAAATTTTCTATTCAAGTAATCTTAAGGACATACGCAACATAGTTTGAACTTTATTGTCTTTTCCAATGGAGTTGAAGAGTTCCAATACTTAAAAGAACTGTGACTGCAACATTTTAATGTCTATATATGCTGTTGTACACTTCTTCTAAAACAAGTTTGGATAAACAAAACATGTAGAATATATGTTTAGTAATTTTAATATATTTTTTATGAATTATACAAGAATTTTCATCAATTGATATCTTTTCAAAACCCCTGGTAATGCATGCTGTTTTTTTTCTACGAACATCTGATGACACTATAATCTTAAATTAAGAATATCTAGAAAAATTATCAGTAGGTAAGGTACGTTGCGTATGTCCTTAATACAATATAGTACTTACATAATTTAACTCCTTATATATTCTTCGTTAAATATCAAGATGTAAATATACATTGATCTTCGTTAACTCAAACACCGATATCCGAATACCAGGGATATTTTGAAGTGAGTAGGCAGTCCAAACCACTTTTACTTTATGTTTTTTACCCTCATTATCTCGAATCCACGGATAGTCCGATGGAATTCGAGATTACGAGGTTTGACTATATCACTGTATATGAAGACATTGTACATTTGAAAGGCGAAATGAGAGATTAAAATTATCAATTTTCATCAATAACAGTAGAAATTACACATGGCCATTTTTTTCATTGACAGTTATTGTACAAAGCAGCCCAGGAAAATGTGAATGACCTGATAATCCAAGCAACTACTAACTGCGATATTCTTGGGTATGTACTCAAAGTAAATCAGGACTTTGTTTCTGGTATCAGCGTGGATTCTATTTTCATGAATTGTTATAAATTTAGAAATATTTATCGTAAATGGTAATGACCAAATCAGTGCCCATGATGTTAACGGTAGAGTTCAAGTGAAAAAAAGTAATGATTAAAAAAATATGAAGTTTCTCAAAAGAGCAACACTGACAATAACGGAGAAGATTCAGCTGAAGGACAACAATAAATACCAGAATTTTATTTTGCTAGTGCAAGTTAAAAGAAAACAGTTTGCTTCTATGGACAGTTGTCACTGAACTATAACCGACATCTCTTAAGGAAAAGATATATAAGCATAACTATTCACTGACTTATTTCCTGTTTATAGAGCAGTTATAGTAGAGGTGGATGTACCAACCTTGGTACGATCTGTAGAATATGATGCCAGACTGAGAGCTCTCTTAGAAAAGAGGAACGCTGAGAAATTAGCAATGCAAAAGGTATTCATTAAATGGAATACTAATATACATGTATGTTCATATTGTACTAGTATATATTGACTAATCTAATGCGCATAGATATTGACTATTTAATACGAATATATTGACTTCCTAATACACAAAAAACTTATATTTATTTAATAAATAATACTTTAAATAGATCAACATTTGTCTTTTCGTTATTTAGGCTGTGTACAACACAGCCTCGAAGGTCGTTGAAGACCTGTTTACCCGTGCAGCCACTAACACAAGGTTTGTCCAGTATTCGTAAGTGAAATGATATACATAATTAACATATTCGATAATTGTAGAAACAAAGCCGATTACAAATTAAGGCTATCATCAGATTTCTTCCATCTTTTGTTTATAGCTTAAAGACTTTATCTGAACCAGATGTAACCAACGACATGGTGTGTATTTAATATAAAAAAGTAATTCGTAAGGTAATTTTTAGAATTTTACTTTTTTTGAATTACACAATTGTAGCTTAAAAATAAAAGAAAAACCAACAACATCTGCAAAAAAATGTAAATGAATTTTGGCTTGTAGGAGGATGATCCTGTACCAACACCTAAAGGTTGGAGAAGATTCTTTTGTTGTGTCAAATCAAAGAAACAACAGGTTAACATCCACCCTTATCATTTTATATACATTTCATTTTCCTATTGTATGTTCTGGTGTCCTCATCCACATATGATTGTATAAATAAAACATGATTCCTACAAACTTTCTTTTTATTTCAGCAGAGGAAAGAGAAGAAAGAAATGTTTGGATTGCTTGCTAGATTACGCCGCCTGTTTAACAGTCGCTAAATATGTTAAATTTAATTGTACATGTAGTTATTAGTTTATCAATTGAAGATATGTGAAAACAACATTTCATTGATTCAGACGAATTTATATACGATTTGGTATTTTGGCAATTCACTTACTATAGCCATCATTTTAAGAAGTGAACGATTTTAACTTTTTTGAATAAATTATATATTCATGTTCTTGTGTATTGTTTGGTTTTGATTTCCAAAAAAAACTTTCCTCTAGTGTCGCATCTAATAAAGTATAGCCATCTGAACATTAATTCATGAATAGGTAAATAAATTGGCAGACGGACACAAGTTCACCATCCACCTCTCCATATATCTTATCCTTTATAGTCTGCTTCCAGTGGCCAGTAGATGTAAATTTCATTTCTGTCCTGAAGTGGCCTCCGATGTCAAGTAAATTTAGTCTCCACTTAAGTACACTTTTGGGTGCCATGTTTGCTAGAGACTTCCTGTTTTCTATCAATTTATGGCGTGTCGAATAAGGGTCAACATCAGTTACTCATGCTATGAATTGATCACCAGGGTGATTGGAAATAGATTATTGAGAAAACTAAGTGGTTATATTGGGATGGATGGGTTTACATCACGTACATGTAAACAGTCACTGGAAATTGATAAACAAGTCTCTGGAAAAACTACAATCCTATATCTTTAACATTTTTGTTGAGAAGGAATTTTAACAAGATGTAACCTGGTAACTATCTCAGAGAGAGAGAGAGAGAGAGAGAGAGAGAAAGAGAGAGAGAGAGAGAGGTTCAATTATTAATATGATTATCAAATTTAAAATAAAGAATACATATATATATAATAAAAAGACACTGTGTATTACACTCTGATTAGGTGTAATTTGATTTTGTGAAAATGTGAACAAGTATACAATGATTTTTATCCTCAGACGTTAAGTACTCCTTCCGGAAAGCATTGACCTCATGCATTAAATCGTCACATGTCAGATGTATGGAAAATCCTTTAAAATCTGAATAGAAAACAAAGTAAATGAAAATCAAAAAGAGGATCTACTATTGCTTCAATGCAACAACTGCTCCAAGGAAGTGTGTTAGAGAGTAAATTTATCATGATATTGAAAGGATAATAAGGAAATATAGGTGTACCTTGTGGAGAACATCAAAACCAACAGTTTATCTGGAAGTTTGTCTATGAACTCACAGATGGCAAATTCAACACATGATCCTGATATCCACGAATCGGGGATTCCGACATACGTGTTTTTCGCCTTTGGATTTGTAGGCAATGGACTAGCCTTATGTGTTATTTGTTGCAACCGGGAGCACCATCAATGGCGCTCCTTCTACATTTTCTTCTTGGGTCTAGCAATGTCTGACTTTCTTAACCAGTTGATAGTTTTCCCATTTGAAGTCTTACGATATGGATCTAATTTTAATTACACAATTCCCCCTCATCTTTGCAAGGCTGAGTCATTCATCTACTCTTTCACGCAAATTTCGTCAGGTATGATCATTTCCGGTATCAGCACAGACCGATATCTTGTTTTAACTAACAGTGGACAACCACTTGACGCGATGCGGTGGAATCGCCGAAAATATCTCTTTGGTCTGTTGATGATATGGATTTTTTCGGCACTTGTGTCTTTACTTCATTTGTTCGTTGGACAAAGCGAAACCTTTTATCCCGGGTCTTGGTGCTTTATTGACGTCACGAACAAAGGTATTGGATCTGTATTTAGTGCAACAGTATACTCTCTAACAGGAATTTGCGTCCTCGTCTACACTGTGTACATAAATATCTGCGTCATGTGTATGTCTTGTAGGGACCCTGAACACCGTGGCAGACTTCTCGACACTGACCGTGTAACTGGCTTCTATGATGTTCATGTCAATTTTTTTTTGGCGATTTCAGTGACACTTTATGTCCTTTGTTGGGGACCATTTTTGGTGGGTGTTGTCAAGTACAAGTCGTGCTAATAATCTCTCTGTTACAACTAATGATATTTTTTGTTTGTATGTTGTTTAACGTCCCTCTCGAGAATTTTTCACTCATATGGAGACGCCACCACTTGCCGGTGGAGAGCTGCAAATTTTGTCCTATACTCGGCACTTACGGCCATTGAGCAGTGAGGGATCTTTTTCGTGCCAGCACCTACTGCGACACGGGACCTCGGTTTATACGGTCTCATCCGAAGGACCGGTCTCCACGTCCCACAGTGGGATTCGAATCCGCGACGTAAGGATCAGCTCCTTACTCGCGACTCTAGAGCAGACGCTCTAACCACTGCGCCACGCGGGCGACAATTATGATATACTTTTAACGAACACATTTTAAGACATTTTCTAACAGAGCGATTATTAGCATAGAAAATGACATGTTATTGAATCGAAAAAATAAACATTAGAATTTTTCCTTCAACATGCACTAATTATTCAGTAAATTTCTTTTTATTCTTTTGTAGGTGGACATATTTTTACGAGGAATCAAAATCATATCTGGTTCTCCTGGAAAACTTGAACTTTGGCTTGTTCGACTGATAGACTTAAAATCCAATGTGAACCCTTGGCTTTACGTATTGCTACGCAAGGAATATATTAGGAAGATCTTTCTTCGATTTCAGACATGCCGCGAGGGAAACATTCAAAGACAGCCTCCTGATGGAGAAAGCAACAGACTCTTACAGGAGAGTCAAATTACTTTCTCAAATCCTACAAGTCAGTGATCTAACTAGACATACGAATACTGGCTGATTTTTAGAGAGCTTTTTAAATATTCTTATTATTTATTTATTTTGCAATGTTAATTGGGAATCATCCGATTACGTTACTGATCTTAAAGTTGATAATATTACTGGTCACTCTTTTATAAAAATGTGCTTTAGCGTGATTTTCCAAAATGTCTAATTTATGTATAGATTACTTAATTTTAACATACTTTGGAAGAGTTTTACAAAGTTTCACAGAAATGGTCTTTTAACTTGACAATCGCATAAAGGAGTAACAGTCGTTTTCCCCAGTGAGAGTTACCTCTCTTAGAAGAGGGTTGATGAACTTTGAACTCATCTATCCATCCAAACGAGTTTAAAATGAGACAAAAAACCCAAACAGGAAAAATCTAACGTCAACTAAACATTCAGATTTCATAATATGAAAAAGAGTTATGCCAAAGAATATGCCAAAGAGTTATGCATGATCACCCAAACAATAGGACACAAACTGTAACACTAGCTCTTGCAATATGCCCATCAACTAGTTCAAATCCTCAATGGTCAATCAAATATTAGGATAGTTTTAGGAACAAACGGGCAAAAAAAATCCATACATCAAAAACTCAAGTCTCCAATGTTAAGTTTACATTTAAACTTTTTTATATCATTAAAAAGCAATAATTAAACATTCAGCCACTATACAGCCAAACAACAGCCACTTACTTTTAGTAACCCAATTATTAAGAGCTATTTTACAGCAATAAATGAATTATTACATGCTTTTTAATTTAAAGCTTAGGTCTAATGTATCTAAATTAAAGTGTTAGATTTTATCTCTTTTAGTTATAATTTCAAATCTGGTATCCATTTGAATTTCTGATAATTTGAATTGAAATTATCTCTAGGCCCAACTCTGCCATTTTTAAACTACAGCTCAATTTTTTAAAATCTGACATGAATTTGTGAACAAAACTTCTTTTGGAAGATATGTATTTCTATTAAACAGATGCATACAAAAGATATCATGAGTTTTGTTATTTTATCATCACAGTTATTTTTCATGTATAATTTATATTTTTCTTTCAAATAGTTAATTGCTACCCTTTTTGCACGAATGACAGTATTTCATGCAACAAGACATACTATTAATAAAGTTTTCACAGAACCTTTATGGAAGTGAGGGACCATATCTGCTGCAGTGCCTTCCAAATTTAAGTCGTTGGCAAGTTAAGAAAAAGGTTTGGTCTAAAATGTTCTAAATTGGGTTTAAATCTGGACAAGTTTCCGTCTGTGGAAGTGTCAAAACTGTATTGCGTTTGAGACATTCTCTTGCGTTTTTGAGCTATAGATTCAAATCGTTTTCTTGGAAATAGTAAACAAGTACATGTGTTACTAACATCTTGCATTATCTCTTTCCGAGAACAAGAGAATTTCTCAAACACGATACAGTTTCGACACTTCGACTACCGGAAAAAAGTCTCGAGATTTAAACCCAATTTAAAACATTTTGGATTAAAGGAAGGAAATCTTTGTTCAAAACATGCAAAGGACTAAAAAGATATGTGGAAGGCACTCCAGCAGGAATCATGATCATTTTCAAAAGCTTTTCTTGCAAAACTTAATTCATTCATACCTTGTCGTATTAAGACTGTTATTCGTGCTAAAGGGGGAACAACTAATAATAGAAAGAAAAATTTACATGAATATAGGAAGTATAATAAAATTGCAAAGTGCATCATGTCTTTTGTTTGTGTTTCTGTATAGTAGTAGCTCCTGTACAAAATACTAGTAAAACTGTTTTCAACAATTTATGAAGATCTTTAAAGAATGAGGAAAGTTGAGAATATTTCTTTATGAATTTCGAAATTAAATAAAGAATAATTTGATGGAAAAAAGACAGCCGCAAGGAAAGCAGATAATGGATTAACGGGACCTGAAGTACATCAATGTCCAACACTTCACACTGTTTTTGCATTCAGCACGACTTAAGCTTCTCAAGCTTTAAGAGGACATCTGTTGCATTGTTGACATAACCTAAAATCGAAGAAGATCGTCTTGAAGAAGTAGTACACCAATAGTCATGCTAACCCTAGCTAGCCCCTGAATATCAGAATTAATTAAACAGGCTTTATTCTTAAACTTTTGATGTTTGTTTGCATATATTTTACGTGTATTTCTTAACAAGAGGTGAAGCAGTTTTAATTGTCACTTTGTTACTTTCTAAAATGTTTTTGATACATAATTTCTCAGCTTTATTTTCATTTTAAAAAAATAAGATTCATTCTTGGACGATGATTTTTACAAACTTGACTTATTACCTTAAAATCAGGATGTTGCATAAGGAGTAAAAGAAATGCCAGATAGTTGTTCTTGCAATAGAAATTCTTCATGCAATGTATATGGAAAAAAGTTTACAAAACGAACATTCCTGATATAAAAAGTCTGCATTTTTTTAAAAACAAAACTATCATATATTATTGAAAAATTGAATCAATTAAGTTAAATCTAAGAATACCTGTAGGTTAACTTAGGTCGTATGCTGTGTTAAATATCTTTGGAAGCAATAAAAGTCAGTTGTGCATTACCATCAGGTACACCACAAAAATTTACTTTTTTCAATTATTTCAATGCATGACCGATCACACCTACCGTTAGCCCTGTGTATTGATCAGGTAGACGGAAAAATTCCGTAGTGAAATTTAGTACTAAAACAAAGGTTTAAAAATTGGTACAAACTACGACCCAGTGATACATGTAGGTTGTATTTCGTAACATGGTAATTATAACGACAATAGAATTTACGAAATGCTGACTTTAACCAAGGGGGTTGAAATCCTGTGACATCAACTTATTTTACAGTAGTATGCCTCTGTTTAAAAATCAATTGTACTCAAAGCATGCTCTTGAGTATCGAATAATTTGGGAGAAACAAACGCCGTATGCAGGTGATAGTGGAGTATAACTGCATAAATAAGGAAGTTGACGATGGAGAAGTAAAATCATCTCGTTTATCATATAGTTTAGTTATTAGTTGGCCCTTATCGTCTATAGTCAGTAAACATCCAAATATGAAACAGATGTGAAAGACTATGTGTCTTTTTTTCGAGTTCACTGGGATATACTAGTATCGAGTCGCAATAAGAATGGAACTAGCTATTGTTGATTGTCAAAACGTCGTCGATACAGCTGAATATCGAATGTGTTTTCTACTTCTCATGTAGACGTTTTTGAATAAATTCTGTTTATGTGAATATAAAAAAACCGGTCGGCTAATAAATCAAATCAAATGGAGATGTCTTATGAATGTTTTAATTGTTTTTTTTCAAGAATTATCAAAAATTTTTAGATTCTGAAATAACTATAAGTTTAAATAAACTATTATTTTAATTATCCATTTATTTTTTTTTAATCTTGTCAAGTCAGTTAGTTAGTTGCGAGATGAATGTTTTATATCTGTGGTTTATCACTTATGAAAGAGGAGGTACACTCAATATCAAACGGTCAGAGTTCGAGCATCTCTCCTCTGAATGTGAATAAAAACACATTATTTGACAATAAACATTGTTTTGTTCACTATATAACTATTTACAATAATGTTGAGCATTACTACACAAACACCCGTTACTTTACGATGTTGTTACAAATATTTCACCTTAGTCATATGTTTGGACACTATAGAGCTGTGTGTGCAGTGCACTCGTCAGGCTATAGAACATTTCATAACTGTAACTGTACGGCATTCATGCAAGGCTCGTTGAACATTTTAAATAAGTTTAAATATATTATATGCATTTCTTCCTTCTTGTGTATATTGGAACTTCAACGAAAATATAAATTATGCATGTTTTGCGTTATCATAAGTGGAGCGATATCGGTGTTATGATAATTTTGGGGAAAAATCAAGAATCTGCCCATGAACAACAGTGCGCTTGGCCAAATGTATATCTCGCTAAAATAAAAAGAAATTTATACAGTAAGCAAAAATTTTCTTTATTGCGAAATTCATTTTATTTTTGGGCGGTGTTCTAATATTTATACTTTCAGAGAAGAATTTTTTTTGATATAATGTAGTGTAGTTTGCCCATTGCAAACCTTATCTGATTGACCGCTTTCTTCCGTACTGCAATTCAGGTCGATCCCTAGTCATGTCAAACAACTCATGGACTAAACCACTGAATGATTAAGGAATGCGTATTATCAAACATAATCCTTTATTGACTTACATAAAAAAGAACACACATCACTGACTGGTGGAATAATGCACCAACAACTATCAGACCACTCTAGATACAGTACGATGAAAGAGCGGAAGATGTTTCATGATTGAAAAAAATATGCAGAGATGAATTTTGATTAAACTTTCAGAAATTTGTTTGTATCATTTTCAAAGCATGATTGTGTAATGTAAATAAAAATCATTTTTTGTCAGTAAGGGTTTCCTAGGCTATATCATATTACAAAGTATTGACCGAATATTGAATGCTACGTGCGTTCAACATGTATCTGGTGCATTTTTCTTTTTTCTTTTTTTAAAGAAGACACTGTTCTGGTGAAGGACGCCTTGTTTTCGTCACTAAACATCAGATTAGGACGTCCTTTATACAAGAAAAAGAGACGGAGTTGAAGTCAGATGCAAAAAAGCAAGTACTTCATTGATGGTAGTAAAGGATTTGTATAACGACTGAGACTTACAGAATGAGCAAAGTGAAGATATCAAACTGTGATAAATCTCAAAATCTGTAGACAATACGAAACGTGAACAGAGCAAAAACACCGACCTCTGGGAACAATAGACGTGGGATCAGCTAGGTAGGAGGAGTAAGCTTTCCCTGTCGACCGTTCACACCCCTCTTGAGATTAACTGAGTAATCCAACAACAATGCCCTAACATTTAGTATGGAATACTGAGTATGTTAGCCAAAATACGACCCAACTATGCTTTTGAAGCGCTTCTAGTTATCAGTAGTACCGAAATCAGTCGGAAATTTTCTTTACAAAGTCACAGATAAAAAAAAATCAAATTATCTAATAAATTAACGGGTGTGGATGCAAATGAATATAACATATCTTAATAACTGAATCACTTCTCTAAAAGCGATAAAAACCAGCTCCACCAAAGCATCGACAGGAAAGAGAAGACACCTGATCATTGCTGGGTAATAAATGATGTATTTTTAGAGTTCGTTAAGATTGGCTTGAAATGAATTTATCATGTTTTAAAAAAAGATACCAAAATGTAATAACCTTTGAGAATTTTTAATGACTACAAACCCACATTAAATAAACAAAAAGTTTTTTAATCATTTAATTTCTAGTGTATATATATGAGAACTAATTAAACAAAGAAAGTACATGGATCTTGCCAACCAAACGGCAACAAAGCAGAAAAATGAATCTATTAATCTTCCCAAGGTTTCTTTTTCCTTCTTTATACCAGGGGTAACTTGTCACATCTCCATCCATTACTATCTGATGTCATACTGAATATGAGGAAATCATATGACCATGCATTGTAAATCATAATTTAAAATTACATCCGGTATTTGTTCTCAATGTCAATGTAGTTTGTGGATCCACTGGTCTTACGTTTCTGTAATATATCAATAGTGTGCATCATACTGTGGAATCATTTTAATTCGTGGGGGTCAATGTTCGTGGGCAAGCAAAACTTTACTTGTTCGTGGGGACGTAACTTCGTGGCTTATTTGTTTATACGGAAGATTCAATGAATCAATATAAAATAAACGTTCGTGGGGATGTAAATTCGTTGGTAAGGGTGACCCATGAAATACACTGGTCCCCCAGGAACAATGATGATTCCACAGTATATTATCTTTGACCCCATAGTGTATATTACTCAAGGCCATGGTCAACCACTATAAGTTGAAACGTATTCTGAATTTTTACTGACTTCACAAAATCATGTTTATGTTATAGATATCTTCATGTCACTTCAATTTACTGATATTTGGACGCCCGCGGTTAGTTTTTCGTTCATCTTGCATTGTAGGCAGTTATTAATTGCATTCGTGAGATTTTGAAGAAAATTGGCAATACTTTCCAGTCAGGCTGTGTGGCGGCAATTAAGTGCTTACAGCAGTATGGGCCGGGATATTATGGAGTTATTGATTTCACCATTGTTCTTTACTTTATTTTTTAAAACAAAAAACCTTAATTAGTAAAAGATATATCATGTTTAACTACAAGTAAGAGATACAAGTGCTGATTTTGCACGATATTTATCACAAAATCCGATTGTTTTAGAATATGGATTGAAACATTTCTGAAAATATACTGGCCATTAAAACAAACGTTCATTTTGTTAATTTCGTTTTTTAAAAGCTACGTTAGACTGAAACATCTTATTGCCTGCGACTATGATATTTCACGATTTCACGCGCAAAGCATTTAGTTTACTGTAAAAGAAAGGAATCGGTCTCTAAACGAGGTAAAACAGAAAATGTGTTACATTCTTTAGGTCTTTGATGATCGTTTTCATCATAATAGATATCTTTATACATGTCCTCAGTTACATGTTCCGACTACCGTTTAACTTTCAGAAGTGATTCTGAAAACTAATTTTCCTTTAACAACTCTTTTACAAGTTAGCATGAGTAAAGCATAGCATCACTATTTCAGCGACCGAAAACAAAGCCTCTCATATAATCAGCATCGTTTGTAAGTTCTTTTCTTTGTGGGTTACTTAATCAATTTCTCTGCTGAACTGAAATCGCTGGAACGCGAAGGATATTTTTGATTTGATATGTGATATTTGGTGATTGTACTAAATTTTAGATTTGGTGAGTTTAATTAAAAATGATTAAATTTTAAACTTTTATGCGTTTGCTACGGAAAAAATCTTTTCCTAAGAATACGCTGAAATCATTTCTTTGTCAAAACGAGATTGATTTATTGGTTAAAATGTCATTTCTTTTGACTATATAATGAAATAGGTGAATTTAATCAATCTCAAAAACCTACAAACAACACAAATCTGTAAACATTGCGTAAAACACAGACCCTTTGGAATTCCAGAGGTGGGATCATATTCCTAGGAGGTGTAAGCATCCCCTGTCGACTGGTCACACCTGCCATGGGCCATATGTATTGATCAGGTAGACGGAAAAATATGTAGTCATATTTAGTATAAAAACAAAGGCCTAACAATGGGTTTGAAATATGTCAGTCAAAATTGACTCGATGACGGGTTGTTATAGGTTATTATAACGAACAAAGAATTCACAAAATGCTGCCATTAAAGGAGGAGGTTAAAATTCCTGTAACATCAACTTATTTGTCAGTAGCCTGCCTCTGTTAAAAAATTAATCGTTCTAGGAGCCTTGTATAGCGAATACAAGAAATCAAGACGACAAATATCCCTGGGAGTAGCTTCGAATTAAGCTTGGCCAATACACATTCTGCTTTCTTTTCCCTGCTTATAGAAAAGTACATTAACCTCCAGCGATTATCTTGGATTATGGGAAAGAGAATCTGATGCTTGCACTGTAAGATAACATAAACAATCACACAAGCAATTTCATTTATATTATCAAAGATTACAAAAAAATGTGTAAAACGCATGTAGGCATATTTAGCTATATTTTTGACGGAAAAGTTCCAAATTGGAACATAGTTATTAATGTACATTATAAATGAGGTTCACTCTGAATGAAATGTGAACATAACGAATGGTTATATCGCGCTAAGTCCATGAAAACAATACAAACTGTGAGCAAAGAATATATATATATATATATATATATATATATATATATATATATAAACAGGCCTCTGAAACGCCAGAGATAGGATCAGGTGCCATTGAGTAGTAAACACACCATGTCCATTGGTCACACCCACCGTGTGTCTCTTGTCATGATCGGGTAAACGGAGAAATCCTAGACAATTTAGTATGAAAGTAATGGCCTAACGACTTGTATTTAAGACGCTGAAAGTAATGGCCTAACGACTTGTATTTAAGACGCCAGTCAATTTTCGACCTATCGACAGAATGTTTTTGCAAAGTGATGATTTACGAAATGTTGACTAAAACAAGATTGTTGATGCCCTTGTATTTTCAACTGATCTGTCAGTTGCTGTATCGTTTTAGAAATTATTCGTACATAGAACATGCCCTTGCGCATCGAATCAACTAGGAGACATAAACCCCATATACAAATGGTAAAGGTATATTGGTATATAAATAAGGGAAGTTGCATGACGAAAGGAAAGTTGAAGTCATAACTTTTATCATAGATTTTACGCGTTAGTTTGTCATCAGTATCTTTCTCTAGCTAGTAAAACACCCAAATATGAAACAGATGTGTCAGACTTAGTGATGTCTATTTATTTATTTAATTTATGGACGAAGATGTGTGAGAAACATGTACACTATCTGTAACACTTTGTTGGGGGTTTTTAAATTTCTGAAAGAAAATTGTAAAGTGTGGGCGAGTCAAAACCCCCCCCCCCCCCAAAAAAAAGCAAAATTTTAATTTTAAATTAAAGATGTAATAACAAAGTCATTTTTTTCTGCGTTCATAAAACTATTCCAAAGCTTTTTAGGGAGAGTTGTGCTTTATTTTGTTGCCCACTTTTACAATGATTTACAAACAGTTACAAAGAGAGATCATTGTGCCAAGTGCTAAGTTCAATTCATCACTTCTGACTTCCAAATAACTGTACACAAAATTGAACAAAGTTACTCTTTTGATGTTCATGTGACAGATTTATTCTACAAATGAATATACTGTATTTTTTAAAGATGTAATCTAGAAAATGTTTCAGATTTTGTGTGAAAATCCTTGGAATGAAAAAACCTAATTCATGTACAGTAGTATAGTAGTAAATTTAAATTAAGATAACAATTGTTTGTTTTTCGATATAACATTAACTGTTTGAGTAAAAGAGTAGGCTTTCATTCATCTTACTATAGCTCAAAAGCACATATATTCACACCTGCAACATTTGTTTTCAAGAAATATCCCATTTCGTAGGTTGATGAAAATATCTGCTTTGTTTCTCTTATTTGTGAAGAACGATTTAAAGAAATTATACAACACAAAGGATCTAAATAATTTCCTGGAAAATCTCGGTAGGAAAAAAGTCTACTGATAAAATCGTCAAGTTCTCCTATTTATCGTATTTAATTATGTAATACAGATATGTGTTGTAAACGATGCTGCATCCTGATATTTAACATTTACACGTGTTCTAACCTGATCAATCAAGAAAATTTAGGAAATTGTGAAGATCTTACGAGACTATTACAGGAAAAATATAAATAAGAATGAAATGAAAAAAAACCCTGATTTCTAGAACATCTGAAAATCGTTTTATAAAAGTTCTAGGACATCTTCTTTCTATGTTTTAAAACATTCTAAGTTTAAAACTTGGCATCATTTTTTGTATGAAGAAATTACTTCCATTGGTTACAAATTCCTGAAAACTATTTTTAAGATATTATTTTTTTTGTTTCCTCAATCGAACATTTAAATACAACAGGGCTGTAAATCAACATTTTAAGGTATCTCCGGGTATTTGGTTACAGATAAGCTATTATCGAGTAAAATCCAATACAAACTTTCTACTGCAGAGAGATGATCACATTAGCGAGACAGAGAAAAGTGACTCCGTAAGTAAGATGGTACTTTTTAAGTAAAAAAAAAACCCAACAGATATTTAAAATGCCACACAGAATTCATGGATGCACTACCGGAAATTAAAAATGACATAAATTACTCAATAGAATGCGATAAAATGGTGCTCACGTCTGCTGTGAACGACGTTTTCAATAACACAGTGGGAGATCTAAATGACACTAGGATGGAAAGGGTTAACGAGTCTTCTGATCCAGGAACTGTGTTTTATGTGTATTATTATGGCATGTTTTTGATTATTGCCTGTGTAAATATTCCAGGAAATATCCTGGTTATCAGAACTGTTTTAAAGACGCCAAATCTCCGTCAGCCATGTAACTTTTACATTGTGAGTTTGGCGGTTACAGACTTACTCATTGGATTTGTTTATCCTGTGTACAATGTCTCCCATCTGGAACACGTGCCAGAAATTAGTCGTCCATTAGGTAAGCAATTTGAAAATTTTTCCTAATTTTGTTGATTTTGATGTAGAAAGACGGAACTTGATATATACTAATAATGGTTTAGTGCATGTTATAAAAAAAAAATAAAACAATTTGAAAAGAAAGTCTTTAAAGTGCATGGACCATATTTACATTTCAATGAATGAAAAATGGTAAAGCTAGGCGATAATACATGTACCTTTGAATTTGAAGCTTATTTCTAACTAATTTGGAATTAAAATGTATAAGCAAACATTATCACACAGATATTTAATTTTAAATTTAAAAAGTACATATTTAAAATAACAAAAATACTGAGCAAAGGAGACAACAAACCTACTGAAGAAATTGACCTTGGTTAGGGTAATTATTGCCGAATGATTCATATATTTCCTTTTTTAAAATCAAATACTAATGAACTTCCTTGTAAACAATTTATGCAACATTTTAAAATTTGTAGTATAGTTCGATTTTATAGTGAAAGTTTTTAAAAGTTTTGTTAAAGAAGTAGCATTGGCAGATTTGTTGCACGTGAAGTGAGAAATAAGGGTTGTTCAAACAAACCCTTAATCCGCTATCCTATAAATTACCCCATATTGAATGTGATAAATCGTTATTATGTTTATGGCTGAAACATATGGATGGCACCCCTATCCTTAATCAAAAACGAATAAAATTTTTACACAAAGACATTGAAATCAAGCAGCATCATTTCAATTCATATGTATCTATAACAATATATATCAAAAAACACGATGTCATATTTTCAGCAAAATTTAAATATGATGAACAATGCCGATTCGAAATTCTCTGTTGTAAAATAAGGAGTGGACAAAGATCGTCTACGCGGAAACAAAGCTCACTTCCTGGAATTTTAGATTCTGTTATCAATAATTCTGTTTATAAACAGATTTCTAAGATCAATATGTTTGGTAGTAGAGTAAAAACAATCTTGCACATTTTAGTGCGTATAAATGTTCTTAACTTCCTAATTTCTCCGGAAATTGTTACCCAATGTCTACAGTTAAAAAATCCGCTATTGTTTCCTTGTATTTTTTATGAAGCATGTGTAATTTTCAATCTTGTATATGCACCAGATGTGGATTATACAGATGTTTGTTACCCCTGTACAATCGAAAATCAAAGCCCTCTTTAAACATGTTAAACCTGGATAATACATAATAGTATCAGAGTGGGATACATGGAATGAGATACATTTAAACATGCATCTACTAGGTTGGTCATATTTAAACAGCAATTTTACCACAATCCAGCAAAGGACAATTGTCTGTGACAATTTAACTACATGTAATTGTACCTGCGCGAATGAAAGAAATATTGACGAGATAGGAAAATATTTTGGCAAGTTTTAGCTCACCCAAGCTAAAGGCTTTTCTGAACTTTTCTGTTGAAAGATCATTTTCTGCCGAAGTTGTCGTTGTCATAAACCTTTCATCTTCTTCTGCAGAACCACAGAGCAAATTTCAACCGAACTTAGCACATGAGTTTATTTTGCTATGGGTATTCAAGTTTATTTATTTAAAGGCTCATGGCCTTTTCCAAGGAGAGATAATCAGGAAAGGCTGACTTATTATGTCCTTCAGAAGGCTAATTTATGGAGTTGGTAAGGAAACAAGTAAATGATTAAGCTGTGACATGAGAAGCAAGTTTATTAACTAAAGGTAATTCTCCCAACAGGACTTAACTTTTTTATTTTACTTTGTTCAGCAATTGATTTAATTTTACTTTTTTTTTGGTCGCCCGCGTGGCGCAGTGGTTAGAGCGTCTGCTCTAGAGTCGTCGCGGGTTCGAATCCACTGCAGGACATGGAGATCGGTCCTTCGGATGAGACCATATAAACCGAGGTCCTGTGTCGCAGTAGGTGTTGGCACGAAAAAGATTCCTCACTGCTCAGTGGCCCTGAGTGCCGAGTATAGGTATAAATATGCACCCCTCTACCGGCACGTGGTGGCGTCTCCATATGAGTGAAAAATTCTCAAAAGGACGTTAAACAAGAAACAAACAAACAAAACTTTTTTGTCAACATTCTACTGAGCTTTGCGAGATCTGCATCGTAATGAATATCAGAAAATTAAACTTCGTTGTCCAAATAAATTTCGTTTCCGGGCATATTCTATCCTACTGATAAATTTTACTTCCTATCCCTACAGCTTTGTTATGCTGATACTTAGGCCTGATGCGATTTTTCTGAACTAGCTTTAAATAGCATTTTGTTGTCAGCATACTGAGACATTTCCTATTTCCTGGATTTCTTTATGGTCGAGAACCTTTATTGATATCTCTCCACATACATGTTAGAGAAAAATATATGGTTAAATTTGGCTACCTTGTTGACTTCCGTATCCATATTTGAAAAGGTTGGATAATTGAAAAAAAAATTCTTTAAGTAATTTTCATGACAATTAGTCGAAGGTCTTTTCTGGTCTATCATGTCCAAGAGTCCTGAGAAATCATTAAATTCAGTAAAACCCATTAAACATGTATTGAACAAAATGGACAGGCATATCCGCCTAAGACAATAGCATCTCCAAACTCCGCAACAGCTGAACAAAACTACATTTAAATTGGGATAGCATTACTATACAGTTTATAATACACTCATTTGCGTCCATTTGGATGATGTTTTAGGCAATCATTGGTGTCTGCGGGGGGCATACCAAATATTGATCTTTAATGACCTTGAACTGTCTATGATTGTAAATTTCTTGAGTAATTATGACATTAAGATTGTAGACCTATTTGCCAACCACATTTCTTTACGATGAATACGATAATTCTACTAAATAACCTTTATGTTCATCGTGTCACCAAAATTTTTCTATGCGTTTCTTTTTTTTTTTTTTTTTTTGAACAGTTTATAATAAGAGGTCAAGTTATTACGAGAATGTCTCTAAATATACAAGTATCTTCAGGTAGTATAGGTTCAATTTTGTTTAAACTCCCGAGGGAGGGTGGGGCCAAAGAGTGGTTTGAAGATTTACACAAGTGTATTAAAACACCCTTTAAAACATTCTCGATAAAAGGCCATGATCAATCATATGAATATGTTAGAATTCTTAGACAGTTTAGATTAAAATTTGTTCAATCATAACCCATGGGGAGGGGGAAGGGTAGGGCACTACAAAAGGAGAATAGTGTTTTACTTCTGGATATACAGGAAATGAAAAATATCTTTTCAAGACATAGCAAGACAACCCTGCTTTAGTTTGAAATGACCTTGTTTGCAGATTCAACCTGTACTTAGTTCAGGCCGATTTTTTTTGTTTTTATTTGTTTGCATGTTTAACGTCCCTTCGAGAAAATTTCCCTCCTATTGAGACGCCATCACTTTCCGGTGGATAGGCAAATTTAGACCTGTTCTCCGCACTGACGACCTTTGAACAGTGAGGGATCTTTTTCGTGCCAGAACCTACTGCGTAGTTAGCTTGAATGCTGACACAAGTTGTTAGTTTATTATATTCATACCAATTGGTCAACAGATTACTCCCTTTCCCGATCAAGAAAAAAAAAAAGGATTACGGCGGGTGTGACCGATCGACAAGGTACTTACTCCTTCATGACACCTGATCCAGCTTCTCTTCTGATACTTCCAGGGGTCAAGTTTGCTCTGCTCTCAATTTTTATGTTTCATTAGGATTTTGAGCTTAAATATTGTTCTTTATCTGCACATTTTAAAGTTTCCTTCAAAATAAGCTATGAAAAATATGTTTAAATAGTTTGTTAATGATTGTGAAGTTTTTTTTTAGTTCCATTCAAGTGAAGATAGGTTTCTAAATACCTGTATAAAATCAAGAGACCAATGGGCTACACTATTCACCAGAGTCACCCTGTCTAGATTGACTTTTAATTTATATTCTAGAAGGTTTTGAATTAATTCTGATTTATAAGAATACAAATCTAAGTCGGTTAATAAAGGAGTAGAGAAAATGCCCATTGAAATTCCAACAGACCTGGTCTCCTAAGAGTACATAGGTATTACAAATGAAGAAGTACAGCAGTTTAAAATATTTACTTAAGAGTATATTTGAGTTTAGCAAAGTACATGTAATTTTAGAATTGTGTTGATAAACAATCACAAAATATGAAAAATTTCAGAGGTAATTTTTTTATTGAAAAAAAAATCAACAGTTTTTTTTATGATGTCAAAGAGTTTTCAATCTATCGCGAAGAATTGTTGTATACGGTGTCGAAAAGTCATGTTTTTATTCGAATGGTTTAAAAAAGAAATGAATAATTCTGAAGTTCTTTGGGGGTTTCTTTTAGTATCCCTATTTGTTTTTCACCTCTTTTTGTATATGTTGATGTACAGTACTGCTTAAGTTTTTTTTTTTTTTTTTTTTTTTTTACAATACTGTTAATATTTTCGCAAGAAGTGAAGAAAAAGGTTTGGTAGAACATTAACTAGATCACCTTATGTATATGTGTATCTCTGTCAGGATTTTAAAGTTTCGAATCTAAAATATGTATATATGTTGTAATCAAAATTCAATACAATTGTTGTGAGAAATATTGAAAGTATCTAAAACTGGTGTATGATTTTGAAGAATATCTTCTATTGAAAGGGAGTTATGAGTATAATGATGTTATATGCATTGTCGGCTGGCACCAGCACATTATGATCTTATAATCTATCTTAAGAGAGAAGGAAAGATGCAAAATATTTTGCCTTGTGTCATGGATAAAAGTTTGGTAGCAAACCGCCGTTTAAGTAGACAGTACAATTTTACACCAAACCTTTTACAAAATACATTAAAAACTAATATTTTTTTTTCTTGCAGGGAATCTATTTGGATTGATTAAAATGTATCTAATCAGACAAAGATATATTATTTCTCAAAGAAATGATCAGTTGTTGGTTTTTGTTTAGAAGAAGAATAAATTTCATTTTAAGACTCGTGACAAATTTTTCTCAAAAATTACATTACGCATCTTTATTTATGGTGCATCTTTATTTATTTGATTGAAAGAAAAAGTTTAATTTTAAAATCTACGGGTACGTTTGATATTTATTAAACGTGCTTTTAGTGTGGTTGAAAACTCTCAAGCTTCTAATTTTAGATTTTATTTTGCTTTGAAGGGACAGATTTTGAAGTAGGGGATTATCATATAGATATTTACTGTATAGGTACACACATATTTGTCTCATTAAATGTTATCTGTACTTCGTATCCAAAGAATTTTTTTCCCAAGAGCAACTTTGAAAACAAAGCTCAAAAATCTTTAAAGCGATAAAACACTTAAATATGTTATCTTAATTGTTATGTACCTGACAGATATTTACAGTTCTGTGCTTAATGACTGCGATATTCCCTTCCATGCACTGAGACGGAAATTAAGATTTACCTTTCGGAGAAATTATAAAATTGCCTCATATAATTAAATTGTCATGCAAGTAATTGTCAGCTAAATTGGTTTTTGAAATGTAACTTTGTTATTTGAAGGTTGTTAGATTGTAATACTAACATTGATATTAAGAAGAATGCAAATATCGAATTTTTTGCAGCCAATTATGTGCTTCAAATGATAGTTTTGCACTTTCGTAAGGTAGTTTACATTATCTCAAAGTCTCACGCAGAAGACCGACTTAATTGAGAGCTGCACCATGCTTCCTTAATGAGCGATAAATCTGATTAAAAGCACCTTTGTATAAAACTGGGAACCAAAGTGACAGGTACGCTACGGGAATTTGAAATCTACATCCTCGGGGAACAATGGAAATAATCAAAGAAAAAGAGTTAATGCTTATCGACTGCACTTCTCCCAATGCACCTCTATATTACGAATAAGATCCATATTTTTCTGTAAAAGAATATATTTTCCAATTAATTTTAAATGACTTTTAAAATTCTCTTTCCGATGAATTAAACGAAGTACCCAAATATTAATCGCCTATAGTGATTTACATTAGCTTGACACATGTGATCATCTGACCCAATATACTATCTATTACACATAATTATTATCAGTATCATAAATCTCGTTCCTCTGTGGGTTTTCGTCTTTGAAAACTACATCAATTAATATAGATTTTGCACTATATTTGTTCGCCATGATACTAAGAGCGCATTTTTCATTTGTTTTTATGGTTATATAATTGCATGGAAATAAATGTATGGTAATATCAAAGATATCAACTATAGGGTTGTTGGGAAAGTACAATAAGATTCAAAAATCCGAGACAAGATACACGAAACATATTGAAGGCACATAATGCAATCCATTCTCCTGACGCTTGTGCTGGATAATACATTATTTTGGTAGAATATTCCCCCAAGAAACATTATAAAACTTTTTAATGAAATTTTGGCGTATTTTTTTCTCAAAGAATTTTGTTTAATGATTTTTAGATAGACCACCACATCTTTTCATCTAATCTACTGATTTTTCAGAAAGCCTGAATTTCTTGTAAATGACCCAGACTTGTGTCTTAAGTTGTTCATATAAGAATAATTTGCTATTGTATGGATTAATGTTTATTTAAACAATTTAAAGACATTTATCTTATAGGTCAGTGGAATGTTTGTCGCTTCTTGGTGACTGAAGTGCTTGCACTGGAGATATGCTCATCCTATCATTTAGTCGCCATCACAGTCACTCGTTATATCGCCATTGTGTATCCATTACGTTATCATCTCTACGTCACGACGAAATCCACCAGATTTGTCATTGCCACAATATGGGTCTTATCACAGGGTGTATGCATAGTAATGTATACTATCTACAACCCAGGTAGGTTCCTGATCATATCCTCAAATATATAAAGTTTTCTAAAGTTTACTTTTAATATGCCATGTATTATTATACGGTCATGCGAGAAGTTATGATAGCGTTCATGTAAGATTTCAAAATACTATAAGATCACTTATTTTTGTGGGTTCCGAATTTTGTGGTTTGAAGGGAAAAAAATAAATTCGTAGGAATTTTTGATATTTCATTTCTCGGATGAAGAAGTGTTGAGTTGTTATATGTTTGAAATTTTACATTTCGTGGAGGACATAGATTTTTGAGTTCGTGAGGAAAACTAAGCACACTTCAATTTTTCTGTGAAATAAAACCTCTTTGTCTCTCAGTAACTTTGCTCTTAAGAATTCCTTTTACATTTTGAGATAGTCTAATAAGATATTGGTCTTTTTTGAGCAGAGGAATATATAAATAAGCCTGGAAGTGTGTGTCGATATGAACTGATTTTCTCCATTGCCCACGTCTGTGTCCTATTCATCATTCAGTTATTTCTACCACTGCTCATAATGCTGGGACTGTACGTACGAATCGCCAAAATTGCCAGGACACAGGTAGAGCAAGAATTAATCTTAAAATTTATAATCATTTCAAATTCAGAGCAGAATGCTGAATGTTGTAAATTGACATTTATAATCTATTAAATTAGGTGGGATTTAGTAATTTATATTAAGCCGTTTTGGTCAATGTCTTTTACTACAAATAGTGCGAGAAAGGGAGTTCAACAGCGATGGATATTTACTTTTGATTGTAAAAATAAGGCTTGTTTTGCTTTTCTTTTTGTCTAAGGCAAAAGTTATAGCCCTTCAGGAGAGAGTTTCATGGAATAACAGTCCAAAATCCAGCAGCAATGTTATTCGTCATGAACTGAAATCAACATTTATGGTCTCCATTTTATTGGGATGTTTCACCATTGGATGGATGCCCATGATGATATATTTCTTCTACGAAATAACTTGCGTGCAAAATTGCAATGTTACCCCATTCATAAGGTAATGGTACACAATCAATCTTCTGCTTTGGAATATGATATTATATGAAATATAATCTTTATCTGTTGATAGGCATCCATAAATCTTAAAATGTGACGATAATATGAATTTATGTTTTCTTTAAAGAGGTTTAATTGTTATGTACGTATATGTATGTACCGAACTTAAAAAAGTTTAACTTTACTCATACTGACTAGCTAATTGGCTTAGGCATAAGCTTCATAAGATAGGTATGTTTAATAAGTTTCCCTTATAAAGTTATACTTGGGTGTGATTCACTAATTTTTGATTAATTAGTTATTTTAGCAGTTATGACTTAAAACGTCAGTTGTTACACAAAATAAACAATTTATTGCACAGATGAAAATGATTACTATTTCAACTTTCTTAATTCCCATACATATTTTAAAAAGTAATTTTATAAAAATGCCGGTAATTTAGTAAAGTCATATTTAATGAAAATACATTTTCACGCTCTTATTTTGTATTGTAGAGCCAGCTGTCGAATACTGCTGTTCACGAACTCAGCGGTAAATGTTTTTATTTACGCTGGTCGTCTAGCAGCATTCAGAAAAAGCATCAGGAATGATTTCACAAAACTGTACAAAATATTGTGTTCCTGCGCAATAGAAAGATTTGGTATGAAACATTCCAACAGCGTTTCCTCCAACAAATCCATAGCCACACATACAGATATAAGTCAGGTGCAGAGTAACTTAGATTACAGTACCAATTTATAGCCAATTTTCATCATATGGACTAATAAAAAGCATCAGTAAACCGAGAAGGGACACCAGTACAGAAGGCATATAGAAATTATAAAAAACCCTTTGGTTTAGTAAATAGGTGTCCTTATATTGCGTTTGTCAATTATTTGGTTGCTAATCATTTGAAATGTCCAAAGAGTTCATACTTATATATATATATATATATATATATATATATATATATATATATATATATATATATATATATATATATATATATATATATATATATCGGTCACAATTGGTTTTAAAGTAATATAATTGTTTGAGAGTGATATTGTAAAATAGAATTCTTGTGTTGAATTTTGATCAAAATTCTATTGATTTGTTAAAGGTGCTAAAGTTTTAAATAAAAAAGACTTTTGGTAGAAAGATTGGCTTTAATTTTTCATGGAGTAAATTAGTTATGTACATTATATGCGAAGAAAGATAACTGCAATCTGAATAATTGTCATTACATTCAGTAAGCTTCCTAATATTACAATTCTGAAAAGTATCAAATGTCAAACTTTCAACGATGCATATGTATGTAATTAGATGTAGGAAAGATGCTGTATATTGATTATATATATTATGGATTACAGTTGAAAACAACTGAAAGAAAATATTCATTAAAATTATAAAATTTAGACAGACTTTTCTTTTCATTTATTTAAAAATAGTCTAAAAGGATGCAAAAAAATAATGTAAGTTATATCATATGAATTAATTTTTCATTCCGTTTGCTTTATATATATATATATATATATATATATATATATATATATATATATATATATATATATATATATATATATATATATATATATATATATATATATATATAGATAGATAGATAGATAGATAGATAGATAGATAGATAGATAGATAGATAAAAAATCGAATGAAAAATTAATTCCTATGATATACTGTATACAGGGAAATTTTCGCCCATTTTATTTTCGCCCTTCTCACCGATGGGTGAATATAGAACGGGGCGAATTCAAAGAACCCAATATAATCTTTTCAACAGAAATGACTTGCGAAATGAAAACGGGGCAAAATTGGTTGCAAGTGTAAAAGGGCGAAAATAACACGGGGCGAAAATAAATCTGTATACAATAATTTACATTATTTATTTTCACTTTTTTAACTATCAAATGTCTTTTAAGGATATCATTTTTATTCAATGAATATATTACAAAATTTCATTGTTGTAAATGTTATAAATTTTGATTTACTAAGAGACATTTATACTTTAGTTGATAATTGGATTTACAATCATGATATTCCGATTTACCATAAACTTTTGGAAGATTAATAGCAATAATAGCTCCCATATTCCATTTAATGATAGATTCTGGAAATATATTCTAATGTTAAAATACTTTTACTTTTTTAATTAAACAAAGTTGATCTTGGGAATTAGAATAAATGAAATATAGCAAAAGGAATAATAAAAACTATGACTTATTTTGGCAAAATTTTTGAAAATGACTATTTTATGCTTCCGGAACTTTAATACATTTTTGATCTACATCTTTGTTTGATACATGTTAACAGGTGTACAAAAGTTAAAGATTTTAGAATTAATAGCATTTTAACATAAATTGTTTTATATGGATAGATCGCCAGCCTTTCATGTACCAAAATGCGATATATTAAAAAAAAAAAGACCTAGAATTTGTGGTTTTGCCTTTAGTGCTAATGCTTTGTTAATTATAAAAAAACAATTTCATTGTATCAACTGCCAAGCATGTTGGTATTGTAAGAATTATTTGTGCTGGGTGGGGGACAAAGACTACTTCAGTATACTTCAATATACTCCGGTTATTTGTTCCTTTAGGAGTACAAAAGAATTAAAATCACTTACGAAAAGATTTACAAGTCCATTGGCGTTCCAACTGTTAAGATATAAATCCTGATTATTCAGTGACTTTTTTTAATAATTATTTTTTAAACGTCTCGAAGAAAGGTGAACAAGTTCAAAATGTAATAACATCATATAACATTTCGTGCGATTAATATATATTTTTCGGTGTTATAAAACATAAACAGTCAGAAAATGTTTATTAATGCAATTTCGAGTTCATTGAAGAAGTGATTAATTTTTCAAAGCCTCGTACATGTATCTATTATGAAGATTCATAAAAAAGAATTATCAATACATTTAATGCGTAATAGTGATGCTATAAAATGTTGCTAACATCTGCTGCAGACAATAATATATGTTTCAGAAAACATTAGTGATGGAAGATGTCCCAAGCTCCTCTGATCCCGGAACTGCCTTTTACGTGTATTATTATGGGATGTTTTTTGTTATTGCTTGTATTAACATACCAGGTAATATCCTGGTCATTGTAACTGTTATAAAATCTCCAAATCTACAGAAACCATGTAATTTCTGTATCGTCAGTTTGGCGTTTACAGATTTACTTATCGGATTCATTTATCCCGTCTACAACGTCTCTCATCTGGAAACCTTGCCAGAAATTAGTCGTCCATTAGGTAAGCATATTTTTTTTACATTCATTATTTCTTTATTTTTATACAATTTGATCATCACTTAATATATTTTATAAGTCAATATTAAATACGTAATAAATTACCGGGCTCGTTAAAAAGATTAACAAAGTATCTATCGTATCTATAAAAGGGATTCCTTTACGACTTTTATCGCAGAAACAAAATGGATTGCGCAGGTCTCTGGTTTTGCTGATATATTTTCTTTTATTTTGTAATTCTGAGATTTCTTACGAAATAAGTTTAATAAAGATTTTTTTCCTATAGAAATCCATAAATTGTCTATACCAAAGAAGAGATTTTTCTAGAAATTTATTTTCTGTCAGGACCAAAAATTGGAAATATCTATATACACCTTTATTCTAAGGAAGTGAAACTGTTTCATTGTTTAGCGATTTTTTTTTTATTATTACATGAATTTCTTCTTCCATGCAACTCTGTGAGTAAATGCAACATATATGTGCATCCAGCAAAAGACAATTTGTCGTAAGACAAAATAGGAGAGTGAATTATAAAAAGTAAAGTTGAAAGCTTGCATTAAGATAGAGAATTTGACTTATAAAAGGAAGAAATTTATCTTAAAATGTAACTGCAATAATATGAAAGCTTTATGTAAGTGTTTTCAACCTACGTTTGGCAAAACGAGATCATTTCTGCTTGTCCTTACTTCAGAAAAGAGGAGTGACAAAAGAGTCATTTTAAATGGGTATTGAAAGTGACACCTCTATGCTATATCCACCTTTTCAATCATTGATTAAATCGTAAAAAAATCTTAAAGCCGAAAAAAAATAGATTTAACTATCAAATTTGGAATACTTAGCTTAAACCAAAGGGTTAATTGAATTTAACACGACCTGTTTGTAGACGAAATAAATGGTACCTTTAAATATTCAATTACTTGCATGGCAGGTAAGGAGACATTTTATGACGAGTGATCACGTGATTAAAGATAGTTCTCTGTTAACACCTGAGTTAGCATCATCATAAAAGAGACTGCAACCATCAGGGAATTTGAATCAATTGAAAGACAAAAGCTTTTCTTCTATTCTTTCTTGCCTCATCAGATTCACAATTTTGCAATATCACAGTCTATGCTTGAGATCCATCTTTAAATGAACATTTAGAATGACATCTCATTATACCGTGACACATTTAAAAAAAAAAAAAAAAAAAAAAAAAAAAAAAAAAAAAAAAAAGATGCTTAAATTTTAATTATTGGTGGTCGTAAGTATAGCAATGTACCAGTGACCAGAGGTATAACTGGGGAGCGATGGAAAACCTGTTTCTGAATGAAAACCGAACACAAATTCTTAATGACCTAATTGTTTAAAAAAAACCGAGCTCTGATACATTTGATGAGCAATTTCATATATATATTTGCGGGGGGGGGGGGGGGGGCTTTCGAAAATTAATGAAACACTTAATGTTTATGAGAATGCAGTTTTGTTTAAAATTATTGACAAGTACATTGTATACTTTCAAAAACAATAAAGGAATGTTATACTTTACCAAGCAAATGATTATAAAAATATATGCCAACAACAGACACGAAAGAACAGCTGTAGTCGTGTTGCCGATAATTAAAGGTGTGAGTATGTCAATGTATCACTGATAACAGATTTTATCTAGCAAATCATTGTATAATAATAATAATAAAAAAAACATAAATGCACTACCATCGAATAAATATCATTAGAAATTATATTTTTTTAAGGGTTGTCTGTTTATTGCATATTGTTAGATATGAAATATAAAATTATGTATTTTTTTCTACACAATTGTTAAAATATGATTTATATCTTATTATATATTTATTCCTAAACAATTACCTTCTTAAATTTTGGAAAGTAATAGACACGTATATCATAGGAACATGATTTAACTTTCACAGGATAGTTAATATTCGATGTATATGTAGATCCCGAATCCATTAATTCATGTTCTTAATATTGTAAACATAACCGTAATATTATTATCTTTAAAGCTGTTTTCAATTTTACTATTATGGAGGTACCTAACATCTATGTATACGTATATGTATGAGATACTGATCAATTGAATATAAGATATACAGCTGTTCAAAAAATTATATTTCTAGGCCAGTGGAATGTTTGTCGGTTTCTGGTGAGTGAGGTCATCGCATTGGACATCTGCTCATCATATCATTTAGTAGCCATTACCGTCACTCGATATATCGCCATTGTGAACCCATTACGTTATCATATATACGTCACGAAAAGGTCAACTAATTTCGTCATAGTTATGATCTGGGTCCTGTCACAGGCTGTTTGTGTAGTAGTGTTCACAATCTATAACCCAGGTCAGTACTGCACTTTTTTTCAATATCTCAATCTTTTCAATTTGGGGGGGGGGGGGGGTGGGTGGGTTAACACGGGGCTGTCATTTTGTTTTTTCCGATGCCCTAGCTGTATATATTACATGTGAAATTGATTTATAATTTACAGAGGAATACATCAAAAAACAGGACCAAGTATGTCAATACGAGCTCATCTTCTCCACAGCTCACATGTGTGTCTTTTTCTTTATACAGCTGATTCTTCCTCTGTTAATTATGATTCCTATGTACGCTAGAATCGCCGCTATTGCAAGGACACAGGTATGTCCACCTTTCCGTGTAGGGAAAAGATGCCTAGGTAGATTGTTTTAATGATTAATTTTCTTTTGTTACGAATTTATATTTAGTATATAGCCAGTAAGGAAATATTGCATTATGATATCCAACTACGTCATTTTTAAGGATATACTGAAATTGGCTATTTCTTTAATAACTTACGGACCACTTGGAGTATATATTAAATTAAGTATCATCAATGATGTTTTTCTTAATCGTTGAAGGCAAAAGCTATAGCAATTCTTCAACAAATTTCATGGCATAAAAGACGAGCTTGTTGTTGCCATGTGAATCGACATGAATTAAAGTCAACATTTATGGTCTCGATTTTATTAGTATGCTACACAGTTGCCTGGATGCCATTTATGACATACTCCTTTTACCGGATAAAATGTGTCCATAATTGTGACATTAGTCCATTCATAAGGTAATCATTATAGTAAATCTGTATAAAATGATCCAGTAGTTATGTTTCAAGATATAGCTCATTTTATAAGTATTATTTAGAGAACGAGACAGGTACAAATTTGGGGTGCACGAGTGCGTAGCACGAGTCTCCACCCCAAATTTGTATCTACGATACAGAACCTGTCGAGTTCTCTAAATGATTTGTGACACGATCAATCAATCAAAAAAAAAAAAAAAAAAAAAAAAAAAAAAAGCACCGCCCACTTCATGCCCGTGCAGCATCCAAACTTCCGCCAGAGTTCGTTTGTTCTTTCTGTAGATGAGGCCTCGACGGGGAGTATACATCCGCAGTATATATATATTTTCACGGACAACGTAAGATTTAGTCAGATTAGTTTTGACAACGGGGTAGACATAACAGACTCGAAGTCAGTCTTAATTGATAAGATGGATGATTTAACCTTGTTGTAAATGGAGATTGGACCAAATTTATTTCAGGGGTCTTAAAATCTCAGTTAACTATAGATACACAGGCCATACAGATAGTTTTTCGATGGACTTTGATGTTACGGATTTTTATTTTCTTATTGAAATGCGACATTAAAAACGAAGTGAAAGAGATGTGCGACAGTCGTCCGCGATAAGGATTTAAGATGAAATTAAAAAAAAAAAAATCCTGAAAAAATAGACTTCATTGAGTTTACACGAGAAGAGTGGAAAATGGGGGGAGGGGGAGTGCGAATTTCACGTAATGTATGCTGCATCCGCGAACCCATTGGCTTTACTATTTTGAAGGGGACACAAAAAGCAGGGAAAGCAAACAGGTTTTCAGGAATTTCTCCAACATAGGATGTTTTCCATAATTGCGACTTTTCCTTTTCGTTTGGATAGAAATAACGTGTAGATTCTGTGTGGAATAATTTTTTTTAAAAGTGATTGAGAAATTTTGACATTTTACATTCCTAAGGAAATATTTCTTCAAATTTATAATAGGAAAAAAATCAGCATTTACTATTTGTACGTACAGAACAGTTGGCTAATACAAGACAGTAAACAGAGCTAATACAGAACGGAAAGTAGCTCCGCCCACCGTATTTCCGTTCTGTATTGCTAATACAGAACAGCAAACTTCAAAGGAAAACACTGCAATCGTGTCACAAATAAAAAAAAAATCATATTAAAATTGAAATACTGATTTTAGATACCTGATTTTTATTTCTTCTATTGCAGAGCCAGCTGTCGGATATTGCTGTATCTGAACTCGGCGATAAATATATTCATTTATTCCGTCCGTTTAAAAGAATTCCGTAAAAGTATCAAGGAAAACTTGAGACAATTTTTCAAAATAGTCTTGTGCTGTGAAAGATTTGGTAGGGAACAATAAGGAAATGACATACACGTGTGATCCTCAAATTATTGTAAAAACATAAACAATTCGTATTTTGATTGGTTTAATTAGAAAGTTTGCAAAAAATTTCATGTATGTATATAAATTCCCACATCGAAATGTCTCGAAACAAGTATTATATTTTAGTATGAATTATTAAACTGAAAAGCATCAAATATGAAGTTCATACAAGTCCTACTGCAATCATCAAATGAATGGTACAGAGGCTACATTTCCACTTTACATTCTGTACGTTTCTAATTTACAAATTGAGCGTACGTCTTCCGATCTATGTGATGAATAAATCTTATCAAATTTTCTAGATTTCCTGTATAGTTTGTTGATTATTTAAGAAAAACAGCGTCAATATTGTTTAAAAGTTAAATAAATTTTGTCTGAAGACGAAAAGTATGTAATCATCAGCAAAGAACAGTTCTAAGACAGTTTTTTTAATTTGGTCGTCAAATATACTCCTGCGCATCATTTAGCCAGAAAAAGCACAGTCTACATGTATATGTCGTATTCTTCCTTAATTACACTTTATCAGTTATTATTTTTACATGATAGCAAGGTAGTTTCGATGCCCTGAATAAAGTACGCGTTGAGGTTCGGCAAGGAGGTAGCTATTACAACGGACGTTCCATCAGTTTTACCTTCTGCATGCACATGATGCACAATTTTGGGTCATACTTGCATCATACTTTTCAATTGTTCTTTGCTTGGACATTTTACGCTGGAATATGAATTGAGTAGAAAGCATTTGTCAAAACTTTTATTGCATAAACTAAAAATATCCCATTTTAAATATGCACAGTGGTAATCAAATTTAATGAAAATAAATTAAAAAGTTTCTCAAAGAAAAAAATGCCTTGTTACGTTTTTTTTAACCATTTTGTTAAGTATTGAATAAAAAAATGTTGAAGATTCCAAAACATTAAATTCTCCAGTTATTTCATAAGATCCGGCATGTGCATTTTAAAAATGGGGGGGGGGGGCACAACTTACCTTAAAAATGTTTGACAAACAGAAAAAGGAGAATTGTCTAAACTCGAAAATACCATCCTGTAGGCGGGGAGTGTATAAAAGGGGGGGGGGGTAGTTGGTTCTAACCTAATTTTTAGATACATTTGCATTGGAGAATTTCACTATACAAGTACTGTATGAAAAGTTCTTGGGGGGGGGGGGGGGATAACCGGCTTTTTAACGAACATTTTCATACATAATTGATAATAAGAATTTAAGTTCGGATACTAGGTCTGTATATAAATGGCGTCTCACACATATATAATGGATCGAGCCAGGGTATTGAATTTCAAATCGGTAGAAATAACACGCTACATGTTTGAGAAAGCTGAGGAGATTCGGAATCTGCATCCATGTTTCCTGCAAAGTCAAATGTACATCTCTATTCATTTAAAATTCGATATACATTAGAGCACATCGATTTCTTTTTCCCTTCTCTTTTTTTTTGGGGGGGGGGGGGTTAATAGACAGAAAAAAAGAAAACAATTTTAAAAGCTGAAAAATCTTAAAATTCAAGTAATAATTATAATAAAATAAAAAAAAAATTAACTAAGTTTTGTCCGAGTTCTACGCAAGCTACCCTATGGAATATGAAACTTTTAAATCGTGATTCGAGGCTTTGAGCCAGCCTTAGACAATAATATGGTAGGGGTGTATCACTTACATATTCATGCGTTATCCAACACATCCGAAAACCAAATCAATGGATTTTTAGCCCCCTCCTATAAAAGGAGTTGTTATTGAGAGCAATTAACTTTTTGACACTGTTGTAAGAATGATGAATTATTTATAAATGAACTTTACTTTGCACTCAAAAAAGTTTTAATCACCAATCGTCATTGATTTTGAAATATATTTTTGTAAAATGAAGGCGAAAATCGAGAGTTAGCGTGCGTAGTTCGTATCTGGATTGTACTAGAAGACAGCGGAATTCTATATTATGATGATACTTAGTTCGCAAAAGGAATATCAGAGGCAATTTGAAGTTATGATTGGAAATGATAGAGGAGTCGTATGTGAATAGCATAGAAGCACTCGAGCCATTCTATCAAATGTGCAGAACCTAAAACATGCAGAATGTCTTGTTTTCACTTAACAGGTACTTTGTTTCTTGTAAGCGTCGTTGCGTGGCGCAGTGTTTAGAGTTCTGTTCTAGAGTTGCAGAGTTAGGAGTTGGTCCTTACCTCGTGGTTCGACTCCAACTGCTGAACAAGGAGACCGGTCTTTCGGATGAGACCGTAGAAACCGAGGTCCCGTATTGCAGCAGATGCTGGCACGAAAAAGACCCCTCACTGCTCAATGGCCCTAAGTGTCGAGTATCGGTCTAATTTTGCAGCCCTGCATCGGCAAGTGGTGGCGTCTCCATATGAGTGAAAAATTCTTGAGAAAGACGTTAAACTACAAACAAACAAACAAAATCATTTCTTGTAAGCAGAATAATAAACAACATTTCAAAAAAATATATTAACTGCATATATATGTAAACATAATACGTTTTTTTCCTTTACGAATGTCTTTAACACCGGTATTTGATACCCAAATGGATTAAACAAACTAAAAATTGTCGTAACAAACAAATGTAATCTATTTCTAATAAAATCAAATGATACAGATTACGTCATTTTAATAACGTACATTGTTACATAATGTTATTGAAGAAAATTAAATATGTGTTTTGAGTATGCAATTTAATTTTCTGAAACGGAAAGTGTTTTCAATAACACCAGAAATAACACCACATATAGAAAACCCAAAGTAAAATGTCTCGAATGTATGACGTCGTGGGAAATAGAAGAACTCGTGATAAAATCCAAAATGCAAAACGATGGGCAATAATTTTTCTGGAATGCAAGGTCAATTAATAAACAAATAATTTTAAAAATTTGATTTGCCTAAAGAATTACCTTATGGATATTTTTTATATAGCTGCCTGTAATATCTGAGAGTGTCAGGTTGTACATATTTCTCAATGTGATTCTTAAAATAGACTAAAATATGGAAGGAAAGTAGTATCAATCGAATATTCTTTCTGAGTTTATCGTCAGATTTTTTTTGCACGTATACACTTCCGAAATTGTATTTTTTTTAATTAAAATTCGCTTCCTTGTTCCGTTTTATACACAATTGATGTCGCTGAAAATAGTAACAGCACTTTCACATATAGACTTTGTCATTAGACTTCATCATTCATGCAGAGAAGATAACTCTGGAAGTAAAATCACCAAAATGTTGCTTTCATCTACCGCAAACAATGATGTGTTTAAGAACCCTACGACATATATGAATGACACGGATCTAGAATCGAAATATACGTCTGAAGTGCATGGAGTTGCATTTTACGTTTATTATTATGGGATGTTTATTATAATTACGTGCGTTAACATTCCCGGAAATATCCTGGTTATCAGGACTGTGATAAAGAATCCGCATCTCCGACAGCCCTGTAATCTTTACATCGTGAGTTTGGCAGTTACAGATTTACTTGTTGGAATAGTTTATCCTGTATACAACATTGCTCATCTTGAGCACGTGCCAGAAGTCAGTCGGCCGTTAGGTAATTGTATTAATTTTCCATTCATTTTCTCTGTTTGAGGGAGGTCGTGTTTTTCTCCGTATTTATATGAACTTCTACTGTCTGTCTATTTTACTTTTTACAGCGGATACTGGATTATTACATTTTCAAAAGTGAAATACTGTGATTTATTTATTGAATAAAAGTGATATTCTCTCACAGTGTGAAAGGATACCAAAATGATATTCTCTCACAGTGTGAAAGGATATCAAAGTAAGCAAAAAATAATTTCTGGCCTGTCATAAGATAGAAATAGTAACTAAGCATCTTGATAAGCTAAAACTGCAATTTCTTCCCAAATATGTTGCTAAAATCCATGCTATGTACGTAATGTTTTCAATCACACAACTGCTAAGCTATGACGTCTCAACTGCTCAACTATGACGTCAAGCCTATGACACTGTGTTAAGAAAAGACAGAGGCAAAGGAAAAATCAAAGAAAATGTAATAAACAGAAAATTCAATGTTTTGTAGATGAATATGGAATTTATTTCACTCGTGAGACAGGTTTTTTTTTTATATTTTCACTCGTGCTTCGCACTCGTGAAAATATAAAAAAAATCCTGTCCCACTCGTGAAATAAATTCCATATTCATGTACAAAACATTGAATATCCTCTATTTATTATGTCAGTTTGTTTTGGGAGTATAAAATAAGCACTTTAATTCATTATTAACTGATTCCTACTTAGGGGATTAAGGTAATTAAGAACGCTGCTGCTGATATACGTGTGTGATGAAGCATGGCGGAAATTAGAAGACATACACAATCTCAGACCTTAACCACATGACATATATTAAATTGATTTTAATTCATTTTTTTCATTTGATTCTAGATAAGACACAAATTTGAAAAATACATTTCATATTATATATATACCGATATTAAAATTATATAAATACTTTAAAAAATAAATTTAGATAATTATTTGTTAATTGTGTTGTTAAAGAATTGCTAATTGTGTTGTCAAAGAATTGCGTGATCAAGTAAAGTAATTAAAACAAAGCTGAAACTATTTTGCAAACAAATAGTGTTTACTCCATATACTACAATTATGCTTCTAGTAGAACAATTCCTGCATGGTTTTGCACTGTTGACAAACATATGCTTTAAAAAAAATGTTTAACACATGATAGAATGCAGCTTGAAGATTTTCTTTGATAAATGTTCTCACAAAATTTCTGACAATGAACTATTAAAATATTCTAAAATCTTTTCTACCTAAAATCAAGATGTGTTTGTGAAACACTGATGCCTTTGTATTGAAGTTTATTGCTAAGGTTAAAATTTCTCAAATGCAAGTCAAACTCTAGGGTCATAAAATCAGAATTGTTGGTACCCAAATAAAAGGTCTTGTCACAAGGAATACACTTGTAAAATATGAGAGTCCTTGCATTAACCATTCAGAAATTCTAGTCAAGGTAAAAGTTTTTTCAAAAGTAGGTGAGACTCCAAGGTCAAGGTCATAAGGTCAAAACTGTTGGTACCCAAAGAAAGTCCTGGTAACAAGAAAAATAGATGTGACATATGAAAGCCCTAGCACCAACTATTTGAAACGTATGGTCAAGGTTAAAGTTTTTCGAAAGTAAGTCAAAAGGTTGAAAGGACAGAATTGTTGGTAACGGGAAAGTCTTGTCACAAGGAATACACGTCAAATATGAAAGCCCTGGCTCCAACTATTCAAAAACACCTTGGAGTAGGACATACTCCAAGGAGAAGGTCAAAATTGTTGGAACCCAAAGAAAGGGCTTGTCACAAGAAATACACATGTGAAATATGAAAGCCCTAGCATCGACCATTTAAAACTTATGGCCAAAATTAAAGTTTTTCAAAAGAAGGTGATACTCCAAGGTCAAAGTCAATATTTTAAAGGTCAAAATTGTTGATACCCAAACAAAGACAGGCAATAAGGTAATAAACATGTGAGAGATATAAGCACTAGCACCAAACCATTCAAAAGATATGGCAAAAGTTAAAGTTTGGTTAAATTTTGCAAAAGTGGGCCAACCTCCAAGGTCAATAAGTAAAATATGTTAATACCGAAAGACAGTTCTTGTCACAATGTAAAGTGTGAAAGCCCAATCTCAACAGTTAAAAGTGAAGGTTATAAAGCTTTTGTGGACAAACAGACTAACATACAGAATGACAGACAGAATCTTCGACTTCGCGGGCATAAAAATTCAAAATTGCTATTTCATATTACACATGTATGTACATATGAACATATAACTTAACTGTATACAATGGTTTTTTTCCAACTGTTTTTGGTTTAAATTAAAGCTAAAATGGTTAAAAAAAAAAGGTTATTATATTTTCGAAGGAATTCCTATTTTTAGGCCGGTGGAGCGTTTGTCGTTTCTTGGTGACTGAGGTGCTTGCATTGGGAATTATCTGTTCTTATCACTTAGTAGCCATCACTGTCACCCGATATGTCGCCATTGTGTATCCGTTACGTTATCACCTATACATCACAACAAAATCCACAAAGTACACCATCTTCACTATTTGGGCCCTATCACAGTGTGTGTGCATTATAATGTATACTTTTTACAACCGAGGTAAGTACTATATTATTTGTTTGACAGAAAGTACTACATAATACATATGCCATCATGCCACCTTATAGTTACACTCTTGAAGCAGGTTATGATTTAGAAATCATTCAGCACGTCTTATGCCAGAATAACACATACAAATCGCTAATAGATTTAAATAACTTGCTTTTCTTCCTTCAGTTGTTTGACAAATATTTCCATCTATGACATTCCATTCTTCAAAGTGTAAAATAAGTATGTATTTCTTGAACGTTTTTTTTAGAAGAATACATCGAGGGACGTGTTGTCTGTCGCTACGAGCTGATCTTCTCTGTGACACATGTGATTATATTCCTCATTATTCAGTTGTTTCTACCTCTCCTGATTATGCTGACATTGTATATTAGAATCGTTAAAATTGCAAGAAGTCAGGTAAGACAATTAAGATCCAATTTAAACTATTCGCTTCACAACGAATCATAGTGCTACTTATGCATATGGTAAAAAAAAATTCTTTCAAAACATATTTGATACTTCAAATTTTGATTCTGAGTGTTTTTCTTTGCTTTCTTCCATATGAACAACATTTCATATTTAGATATAGAATTAAGTATTGAAATTAATGACAACTGAATTTTCGTTCGATTTCTTAATATTATATAAAATGTATATTCCAAGTTTTAAACTGTACTTTTATTGAAGGCAAAAATCATAGCTCTTCAAGAACGAGTGCTGGGAAATAGAAGTCTTAATTCAAGTAATAATTTCATTCGTCAAGAACTGAAGTCAACAGTAATGGTGTCTGTTTTGTTGGGATTCTACATAATGGCATGGACGCCATTGACAATATATTTTTTCTACCAAATAACTTGTGCTACAAATTGCTACGATTCCTCATTTATTAGGTAAACATTAGGTACTTCCAACTTTTGGTGTATCAGGTTTTCCAAAGCATAATTTCAGTTTAAAATTGGTTTTTGATAAAAAGATATGGATTTTAATTCTAATTCAAGTTTAAAGTTAACGAAAAAAATAAATTTCATACATGATGCATCTTATGTAAAGACTTTGCACTGATTGTTTTTCAAATGTAATAGAACAAATATGCATAGTCTTTATCTGATAACAGCTGGGTAGAAATAACATTACAAATTTACTTTAATTATTTAGATAGATAAAAGCAAACACCAGTTTGTCTTTTTCAAGACTAATAAAAGATCTGATTGTTTTACGAAGGGTCTGGAATACCTGGAAAAATTATATCAATAATATGTAAATATATTTATCATTAGAATATTATGATTTCAAATCCCTCTTTTTTCTATTTCAGAGCTACTTGCCGAATCCTGCTGTTTATGAATTCAGCTGTAAACGTATTTATTTATGCTGGTCGTTTGCCAGAATTTCGAAAAAGCATTAGGCTTGATATCACAAAACTTCATAAAATCTTGTGTTCCTGTGGGCAGAAGTTTTGAAATGAACCATTTTAGATGTATTTGAGGAGAACTACACAGCACATTGAATATCGGTATTCAATTGTGATCACAAACCTCATATTAAATTTACCCGTAATAAAACAATGGAATCTGGGTGAAATGAGATTACAGAGGAATTTTATGATTAAGTTATGATTTAATTTATCTCTGAAGATTTTGTCAAAAGTGTGTTTGTTAAATAAAAATAGATTTTATTTAGCTAAAGTAGGGAGAAGATTTCATATCAAAACCGTGTTGATATAGGTGTGATACCTTATAACAAACTTTGCATATTGTTCCCACTGAAAAGTGCATGAATGTTCACTAAATATATCGAATAAAGCTATAAAGAGAATAGAAAGTCATTCACCATATCAACAATCACGTAGACTGGTGTAAACTGGTGTTAAAGAGACACCCCAGATAGCAAGACTACATCGGGCCAACGTTGGCTGATGATTGGTAGGTTGGTATAATGTTGGGGTTGGGCGGTAAATGTTGGCCCAACATTGGCCCAACGGATGATATGTTGGTGTGAAAGCTGGTCCATCGGTGTTGGGTATGCGATGTTGGGCCAATGTTGGTCCATTGTAGTAAATGTTGGCATGAAACATGACCATTATATGTTGGGCATTTGATGTTGGCCCAACCTGGGTCCAACCAAGTAGATGTTGGCTTAAAACAAAGCCACTGTGTGTAGGGATGAAATGTTGGTCCAACATAGGGCCAACCAAGTAATGTTGACATGAAACAAATGAAATGTGTGTTGGGCATGTAATGTTTGTCCAATGTTGGCCCAACGTAGTAAATTTTGATTATAATGAGGTATTAATATGGCTTTTAACGTTGGCCCAATGTTGGTTCAACGGAGTGAATACTGGGATAAAAACAACTTTCATTAACATACATGTTGGTGATTTAATTACACATATTAAATTTCTATCTTTTAGAACCACTTATTAAGCTAATCTTTGACAATAGAGACATCTCATCTTTCGTTAAAATATTATGAACGAGGGATTATCTTAATAGCCCATTTATCAATAATTTACAGTGTACGTTTAATAAAAACGAAAAATTATTCCAGAACCTAATTTATGAAAATAAAATTTTTAACACTGATTTATGTTTGTAATTTGTGTCGGAGACCATTGCAAATACATGTAGATGGGGAAGTTTTAATTATTCTGCACAGTTAATAATTTTGTAGATTCTATATTTAGCATCATGGAACTTAAAGTGCTGAATTTTAGAGCTCCAAATAATTAGGTCAGTGGTGAAATCCACTGGCTCAGCAGGTGACTGGCCGGTTTCCTAGGAAACAGGCATCCTAATCAGCTCCGTTTCGTTAACTCGGAGTGGTCACATCTTATCACTTGCAACAATTGAACAAAGCATATACATGTGCGTGTCCGTTTTGAATCGCAAGAAAGAGAAAATGGATTGTTTTAGCCCTTAGCTTGAAATGTAAGTATAGTCGTTTCAGGTGTGATTGATAGAATTTTATTTCTGTGAAAGTTTTAACTTGAGCATAGTTTGTAAAATTGAACAAGTTATTCAAGAATTGCAATTTTCAAAATATGCATGTATATTTACTAGTAATCTGGTTAAGTTATAACAGATATATATTTTATATCATTTATAGCATCTGGTGGGGAGTAAACCCTTTGTGTTACAACACCATTGATGTTTGAAATTTAATGGACAGTGGGTGATTTATCTTAATTATCAGTGTGAGAGACATGGATTTTACAGACTAAGAAACAATAATATGAACAGGAAAAAAGAAGTGAATGGTTCAGAAGTAACATGGGCAGGAGAACATTCCAAAGTTTCACAAATTTGAACACTGGGACTCTTATTCTAGAGGAATATTATATTGTGACTGAAGTGATATGGGATAGACTTAAGAAAACAGTGAAATACCTTTATTTCCCTCTGTCGATTTCATTCCATAGGAGTGACAAAAAATGAAACATTTGTTTTAGGAACAAGCTAATTTACCTTGCAGGATTTATTCAATCAATTGTGTTTTACTCGTAATTATGGAAATAAAAAAGGTTACAGGAATTCATATTGTTGAACCAAAATAATTCAATCGCCGATCATTTGCCAACATGTTTAAAAACGTAGGGCCAACGTTGGTCCAACATTCATTCTTAGGTTTAAAAAACATTGAACCAACATTGGGTCTACAGGAAGTTAAACGTTGGGCAATTGTTGGGCCAATGCCAGATAACCAACCATCGAGTGTTGGCCCAACGTCGAGCCAACTTGTTGGTTGAACGTAGGGCCGATGAGCAAGATGATGTTGGGCCAACGCATAAAACTGACAGAGGGCCAATGCAATTTTCACCGTTGGGCTTGCATTGGCCCAACGTAAGCTTGCTATCTGGGACCGCGACGGACAATTGAGAAAAAGCAAAATTTTTCCAAGACACATGCACATTTTATTCAAGTCTTGAAACTAGTCAAATCTCGTTATCTCGAATTCGATGGGACCGAGGAAAAACTTCGAGATATCAGATGATTCGAGATATTGAGGGTAAAATACTTAAAGAATAAGTGGTTTGGACTTCCAAATCACATATCCATGGTATTCAAGATATCGGTGTTCGAGAAGTTCAACTGAATTTGGTTTCAGAAAATTACAAGTTTCAGAACCTAAAAAATCTAGTTTTATGGAGAGAATTTAAGTAAAAATAATTTTAGCTTGCCCCAACACAAAAATATTGCTTCACTTTTTCCTCTTTAATTAAAGTACGCATGCGCAGAAAAGTTGAAGAAGTTATGGTGTCAATTACGAAGATATAAATGTCGGATGACCGAGAATTTTGATATAATCTTCAAAAAGATGATCAGAACTTATTCCTCACTTTTGATTGCTCTAATTCAATGTTGTTTACAAGTTTCATGCTAAAAATAAAAAAAAAACCACATGACCTTGACATTGTTTACATTGACGATAACAACCACTCCATAGATACAACTTTTCTTTTTCCGTCACTTACATTTTGCAGTCTTTTCTTGCTTTTACCGTGCAGTTGAGATCTCAAAACTTCGCCTTATTCAAATTTCTCATACATCTTTAGCTTTATGATACATTTATCTTAAAAGAAGCACATGATATTGACTCACTATGTAACTTAAGCACATCTTTTTGCTGATAGCATTTGAATTGCTGGTTCATGTTGGAAGAAGGATATACTACGCAGTTTGCCTTATCAATGTTTTTAGAATAAATAGTTTAAAAGGCATGTTACAATGGAAAATGTACTAACAACTCAAAATGTAATAAACTGAGGTTATTATATTATGCGTTATTACATTTTGCGTCGAGGTTAACACAGAAGGTAATTACGCATAATGTTATAACATAATTCCTGGATTTATACATTTTGCGTTACTGATTTTGTGTCGAATATAATGCAAAACGCAGAATGTAAAAACAAGTTTGGATTACTTTTTGGGCTATTATATTTTGCGTTGCATTTAACATTTTTTTCTTCACAAATAAATAAATAAATCTATTATATATTATTATTCCTGATTACAAAGATTATTTAACTTGTTGTGTCTCGGGAGTCATTTCTCCCTAAATGCAGAGGGAGAATTATTATTTTTTTTAAATTTAATTTAATTATTTTTTACCATTTCGACAGATTTTGCATGTCATGAAATATAATTTCAATTTTTCAAAAAAATATACCTTAAATTTTAATACTAAATGCATTATGTATTTTATTACATCTTGCACTAATCCCGAGGCAAAATCTTATAACGCAACATGTTACAATCTAAAAAGCGTGTTATAACATTTTGCGCCATTGCATTTTAAAAATCAAGGCCGAAGCAAAGTATAATAAGGCAAGATGGCGTGATCCAGAGAAAATGTTATTATATTTTGCATTATCACTAGTACTTCTGTTAACTTCGACGCAAAATATATTAATTCCAGTTTATTATCTTTAACGTCGTTTTATATTTTGCGTTGTAACAAGATCAAGATTTTGTGAAATACTTTAGACTGTTTTTTTTGTGCGCTAGATCCATTGTGATGTCATAATCAATTTAAACTTTCTTTTTCTCGTACTTTGCGTCTCTAAAAGAATTATGTAATTTTGTAGAAAATAAAGTATTTTATGGAATTCATTTGAAATCATGTAAAAAGGAATCCCGATACCTATATTCAATTTATTATTATTTTAAAGAAGAGGCTAAAAACATTTTCTGAGAGAATGTAGGCAATCTGGATAGATTTCCTTTCCTTTGTCTGATTTGGAAAAAAAACTCTTCATAGTACCTTTTAAAAAATTCTTGTTTCACTGGGAGTGGGGATTGGATTAAAATATTTCCCCCTTTTTCATTGAATTCTATGACATAAAACATTTTTTTGCAAAAATTATAGAGTAATAGAGTTATCTCTCATTTGTTTACCAACTAAGATATGCTTTGTGAAAATTCTTACATATTTGCATAAATAGGAGAAAAAAATCATTCAAATATGTTCATCTTTTTTTTTTTTTTAGTTTTATTAAAGAATGATATAAAAAACAATTATGGACTCTTTGGTGGTGAATATCGTTGATAATTATCAGAAAATATCAATATTGACCAAGGCGAAAGAGTCTATAATTGTTTTATTATGACGTTGCGCACGCTGTTGGTGTCAATTTGGGTAACGTCAAAATGACGCTAGATAACATAACGTTAGAGAATTTACTTGACGTGACTTTTTGACCTACATTTCGATGAAAAAAAACTTAGTTATGTTGTATAATATATATTGCAGTTCATTAAAAAAATGATTAAAATCTCTGCCATTTCCCGTGGAGGGAAATATGTGCATAGTTTGGACCATAAAAAAGCTCGGAAGAAAAATAACTTTACTTGATCTCAATTTTTTTTCATTTACCCGCTTTTGATTTCATTGAGGTACATTCAAAACAATTCCATGTCATATCAGGAGGATCTTTTACCTGTTCTCTATTTTCCCTATAGTCTAGATGTGTTAATGTATTTAGCACGGTATCTTCTTTTCATTCAAAGCCATCCCCGCCCTTACACACACTCACATCCTTATTACAGTGGGGTGGTATTATTCCAAGTCATTTCATTTTATTTTTAAAAAAGTAAAAGGTGGGACGAGAGCGAGAATCGACTCCTCCCTTCCCAATTAAAAAGGATTGTCGATCTGGGACAGTTCCGAAGTTTTGCATTTATAAAAAAAAATTATTGAGCCCTCCTC